CAGAATCAATGAGAGGAGGCAGGAAAGGTTGATGCCAGTATAGTTGGTGAGGCTTGGGGGACCCTAGTGGTAGGCTCTAGTGATCAGCGGCCTCCTTCTAAGTCCATGGAACACTTCTTTCCTGAGGGTTGAGGGCTGGACCTAGGACTTCAGCCTGTAATGGAAATTTCAGCAAGTCCACCCCTGGGGTAATAGTGCTGGGTAGTGAGGATGCTTATGAATATGAATCTTGGCTCCATCTCTTAACACTGTGTAACTTAACCCCCCCTCATGAGGCTTGGTTTTCTCTTCTATAAAACGGGATGATAGGGGTAGCCCCGGTGGCACAGCGATTTAGCGCCGCCTGCAGCCCAGGGCATGATCCTGGAGACCCTGGATCAAGTCCCACGTCGGGCTCCCTGCATGGGGCCTGCTTCTTCCTCTGCCTGTGTCTCTGCCTCTCTCTCTCTCTGTCTCTATGAGTAAATAAATAAAATCTTAAAAAAAAAACGGGATGATAATACTATGTTCTCCATAGGGCTGTGAGAATTCTGAGAGAACATACATGCATCAAGACAAGGCCTGATACATAGCAATTTCTCCATAAATTCGTTGTTATTGGACAGCCCTGGTGGCGCAGCGGTTTAGTGCCGCCTGCAGCCCAGGGTGTGATCTTGGAGACCCGGGATCGAGTCCCCTGTCGGGCTCCCTGCATGGAGCCTGCTTCTCCCTCTGCCTGTGTCTCTGCCTCTCTCTCTATGAAAAAATCTTTTTTATAAAATCGTTGTTATTGTCATTGCTGATGATGGTGTCCATCTGTGCTTAAAGGGAAGGGGAAACTATGTGATTTCAGGGTGGGGTTCCAAGATTCCTGGAGAGGAGACAGCTCAAGCATCTTCATCTTCAGAGTTTGAGTTCATTCAGCAAACAAGCATTTACTGAGCAGCTACTATGAGCCAAGAGCTCTTCTATGCAAGGTTTCTCCAGTGATGAAACTTATATTCAAGCGCGTCTCCTAGATAAATATAAATAACTAAATGAGCAAGTAAAACAACCCTGAATAGAGATCATGATTTAAAAGCAAGGAAACAGGGACGTCTGGGTGGCTCAGGAGGTGAGCGTCTGTCTGCCTTTGGCTCAAGGCAGGAACCTGGAGTCCCGGGATCGAGTCCCACGTCGGGCTTCCTGCATGGAGCCTGCTTCTTCCTCTGCCTGTGTCTCTGCCTCTCTCTCTCTCTCTCTCTCATGACTAAGTAAAATCTTTTTAAAAAATAAAAATAAAAGCAAGGAAACAGGGCAGGTGGGGGTGGGGACGCTACTTTAGACCGTAGCTTCAGACAGCCTGAAGAGGTGATATTTGAGAATAGATTTATTCAGCTACACAAACAGTAAAGGGCAAAGGGCTTCAAGGCAGGAATCTGTGGAGAGTTTGAGGGAAAAATCTGGTGTATTTGGAACAGCGTGAGTGAGGGTGGAGGGGAAGGCCTTCCACTAGTGTGGAGATGGCCACAAGGGGAAAGCTGAGACTGAATTTTCAACCTAATGTGTCCCCTCAAAACCTAGGGACCTCTTGGGGGGCGGACTAGGAGGGGAAGGCGGTGCGGGGGCCTTGGCAGCACCTGGGACAGCTCTCTCGCTGTCCATGGTGCTGACACCCTGAGACCCGGCTCCCACAAGGGAGAAGCCATCATTCACCAATGGGGTATGAGAGAGGAAGTTCCCTACCCTGGAGGTGCTGGTGTTCCACATACGAATAGTCAGGACGTCAAAAATGAGTAATAAGAGGTGCCTGGGCAGTGCAGTCGGTTAAGCGTCCTACTCTTGATTTGGGCTCGGGTCCAGATCCCAGGGTGGTGGAATCAAGCCCCACATTGGGCTCTGCACTCAGTGGGGAGTCTGCTTGAGATTCTCTCCCTCTCCCTCTGTGCCTCATGCTCGTGCTCTTTAATAAATAATTAATTCCATCTTTTATTTTTTATTTTATTATTTTTAAAAGATTTTATTTATTTATTCACAAGAGACACACAGAGAGAGGCAGAGACATAGAGGGAGAAGCAGGCTCCTCATAGGGAGCCCGATGCAGGACTCAATCCTGGATCCTGGGGTCACATCCTGAGCCGAAGCAGCTTCTGGGAGGTAATTAGGTCACGAGGGTGGGGTCCTCATGAGCAGGATTAGCGAGTGCCCTTAAGAGAAACCCCAGAGACATCTCTCACCCTCTCTCTGCCAAGTGAGGGTACAAGAAGTCAGCACTCTGCAATGCAGAAAAGGCCTTCCTCACCACCCAGCCGTGTTGGCACCTTCTTCTCAGATTTCCAGCTTGCAGAATGGCGAGAAATAAATTTCTGCTTGTTTACAAGCCGCCCGGTCTTGGTCCTTTTTATAGCTGCCTGAACTAAGATACCCAGGACCTCAGAATGTGAATATATTTGGAGACGGCAACTTCATGGAGGCAATTAAGTGAAAATGAGGTCATTAGGGTGGGCCCTGATCCAATATGACCGGCGTCCTTATAAAATGAGATTAGAACACAAAGAGAGAGAGAGAAAAAGAAGGCCACGTGAGGACATGGGGAGAGAATGGCCATCTGCAAGCCAAGGAGAGAGTCTTTAAAAGGGACCGACCCTGCCAACACCTTGATCTTTGACTTCTACGACTCCAGAATTGAGAAATAAAGGTCTGGTGCTGAAGCCCTGTAGCTGTGATACTTTGTTCTGGCAGCCACAGCCAAGCAGTACACCTGAGGACCGGGGTGGGGGTGGGGGTGGGGAGCTCCAGCCCATCTCCAGCCTGATCTGAGTCCTCCTTGAAGACTAGTGCTCTCCTAGCCGAGTCGCAGTTGGGGCGCTCGACCCACCCCAGTCGGTTCTGGGATGGTTCAAGTCAAGGAGGGAAGCTTCAGATAAGTGTCTAGAGACTGAACATTCATGAGCCCAGGGCTGTTCTCGCCGAGCACAGCCTCTCTGGGCAATGTCATCCATCCCCGTGGCGTCAATCTCCACCACTGTCCTGGTGCCTCCAGAGGTTCCCAGATCTCTTAAGTTCCCCTCCTGAACATCCAGAGACCCTGCTGTCTCCCCTCCAATTGCCCCTGGAGCTGGAGCTCCTCAGATTGAACATGGTCAACACAGAGCCCAGCATCATCCCCCACTCCTATTCCTTTCCCTACATTCCATCTCGGTAAAGATGCCCTCCCTGGCCACCTGTGTCAACCAAGGTGTCCTCGTTCTCCTTGGCATCTCTTGCCCCATGCCCTGTATCGCGCATCAATCTCTGGGTTCCGACAAATTTTCTTGTAAATGTCTCTCGGGCACTGTCCTCTCCTTACCACTGTCCTCTCCTTACCTCTCCCTGTCCGCTGCCCCAACCTAGATCTCCCCATCTCTCCGAGGTCCCCTGTAATCTGTCCCCTCCTGGAAACATGGATCTGACTATGCCCCACTCAAAATCCTCCCAAGGTTGCTGCATTGCTGGTGGTGCAGCCACGGCGAAGAAGAATGATAGTTCCTCAAAAAGTGATTAGGAGGGATCCCTGGGTGGCGCAGCGGTTTAGCGCCTGCCTTTGGCCCGGGGCGTGATCCTGGAGACCCGGGATCGAATCCCACGTCGGGCTCCCGGCGCATGGAGCCAGCTTCTCCCTCTGCTCTGCCTCTCTCTCTCTCTCTCTGTGACTATCATAAATAAATAAAAATATAAAAAAAAAGTGATTAGGATAGCCTATGACCCAGCAATTCCACGTCTGGGCCTGCACCCAGAGGAAGTGAAAGCAGGGACTCATCACTGGATACATAACATCTGTGTCTACAGCAGCCACTATTCAAAATGCCCCAAAGACAGAAGCAACCCAAGTGTCCGCTGACAGATAAATGGATAAACACAACATGGTGCATCGGGACCGTGGAATACCATTTAGTCTTAAAAAGGAAGGACGTTCTGCCACCAGCCACAACATGGATGAATACTTAGTGAACTAAGCCAGTCACAAAGGGTTAAATACTGTAGGATTCCACTTCTATGGGAAGCCACTCCATAGAGACAGGAAGTAGATGGTGGGAGCCCGGTGCTGGGGGAGGGGATGGGGAGTCAATGGTTAATTGGAGCAGAGTTTCAGTTTCAGGTGAGAAAGTTCTGGAGATGTATGGTGGGGATGGCAACACAACAATGTGTGTGTGTGTGTGTGTTTTATTTATTTTTGTGTGTGTGTGTGTGTTTAGTGCCTGTGAGCTTTACGCAGAATAGCACGTGATAAAGGCAGGGACTGGGAGCCCCAGGAGGCCTGCAGCACATAGTAGGGGCAGTGGCCGGGAGCCGGGCCCAGGCTAGAGTCCTAATGTCCAGGTTGGTCATGTACTACCTGCACCTCCCTCCCCAAGTGAAGCAAGGGAGGCTCAGAGAGTTTCAGTAACAAGCCTGAGGTGACCAGGAAGAGACAAGGCTGGATTTTCACACCAGGCAGTTTGACTCCACAGTCTAGAGACACCGAGGCCTTGGGGACAGGTCTCAGCCCACTGTAGGGAGAATGAGCACTGCACTGATTCTGTGTGACCTCAGCTACATACACGGTAAAGCCAATGCCTTGGAACTTCTGAAAGTCCTTAAGCTCTGTGCATCCGTGTGCGTGTGTGCGCACACGTGCCTGTGCATGCACACGGGGTGCCCTGGGAACCAGGCTCTGTAGTGCACACAGTAGGGACATAGAGGATACACAAAGCTCTAGCATACAGTAGGACCAGCTAAGCACAGAGGCTGTGGGAACTTAGGCAAATGAGGGGGTGCCAGGGTGGGCCCCCAAGAATATCTGCAAACCGCCCCCCAGGGGTGCACATGGCATTTAGAGGTCCTGTAGGACTACAGGGGAATTGTACTCACAGTGGGGGAAGCTAGTCGGGCCTGACACCGGGCCTGGCCACGTGGGTACATGGACAAGCTCAAGGCTGTTTCGGCACCAGCTCCAGCCATCCAAGTCATGGAAGGTGGGGCAAGGTGCCCCCCCCCAGAGTCCAAAGATGACACGAGGCCACTTCCAAGAGAGGAAGGTTTATTGGGAGTGACTGGTCATGGTCTATCAGTGCAGTGCTGCCCCTCCCCTTGGGGGCAGGGCAGTCCAGTGTGTGGGCCCTGGGGGCTTGGGTTCAAGGGGGACCCAGGAGGGTCGCAGGAATAGCAGCAGGCAGAGGAGTGAGCCACCCTCACAGGGCTCAGCCCCGGCCCAGCCCCAGGGGGACCCCTCTCGAGGTCCTCAGGCATCCGCAGCCGTGGTGGGAGGCTCCAGGGGCACACAGCGCCGGTGCCGGAGAACTGACTTCTCCTCCTCCTGCAGGGACCGGAGTGCCACACATAGCAGCCAGCACGGGACACTGGTACACGTACCTGCATCGGCCACGTAACCCTACCCAGTGGAGGGCCCAGGCCACCCACTCTCACCATCTCAGAGGCAGTGCTGGGGCTCGCGCCCTCGGGAGACCCCCCTTCATCCCGTGAGCAGTCAGGGCCCGCGTCCTCCTCATACTCCGTCAGGCAGTCCGACTCCTCCCCTGCAACCAGGCAGCAGTGTGAAGTGAGGGGGTGCAGGCCGGCCTGGCCCCTCCAGCCATCACCCACGCATCCCGGGCCCAGCTCCCCCACCCCCAAGGCGCCCTGGCGCCTCACCATCGGCACAGCCATCGGAAACATAGCTGGTTGTAGGGGGCTCGATCCGAGACACAATCTCCGCCAAGTCGGTGAAGCCAGAGCTGGGGAAGGCCAGCACCTGTGGAGTGACCAAGTGAGGGACTTAGCACGGTGGGGGGGTAGGGGGTCGTCTGTGGGGTCCTGGAGTGTCAGGGGCTGTGGTGTCTTCGGGGAGCTCTCTGATCTGAGGGGCTTAGCTAAATCCAAGGAGGTCTGGGGCCATCTGAGTTCTGGGGTGGGGGAGTCTGTTGCTACGCGTGGCCCCGCTGGGGCAGGTCGCAGGCTTACGTCCGCACGGCGGCTCTCGTTAAGGTCAGCAGACCTCCGGTCCGTGAGCATCTTTTCAATGATGTCGCCCCGGCTCCAGCCCCCGAACACCGCCTTCCCGTACTGGTAGCCCACATCCTGCAGGAAGCGACGAGGCTGGAGCCGTGCCTGCAAACCCCACTCCCCTGGCGTTTTCCCTGCCTCACCTCCTCTGCTCATCTCCAGTCTGTTGACCCTACCTTGGCCCCTCAAAAGCCTGACGCTCTGGGGGAGCTGCAATCGAGACTCAACCTATTTCAGAGGTGGCAGCGTGTGGCACACCTGTCCCCGTCTTCCTCATCCTGTGCCCCTGCCAGACATGACCCACCAATCGCTCTACGACCTTTTGCACTCAGCCCCACGCAGTGTGCCAAGTACCACACGGCACAAGACGATGGCGTGTAATTTCAAGGTCTGCGGATACGCATCACATCTGCAGACGTCACCATCCGCCAAGCTCATGACAGACACCGCTAATCCATCACGGCACACTTCCCCGGTGGGCCCGGGGCTCTGGGCAGCAGCTCCCGACCAATTTCAGCTAGCGTGGGCTAAGCCGTGCTGTTCGGGTCAGTGGCATGTGACATATATACACACACGGCTGCACACCCCGCCCGTGCTTATGGCAAACAGGACTAACTGACAACAGCTCTTGGTCCCGTCAATGCAGAAAGGGTGTTGAAAAATCTCTCCTGTGCTTCAGGCAGTGCAGCGGGCAGCTACTGGGGAGCTAGCACTAACACGGCACATGCACAGCCACCTGCCCCTGCCGCACTCACTGCAGACATCACAAATCAATTACCATTGCGCTGCTCACGGATCCCACTTGGGAAGGGAGCCCTACAATCCTTCCCCTCGTGTCGCTCTGGGCTTTAAGTAGTAAAGCTCTGGTGGCCCACCACACCGGCACCATGCCACTCCCACCCGCTCACATAGATCTGATCGAACTTCCCGAAGTCCATGGTCTTGAAGCAGTCGATGGGCGGGCGCAGGTACTCGCAGTAGGAGCTGGACTTAACCACCTCCAGCTGCCGCACGCAGGACACGTAGGCCAGGCGAGACTGGATCTCGGCCATGTCTGGAACCTTGATCTTGTCTGCCCAGGGGTTCAGCCGCTTCCACAGCAGCCACCAGCCAGACAGGCTGTCCCCATAGGTGCTGAGGTCTGTCTCATCCTGGCTTCCCACGTCGATGGCGATGACCGTCTTGGCACCCATGCTGCGGGCGATGTCCGCTGTGGGGCCGGGGGGGGTCAGCAGGCAGCGCCCCCCACCCCAGGGCCCAGGGCAGGGAAGTTCAACCCAGTCCCACAAACACCATCATGCAAATGGTCACACAAAAAAACCCATGCAAACAACATGCCGGTATCAAAGGGCATGGACATGGATGCCCGTGACGCTGAGGAGGTGGGGCCGGGCCGTGGAGCTTGTAAGTCTGCGGGACCGGAGCCAGCGGGACGGAGGGGATGGAGGCAAAGGGACAAAGTTGCTGGGAAAAAAGACACCAGGTTAAACACGTGAGAGGGGGACAGAGAGGCAGAGAGACATAGTCATAAGGCCACCAGGACACAGAGACACAGGAAGATAGAGCCAGAGAGGCAGGGGGTCCAAGGCGCAAGGAAACAGGGAGAAGTGTGGAAGTCAAGCCGCAGGAGAGAAGCACAAAGAAGCAGACACAGCAACAGGGAAAGAGGGATCAAAGAGAGAAATCAAAGATACGGAACGAGAGAGAGCCTAGGGAAGAAATCGGGGCTGAGAGGGGGACAGGGGGCAATGACCAAGAACGAGGGGGTTCAGGGAACCAGGATAGAGGAGTGAAGGATAGGTGATGGCCTACTAAGGAGGGTGGTGTGTCTGTGGGTCCATGTCTGCACGTCCGTGTGTCCCACTGAGGGTCCCTGAGTGGGTCTGGGGGGAGGGGGACAGGGTCCTGCAGCCAGGACCCTGAGAGATATCTGAGTCTCCACCAGACTTTGCACAAGTCCCTCATGAGCTTATTGGTCTGTCGAGGAACATGTGTCCACATCTGATCCCCAGATGTGCATGCATCTGTGAGTGTGTGTGTGTGTGAAGGCACACTTCTTGTCTCTATCTCTACACGCACACCCGGGCGTGCGTTCCTTCCAGTCCCCGTGCGTCTACATCAGCACTTGCAAGTTCCCAGGGCCAGTCTGCCTGTACACCTGTCTACACACACCCACATGTGTGTGGCTGTTAGTGCGTGTACCTGTACAGAGCATGTACGGCAGGACTTTGCCAACTTTTTCTGTAAGGGGCCAGAGAGAAAATAACTTTGGCTTGACAGCTATGTGGCCCCTTTCACAACTATTCACTTTGCCGCTGTGGGCACAAAGGCAGCCACGAGACAAGGCATAAGTGACTGGCTGTGGCCACGAACCAATAAAACTTTCTTTACAAAATCAGGCCCGGGGCTGGATTTGCTGCAGTTGGCTGATCCCTGGCCCGGCCTCCAGGGCCGAGTGTTTGGGTAGCTTGCACATACATCAACTTGTGCGCACTCACTTGTGGGCATGTGGAATCATCTGCACACCCAGCTCCTGCTCATCTCTACGTGTGAGGTCAGCAGACCCGAAAGCTCACCTCTAGTGCACAGGTGCCTGCCACCCGTGTGTGTACTCCTGTGCACGTTCAAGGCAGCGTGCAGTGCGTATGTGGACAGACTGGTGTGCATGGACACATGCCCTATTTCGTGCACACGTGTGTCTAGCCACGTGCAGGTGTATGACTATGCTACCTGCAGCGTGAGCACGTGTGTGGCTGGGGTGAACCCATACAGGTGTCCGACGGTCTCCATACGCTCCTTTGCGTGTGTGCATGCGTGTCTGCATGTGTTCATTCACACTGATCACAGCACAGGGATGCACTCAACTCCATACACGTTCATCTGTGGGCACTCCCACGTACCTGCTGGTGCCCGAGTGTGCGCATGTGGCCTCCCGTGCACCTGTCTGCATGTGCGTCTGCACGTGGGCCCATCTGCTTATGAGTTCACCCGTGCGTCTTTACGCACAGTGGGGACCAGGGGAGCGGGCAGCCACTTGCCTGGCAGGTTGTTGATGTAGCCGCCGTCCATGAGGAGGTGCCCGTCCTTCGGGTCGCACAGCGGGGGCAGGTAGCCCGAGAGCGTCATGCTGGCACGTACGTACCGCCACAGGGAGCCTGCCCGGCAGGACACACAGACACAGACACGCACAGACACGCTCAGACATGCTGGAGGCCCGGCCAGCCCGGTGGGCTCGCTGACCTGGCACGTTGTTGACATAGCACCCGTCCACCAGCAGGTGCCCGTCCTTGGGGTCGCAGAGTGGGGGCAGGTAGGGGCAGTAGGAAGCACTGGCCCGGATGTAGCGCCACACGCAGCCTGCGGGGACGGTGTGAGGGGGTGAGGCGCCTGACTAGTGTGCCGGCCCCCCACCCCTGAGGAGAGACATACCTGGGGCCTCTGGGGCATTAGTGGGTGATGGTTAGTGCTCGGCAATCAGGCCAGGGTGGACGGTCACTCATGTTAACAATGTCCCAGCCGCTCAGCTGCCCTCCCTGCACCCCCTCCCCACACAGCCACAGAGGTTGTCGTGGGGCCACCTGGGGGCACCCACCATCTTTGTGGACACGCATGGCTGAGGCGGTGATGTCCGTGGTCACATTGAAATACGGCAGCCACAGGTCCTGTGGGGACAGGGACCATGGTGGGAGGGGAGTGGGGACTCCTGTGGGGGGCAGGTGGGGCAGAGCAGGCCAGGGAGGAGGGCCCACCTCGATCTGCTTGTCCTGGAAGACTCGATGGATGCTGCGGTTGAAGGCCGAGCCGGTGAACATGGAGGTGACAGGGTACGTGAGGTCCAGCACAGGCTCCATCACCGAAGTCATGCTCTAGGGGCAAGGAGGCCAGGTGGGATCAAACGGGAGTGACTCGGGGTCACTAACCTGGAGGTCACAAGGGATAAGCAAGGTCCTGGAGCTACTGCCATCGGGACCCAGGTGGGGTTCACAGATTATGTCAGGAAAAGGCAGAGAAAGCCCAGGGGACCCTCCAGGATGGGGTTCCAGGGTGCTCCTGCAGTAGGTGGGCCTCTCCCACCCCTGCACACCTTGGCCCACTCCCGGGCCCGCTGCTTGGTACGACTGGCGCTTCGCTCCTCTGCGTACAAGGCCCCAATGAAGGAGCCGATGGATGTGCCACCCACCAGGTCGACAGGGACGCCTGCCTCCTCCAATGCCTTTAGCACCCCGATATGTGAGCAGCCCCTGCAAGGGAAAGGAAACTCAGGGACCCACCCAAGACCTCTGCCACACTGCCCCTCTCCCTCCTTTCCCCTCCGCCTCCCATCTCCCCCCAAGGAGGCAAGGAACAAGTACCAGCCCCACCCAGGGAATAAGCTCCACCCCTAGGCACTCAGGTCCCCTAACCCCACCCCTCAGGGTGACCCCCACGGAGCAAGCCCCGCCCCTCTCACCTGGCCCCGCCCCCACCCAGCACCAGTGCGATGGTGTTGCCTGTGAGCACCCGTGCCAAGCGGGAGAAGTCGCTGTGCCGGTCCGCGCGTCTCGAGAAAACCTTCTCGTAGAGCTCGTGCTGGGATGCGGGGTGCGGGGGACACAGACAGAGAGGCATGAGAATGGGGGTGCAGGAGGCAGTGTCTGGACCAGCACGGCTCTTGCCCCCACAGGCTTCCCGCCCCACAGAGGTCCCAGAGGCCCTCAGAGGCCCCCTCCTCCCAGCGCTGCGCTCACCAGCTTGGCAGGGCTGCGGCGAGAGAAGAGGCGGCGTGGACAGCGCAGATGCAAGTGCCCCGAGCACCAGCTGCGCATGTTGAGCCACTCCACAGTGCGCGTAGGGCCTGGGCCCTCCTCACGGTGTAGCAGCACCAGCTGCTTGAGGGCACGCACTGCTGTATTCTCCAGCATTTGCTCCAGCTGCAGGCGAACGGAGGGTGGAAGTCACTCAACTTCGGTCTTTTCCTCCCCACGCCCACAGTGAGGGTGCACAGGGTGCAGGCACCCAAGGGCAAGGGATCAGGTCCCGGGGGTGAGGTCACTGTGCAGTCTCCCAACCTGGCCAAGCGTGGGCTCCTGGTCGCCCAGGCCCACGATGAGGATGCAGTCGGCCTGGCGTAAGCAGCGGACTGTCCAGGGCGTCAGCGACGCGTCAGTCTGGTAAAGCACTATGCGGTGCGCATCCTCCTGCTGGGCAAGCCACCCTGAGAGCCGGAACTCCTGGATGCTGGGTTAGGGGTAGGGATGCGTCATCCTGGGGGCTGCTCAGGGGTCACACACCTCCCAGAAACCATGTAGCTCCGCTACTGGGAGGAGGGGAATTTAAGACACCAGGCCCCCACAACATGTCCATGCCCCCAGGGGCGACCCAACCCATGTTCTTCCACTGAGTGGATGGACGGGGCACGTGCTCCTTGGTTCACAGCCCAGAACTCAACCAGATCTGAAGGGATTCTAGACTTCAAGTCTAGCCCCCACTCCTTCAACTCCGACCACATACCTATCCAGAGCAGAGGCCCCCAGGCGGGCCCGGATGATGTCACTGTTGAGGAGGAGCGTGGGACCTGGGGATGGGTGGGGATGGGTGGGGATGGAGAGTTAGGAACCCAGGTCAAGAGAACTGGGGTGCCTGTCTTGCAATCCACCCCCATCCCCACTGACCCACCCGCTGACCACTGCCCCACACAGACCAATGGCCTGTTCTCACCACACCCCTTCCCCCAACTAACCAATCGCTTGCAGAGCATGCTGCAGCTCCAGAGTGAAGGCCACCATGGGCACCTCGGCACACACTGGCAGGACGGCCACTGTTGCCAGGTTGCTGGCTGGGTTGGTAAGCTCCGAGTGAGGGGGAACGCCTAGTCCTGAGCCTGCAGAGACCCCAAAGAAGGAGTGTGTGACCCTGAGTCTGGAGCAGTAGACCTGTCTCTTCCTCCCCATAAACCCTTGCCCTTCATCATCTGACGGAGGTTTAATGAAGAGATTATGGACCCACGGCCTCACTGTCCCATCTTGGTAAGACCTAGCCAGCTGACCTTCAGTTCGGAGCCTAATCTCAACAAGAATCCATCACGTAACTCTATGACCGCTCCACTCTATGCACGGATGGATTCGTGCCCCTTCCCTATCTGCCCTTGGTGCTTCTGTCCACTGAAGGGACCTGAACACAAAACGGGACAGAAACAAATGTATTTTTCACCCATTTACTGCTTCCCAGCCTTTCCACTAGTATCCTAGACCAAGGCCTTACTCCCTTTCTCTTGCCTGGACCTCTCGCTGCCTCCTCCCCTCCAGCTGCTTCCTGTAACAGTCTCAATAAAGTCCCGAGCTCCCAGCCCCATCCCCCTCTTCTTCGCCCATGCTCACTTTCCTCCTTGCAGTGCTTCAAAACCACCAAACCCTGTGCGCAGGGCCTTCCTCTTTCTCGTAAATGCCAGACCCTATCTCATTTGTCAAGTCTCAATTCACTGTCCCCAAAAAAACCTCCCTCCCACAGTCACACTCCATCAAGACCTTCTTATGTTTTCTTCACTGTATGTACCAGCAGCTTGTGACCTCACAGTTTTTCTTTGTATTTTTAAAATACTTGGCATGCTGACCTGTAAACCTTTCTAGGAGTCTTGTCTGCCTCTCCCCACCCCATGCTCATCACAGAACCTAATACATATTAAGTGTTCCCTGGAAAACTTATCTGTATCCCAACAACAGGGAGGTACTCAGGGGTCAGAGATCTTAATGTTTCTGCCCCAAAGGCTGCCCCACAATGTGACAAGGGTGGACCAATGGCCTTAAAGAAATAAATGGGCATTTGTACACATGGATCAAGACTGAGGGAAAAAAATCTGTCAGGCAAAACCCTGAGCATGGGAGGTGGTCCTTAGCCAAGGCTCACCACTGCCCTCCACCATCCAGGTGTCAAAGCTGAAGGGAGTAAGAAGGGCAGGTGTAGAGGTCGGGCTGGTCCAGGGTCGGCTCACCTTTACATAGAATCTCAGGCCCGTATTTCCGGGCATCTAGAATCTGACTCCATTCCCGATGTACCCTAACTCAGCGAACCACACCTTCCAGCTGGCCAGTAGCTTCAGAAGCCACTTCCCAATTTGGTCCCTGCCCCCACCCCCACCCCAAGGCTCTACCCCACGGACTTCATTTCCCAGCATATTCTTCTAAGGACTACCTCTCCCAGTGTGCTCAGGATGTAGACTCCATCCTGCCCTGCAGGCCCGGACACCCAGACACAAGCTCGTGCCTAAAGACTCTGCCCTCAGCATGACAGATACTTCCATGAGAAGCATGGCCTGGGTCTTGGGCTGTTTCCTCACATGCCCAGGACCCCAGATCCATCCCCCACCCATGCCAGCAGGCACCGGAAATCAGATCTCACTCCTCCTTCAAGCCTGCCCAGAGCATGGTTTATCCTCCAGACCCCATTTCCCAGCATGCCCAGAGCTTAGGGCTCCCTTTCCCAGAGTGTCCCAGGCGTCGGACTACATCCCCCAGCATGCCCAAGGCCAGCTGGCTCTCACCTGGGAAGGGTCCTTGCAGCTGCTGCAAATTCCCCAAAATTTTCTGGCTTAGCAGGTGGATGAGGCGAGTCACGACCTGAGGCGTGGGAGGCCGGCATTCCAGTGAGGCGAGAGGGACAACTGTGCAAGTCCTACTTTTCTCTCCTCTTACCGGGGTGCCAGGGTCCCCATCACGTGGGCCCCATCCCCAAGAGCCCTGCTGAAACACTCAGGGTTTCGCTGAAACACTCAGGGGTTTCGCTGCCTCCCTGGGGTTCTATCCACCCCCCAACCCCCTCACCCCTGTCTGTCTCCATGTCTCCACTACTCTGTACTAGGCCCTGCCCCCTCAAGCCCCGTTCCCCACCCCCCGCCCCCAACCCTGCCCCAGCTTCCAGTCTCACCTGTGGGTATCGACGTTTGATGTGGCCCAGAGTGCCCTCCGGGAGTTTGGCCAGCTCCGTGTCCCGCACCGCGTGCACCGTTGTGGCACGTGGCTGCCGTGTCAGCGCCTCCACCTGGGGGGCCATGTGCATGCATGACCAGGGCTGCTTGAGCCGGGAGGCCGGAGAGAAAAGGGGGAGCCGACCACGGGTGCAGACAAGAGGTACCCACTGCCCTACCGCGACAGACTCCCCATACAGGTGGAGATCAAACCCCACTAATCATTAGGCTTCGGGGAAAGGTTGAGAGCAGGGATCCATGCTCAGGAGGAGGAAGACTGTCTCCTCATCCAATAGAAGTCTGGGGATGGAGTCCGATTAAGACTCACCACCCCAAGAATTTGCCCCCTCCTCCTGCCCTCGGAAAGGAGCTGAGCAAGTGGACTGGGCTAGGCCAAAGGCTGGGAGCTGCCATCACCAACCCAGCAGATTACCCGGGATGATGTGTTTGCTGGGAGGAGTGAGGGGAACCGTACTGGGAGTAATCAGAGGACAGTGGGTGGGGCGGCACTCACCACGCCAATGAGGTCCCCGCGGCCGTACTCGCCCACCAGTTCCTTCTTGCCGCTGCCGCGCTGGATGACACTGCGCAGCCGCCCATTGAGCACAATGTAGGTGCAGTCGGAGCGGTCACCCTGCCTGGGGTGTGGAGAGGGCCAGGGTTGGGACTAGGCCTTCCTCAGGTGAGGTCTGCACTGCAAGAAGGGGCAGGGCTGTACCTGTACAAAGCGCGGCCCGCCTCCACCGCCGTCCAGTCGATGGCAAAATCCATCTGGCGCACAAAGGGCGACATCCTGGCGGCCACGGTGTGCGCAGCACTCAGAACCACACTAGGCTGTGCACGCATGATCCTGTAGGAGAAAGTCAGGGGTGCATGGGCTGGGGGGTGCCCTGGGACATTCCTTAGGAAGTGGAGAGGGTGGGTGATGGCCTGGCGGTGGGATCAGAAGGGATCAAGCTGCCCTGGAAAAGCGCTGGGCATCCAGAGGGATGACCTCTACCACAGCAGAATGGAATCAAGTGGGGACCCTCCAAGTGCCACTCCCACCCCAACACTGGGTGGAGGTGCCCAGCCATACTCATAGAAGTCGGACTTAGAAATCCTCAGGAAGGTGCAATCACGCTGGGCTCTCAGTGTGAAGATGAGGGGCTCGCCCGTGAGCACTGCCAGCTGCCCCACCAGCTCCCCAGGTTGTGCCACGAACAAGCATACATCCTCTGCCTTGTCAATCATGCGCTGGTAGACATGCAAGCAGCCCCACAGCACAAAGTGCAGGCTCACGTCCTGTGGGGCAGAGGCAGAGATGGGCACAGGGGCAGTAATCTCAGCCCCAATTCAGTTCAGTGCACCCAGAGGAATGGCTAAGGAAGGAAACGTTGAAGGAGGGAGTAAAGGCTTCAGATAGCTCTGGGCTGCACAGCATATATATCTAATTCCCATTCAGCGCCCAGGGCAATTGGTACTAATGGGTTACCAAAATCTAAGCCCAGGCTAAGGTCCATAAACTCTTTTTTTAAAGAAAAAAAATTATTTTTAAGTAACCTCTATGCCCAACATGATGCTCAAACTCACGACCCTGAAATAAAGAGTCACGTGCTCTATGAAGCCCATAAATTCTTTTCAGCATAGCCAGCAAGAGGGTGCAGGAACCTCTTTGCTTATGCTGGCAACTAGTTAGCCCATGTAAGAATAAAGCTGGACCCTTACCTAACACCATACCAAAATGGAGCAAAGACATGGATGTAAGAACTAAAACTCTAAAATTCTTTGAAGGAAAGATAGCAGTCAATCTTTGTGACTTTGAATTTGGCTACAGATTCTTGGATGTGACACCAAAAGTTTAGGCAACAATGATTTAAAAAAATGGATAAATTGGACTCTATCAAAGTTAAAACTTTTTTTGAGAAAAAAAAAAAAAACTTTTTTTGAGTTTCAAAGAACACTATCAAGAAAGCGAAAGGACAACCCAGAGACTGGGAGGAAATACTTGCAAATCACGTATCTGCTAAGGATCCTGTATCTAGAATAAAGAATTCTTACAACTCAGAAACAAAAAACCAGATAACTCAATTTAAAAATGGGCAACGGCTCTGAACAAACACTTCTCCAAAGAAGATAAAGGTCCGATAAACAAATGAAAAGATGCCCAAAATCAGGGGCACTTGGGTGGCTCAGTCGGTCAGTTTAGCATCTGCCTTCGGCTCAGGTCATGATCCCGGGATCTTGGGATCTGGCCCCACATGGAGCTCCCTGCTCAGTGGGGAGCCTTCTCCTCCCTCTCCCTCTGCCCCTCCTCCCTGCGCATGCTTTCTCTCTCTCTCAAATAAACAAAATTGATAATAAAAAAAAGATGCTCTAAATCATCAATCACTAAGGAAATTCAAATCCAAACCATGAGATGCTCCTGTATACACGAGAATGACTAACATTAAAACATGTTAGAGAGGATACAGAGAAACCAAAATCCTCATACACTGCTGGTGAGAATGTAAAATAGTGTAGCTGCTTTGGAAAACAGTCCAGCAAAAATTAGAAGCAGTCCACCAACAGTTAGAAGTAGAATTGCCCAGACCCAGCAATGTGACTCCTAGATATAAACCCAAAAGAAATGGAAACCTACACCCCCACAGAAATTTGTACCGAAATCTTCAGGGCAGCATTATGCACAATAGCCAAGAAGTGGAAATCACTCAAGTGTCCATCAAGGGATGATCAGATAAACAAAATGTGGGAGACCTACATAATTGATTATTTCGTCCTAAAGGAGTGACAGTGACACAGCGCAGTGTGGATGAACCTTGAAAGCATGATCCTAAGTTAAAAAAAGTCTTAGAAGGGCCCTCAGACACAGAGGGCCACATCATGGATGATTCCATTTATACGAAATGTCCCAAATGGGCAAATCTATACAGACATAAGATGAGTTGCTCATAGCTAGAATCAGCATTAGGAGGTAGGAGGGCGATAGCTAAAGGGTATGAGCTTTCTTTTCAAGGTGATGAAAGTTTGTTTGTTTTTTCTCATTTACTTGAGAGAGAGACCACACTCGAGCACACGCACAAGTCAGAGGCAGAGGCAGAGGCAGAAGCAGCAGCAAACTCCCCACTGAGCAGGGAGCCCAACTTAGGGCTCGGTCCCAGGACTCCGGGATCATAACCTGAGCTGAAGGCAGACACTTAACCGACTGAGCCACCCAGGCCTCCTGAAAGTATTCTTTCAATTCAAAAGTGATAGTCGTGATGGTTGCAAACACAACGAATGTACCAAATACCACTAAAAACAACAACAAAAAACAAACAAAAAAAAACCCCACTAAATATTATATGTAAGTTACACATGAATAAATATATACAAACATAAAAAATACAAATAAATATAAATATATAAATACACACACACACATTTTTTGCTCCCAGTTTCCTTGTTCCACTCTATCCCTGGTAACTTCCTTTTGTTTCCAGAGATCAAATATCCTGTTTCTGCCACAGGATATTTGCACAAGCTTTCCCTCTACCTAGAAAGCTCTTTTCTCCCCCTTACACCTAATTAATTCCTCTTCATCCTTCCTCCTTAGCTGGAGGCCACTTCTTCAGAGGTGCTACCCTGCCTAAGCCAGATTTTGTAAAGCCAAGAACATCTTTTTACATGTAAGCATGAAGCACATATTAGTTTACAAGAATAGTGTAATCCTTTGAGTTGGTCAGAACTGTGAGCCTCCCAAGGGCAGGGACCTTGCTGGTGTCTCCTGCCTCTGCAGCCCCAGGAGATGCACATGCGTGCTGGAACCTTCTAAGACAGAAGTTCCAGACTCGGTTCGGGATATGAGTGGGAGTCACTAATATTAAGCTGCTACTTGTCATCAGATTGGGAATCATATGTCTCTTCACTGTGGGACTTGTCCGAGCCTTGAATAACAAACGGTGTTCACTAAAAGATTGCACTAAGGGACTAAATAGCCGAAGTTTTCCAAATCTGTTTGAGCAGGGATCCTTTGTGATACAGATGTTCCATGAAGCACACTTTGGGAAATGTCTGTAAAGCAGAGTTTCTCAACCTTGGCACTATTAACATTTGGAACTAGATAATTCTGCTGTGAGGGGCTGTCCTGTGCATTCCTGCACCTCTGGCTTTACCCACTTAGATGCCAGTAGCATCCTCCCAAGTCGATAAAAAAAGGTCTGGGGTGGAGGTGAGGGGTAAAACTGCCTCCAATTGAAAAATTACTGGTGTGAAATTCTGGAGGCAGGCAGAGCACATTAATGCCCCTAACAAAGATCTGAACCCCACCCCTGCCTCCCCCCCCCCCAGAAGACTTGAGTGGCTGCAGACCACTGTGGAACCTTCTAGCCAGTCTAGTCTGTTAACAAGTCGGTCTGGGCTGAGTTGAGTCCAACAGAGTCACCCAGATAAGGAGGGGCCGGGGACCCTATGACAAGAGCCACGGTTTGACTACACTTCCTCTGCCCCTGCTATCACAATCAGCTGGCAAAAGCCTCACCCAACTTCCTCTATAGGCAGGAGCCCGTTCCTGCAATGAGCAGCTCGAGGTGACAGCTCAAGCAACAGATCAAGTGACATAACGGTATCCCAGGCAGCTAGCAGGTGGGCTGCCCCCAATTCCACACCACCACCACCCCCGCCAAGCCCAGGCCCTCCCCTGGACCTGTCACCTCTGAAAACCTTAGCTAGTCAGAAGCACTCTTTAATCCTCGTGACAACTCTAGCAGAGTTACTGTTATTACCCTATCCCGTGGATGAGGAAGCTGAGAACTTTCTCAATGATTTGCCTAGGTCACAGAAGAAGTTAGGGTGGAGTGTGACTGCAACTCTGGCCCGGTTGCAATCAGATTTGCAATCAGACTCTGCAAACAGTCCAGAGCCCTCCTCCTCCATAATTCTGGCCTGTGAAATCATGACTAGGTCTCAGTTTCCCGACATGGACAATAGAGGGATTTGTAGGATACAACTTCCTACACTTCCTGGCTGCTGCCACGGAGCACTGAAATCCAGCTCCCAGGGGCTGTTTCACAGCCTCCAGGTCCAGATTCGGATCCATACACACCTATCGCACACCCATCCCAGCAGGGGCCCAGGAGAAGCATATACAACGTCAGAGTATACCGAAGAATTGAAAGGCCAGAAAACAGAAGTTACAGGAAAGGCCAGGGCAAGTAAGAGAGATCTAGGGGTTGCGGTCTTCAGGTAAAAGGTTCAAGGATTAGAGAAGAAAAGTCAATAGGTCCAGAGGACGTAGGGATCAGAGTCACAGCATTTAGGGTCAGGGATGGAAATCACACGTTGAGAGATGTACACATAGGGTCAAAGAGCAAGGACCAGAGATCAGAATAAGGTCTTGGGTCAGACTCATATTAGAGACCAGGGCTCGGCCTCACCTGGTCCCCCTGGCGGGCGATGATGGTGCCAGCTTTGGCATGATGTAGCAAGACCCGGCTGTTCAGGAGGGATGGGTCCTGAAGAGAAAGGGGGGTTGAGATGGGCCCATCTAGGCCTCCTTGCCCTCCTCTCCACGTCCCCCAGGACCCCGTGGCAACCCACCTCAATACGCATCAGTTTTGCCAGCTCCCGCTTCGCTGCCTCGAAGATGCTGCTTGTCTGGCGTCCCTGGTAGGGCCCGAAGGGGCAACCACCGGTGGCCAACTCGTCCTCGCAGTAGCTGTGCTCACAGGCACCTGCTGGCTGCTCCCGGGGCTCCTGAGTGGGGGTCTGCATAGGGCAGGGCCTGTGACCTCTGTGCTCCTACCTGACCTTCTTTCAGGGATGCCACCGTGGGCCAGGCCAGGGTGCAGGGAGGGCACTAGGGAGGGGGGCGGAGAGGGCAAGGCCTTACCCGAGCAGGAGCTGCCTGGGGCCCCCCTGAAGCCTCTTCCTGCAGGGACACGGAGATCCGGCCACGCTCATACGCCATGTCAAAGTCTGAGCGGGGGCCACCTTGCAAGCCTGCAGTGGGCAAGGGTATTTTGTAATAAATGATAAAAATGAGACTGATCCCAGTTGACTTATTTGGCTTATATCTGTGCAGACATGACTACTCTATCACTGCACTGTCCCTCAGAATCCTTCTTAATCACAGCTGGGAAGACACCATCTCAACAATTACCAAAAGAAAATCACAAGAATACCATCAGCATTCCCACTTCACAGATGGGAAAAATCATGGCTGGTACACCTACATTCAACCCAAAAGTCTGATTGTCTCCCCCACCTCCCACCTGGCACCCCAAACCTGAGATGTCCACGGGCATGGAGATGCAGCGACTCAGCAGGGGGGCAGAGGGAGCCTCCAGAGATGTGGGCTTCACCGGGTCCCCTGGGAGAGACACGTGTACAGGCTCCTGCCCCTCAGAGCCACCAGGCCTAAAGCTAGGATTACAGGGGAACTGAGTGGGGTTTAGAGAGAGCTCAGCCCACAGTGTCTGAGGCTGCGGGACTGGGAAAGCGATTCTGATGGTTCCCAGGGCCAAGGCCAGGGCTCTCTGGGGTACTGGACCAGAGTCAGAGCTGGGTACCTAGCTAACGGGTCCCTGGGAAATGGCCAAGGTCATCTATGATACCTGCAGGTCCAGGCAGTGGGGCCCCGGTGGGGTCAGGCGGCCGGCCAGGAGTCTCCCGAGGCTCCTCAGCAGCTGAGGCACTGACCACCCGCTTGGAGCCACGCACAGGGCTGGTGCGGGAGGGAAGGCCAGGGCTGGGGAAGAGGCGCAGGGGCTGGATCTCCTGGTGACAGAGAGTACCCGTGTAGTATGTCCTGGGAAGCCTGTGTCACAGCCCCAGCCTCCTGCCCCGAGTTCCCTGTGCAACTCACGTGGCTAAACAGCTCGTTGGTCAGACCCAGGTAGTTGTGAAGTGCCAGAAAGGTGACCCGCTGCAGCCTCACCATGATGATCTGCGGGGGTGTGGCCAGAGGGGTCAGGGCCAGGGAGAAAAGGAGAAGAGATACTGGGGTGACCAGAATCAGATGACAGGAAGCGGGAGAAAATTAGGTCTAGGCATCAAGGGGGTGGGGTGTAGGGAAAGTCAAGGTTGGGAGCAGTAAGGGGCTGGCCAGGGGCAGAGGCAGGGAGAAACCCACAGTCAGGTGGCAAAAGCCTGGGGAGAAGGGGTGGAGGCAGCTCAAGGGAGGGGACAGCACACTCCCCCCCCAAGACCCGGCTGCTCAGGCCTGATAAGCACAGCTCGAGCCCCTCCTGGCCGCTGAGCTCCAGCCCACAGGTGCCCGGGGCTGGGGGGATGGGTTGGGGCAGGTAGAGGGAGGCCGGAGGCATGCTGACCTGTACAACCCGCACCAAGCTCTCGGGGTACTTGGTGAACACGGCGGAGAAGGCCTCCACTGGCAGCCGCAGCACTGTGGAGTCGCGGGCTGCCCGGGCAGACACCGTCCGCTGGGGGTGCTGGTGGCCCTGGAGGGGGATGGGGCAGGAAACGGGGGGAATCAAGATGAGGGCCTTGCTCGCTGCTCCCCGAGCCCACCCCAGTACCCATGCCTTGAGAGACCACTGGCAGCGTCAGAGGGGATTAAGCGGGGATCGGAGCCCCCACAGGCAACTGTCTGCAAACCAGCCCCACTGATTGTGTCCTCATACCCAGCTTCTTCGTCCCCTAAGAGTGATCACTCACGGTGATGACATCCAGGATGCTCAGAAGGCTGTTGACACTGTCCCCAGGGACCACTTCCTTCACCACACACTCCTTCCCATCCTGAAACACAGAAGATGGGGGTGCTGACCAGAGCTGTCCCCACCCTGCCAACTGCCATTCCACCCCCTGAGCATGCCACCAGCTCTCAACCTCACCAACCAGTGATCACTGACACCTTGATCCCCAAACCCACCAAATCTTGGACCAGCATCCATTTTCTGGCCATCACTAACCATAACTGCTGACTGTGTAGACCAACCCGACACCCCTGGGCGTTTGTTTCCAACTCTTGCCTGCATGTCTCAAAAAAATCCACAAACCCTGCTGACCAACAGCAATGCCTATCCCGATAGCCACTGCCCATCCCCACTGCCCATCTCCCTGTGGCGGCCCGTGGTTGGTCCACTCACAGGCCCTGGCAGACAGAGCTCCAGTAGCCCATCCTGCACCACATAGATACTGGCATCTGGCTGGCCTGGCCGGAAGACATAGTCACCCTGGCTGAGCCGCTGGAAGACCATGTGTCGGCAGAGCTCCAAGAAGAGCGGTTTCTCAAAGTGGCCCAGCACCCTGTTGGGTGGGAGAAAGATGAAGAGAATGCAAGTCAGGTGAGCCCCCAGATCTGCAGTCCTCCTCCCCGCCTACACCCTAACACTGACCGGACATTCTTGAGCATGTAGAGCACCTCGGAGGGCAGGTGGGAGTTAGCCAGGTCACCCTCCGTCAGGTCAGCCTCCAGCACTGCAGGTGGGGGCTCCTTCCGCTGCAGCGTTGGTGCCTCCTTCTGGATACGCAGGATCCTGGTGGGAAGAGAGGGGTGCAGGGGGCAGGTAGGGAGAGGGCTCAGGCAGACATGAGGCTCCCACATAACCTTTCCTCAAAATCACAAAAAATGGGGGTCGGCAGACTCTGGCCCACTAACTAAACCAGACATACTACCTTCTTCCTTAAAAAAGCACATAGCCACGGTCGTTTGTTTACGTGCTACCCGTGGCTGCTCTCACTCAACCACAAAGCTGAATGACAATAACACAACTGTAATAGCTGCAAAACCTAAGACGTTCACCGATCTCTTACAACAAAATTTGCTCTGATGTAGCCTCTGAGGTAAAACCCCGAAATTGCCCCTTTGCTAACCATAAATTCCTGAGACACACACTGTAGTGAAGCGGACCTTTGACATAAAACATGGGCGGAGGGATCCCTGGGTGGCGCAGCGGTTTAGCGCCTGCCTTTGGCCCAGGGCGCGATCCTGGAGACCCGGGATCAAATCCCACGTCCGGCTCCCGGTGTATGGAGCCTGCTTCTCCCTCTGCCTGTGTCTCTGCCTCTCTGTCTCTCACTGTGTGCCTATCATAAATAAATAAAACAAAAAAAAAAAAAATTAAAAAAAAAAAAAACATGGGCGGACCCCAAAAATAGCTCCTCCATTCATCGTGGGACCCCTGACACCTTCCTTCCTAACACAGACCAGACCCGGAGACAGTCTCCCTACTGCAAGCAGAGCTCTGGGGTAGCTTCCGTCATATCAGGAGACCCCATCAGCTCCTCTGATCTTTGTAAAGCTCCCTGAGCTAGCCTTTACTTCTAGATCTCAGAGAACCCTGAGATGACCCCTTCGAGGATCACAGAGATTCCTGAAATAGCTCTCTCTGTATGTGGAGAGTACAGATGCAGCTCTTCTAATAATCACAGACCCGAAAGAGCCCTCCCCTGCAGGTCACAGGTATTTACTGAGAGAGCCCGTCCCCTGGTCACAAGCCCCCTGAGATAGACTCTCTGGTATGAGCAGACCCCTGAATTAAACTCCATGATGTAAAGAAATCCAGACGTAGCTCCCCTTCTCATCAGAAAGACCTTGGGCTGACCCTTGCCCAGATCACAGAAAGCTGAGCTAGCCCCCCGAAGTACAGGACAACATCAGTGTAGCGTAAACACACGCTGAGATAACCCCCATGACATACAGATGGGAGGGGCAGACCAGACCCTCAACTGATCACGGAGAGCCTAGAGCCAGCCCTTCTACTGAAGTCATAAAAAGCCACGCTAATGACACATCTGCTGATCGTGGACAGCCCTGGAATGACACCTTAGTGGAACAACCCTTAGTGTGAAGACACCCTTGAGACAGACCTTCAGGTATATTCCGTGATGTCAGGTGACCGACCTCACAGCCCGCTTCCAACTTAGAAAGATCCCTGGGAGAGCCTTTCTCAGAGGCTCTGAGATGGCCCTTTGCTGATGGCATGGAGCCCTGAGAAGTCCTTCCTATGCTTCTTAGAGCAGGAAGATTCTTGAAATAACTCCTGGGGAACAGAAACGCCTAAGATAGCCTCCTTAGTGTAGGAAGAACTGCAGGGTGGGTGACCTAGAGAGACGCTTTCTGATGTAGAGAGATGGCTGACATGACCCCTAGAAGACAAAAGCTAGAGACAGCCCCTCCGGTACATCATGGAAACACCTGAGTTAACCCCAGTGGATCACCACCTGTGTCGGGAGACCCTCGAACCAGCCTACGGGGAGAACCCAGACGGAGACCCCTAAACGAAGTATCTGAGGACCCACTGGAGAGAGCTGACTCACAGACACCCCTGTGCTAGGGGAACAGCCCCGAGGTGCATCGCCTCATCGCCTCGGGGCACAGAGACCCCAGAGCCAGCCTGTCCGGTGTGGGAGAGCTCTGAGATAGCCCCTCTGAGGTGGGAAGACTCCCAAAAACAGTCCGAGCGGTTCAAAGGACCCTTAGATACACCCTTTGGTGGGGGCTGATTACGCAAATGGTCCCTGAGATGCCCCCAGTGCCAGGCACACCCAGTACAGCCTTACTTCTTGGCAATGTTGAGCATCTTAAGTTTCTTCTTCATGCGGGGCCGGGAAGTGGTGGAGACAGACGCGTCCACCAGGGAGGAAGTGGACTGTGATACCTAGGAGGATTGAGGATGGGGGATGGGTGAACTGCCAGTTCAGACCGAGGGGAGAAGGGGCCAGAACCAGAGGCCCCCTCGTCAAGGAGGGTGGGCTTGCTGAGATGCGGAGAAAGGAAAGGCCAGGCCTCTGGGCTCGGCGGGGGCCGCGGGGGGCCACACTCACCTTCCGCATAATCTTCCGACCGTAGAAGAGCACTTTGTCCCTCTTCCGGAATCGGTAGCGGGGCCCCTCCGGGGCTGGCGTTTCTGGGGGTAAGCGGAGAGAGAAGCACTCAGCTGTGCGCGGACTCCACGCGGCCAGAGAGGACGTGGCGTGCAGGCTCCCGTACGTCCCATCTCCGCTGCCCACGCCGCAGCCTCCCCGAGGGGCCCTCCGGGTCCTCACTCGGCACTCGCAGCCTCCGCACCAGCAGGAGGATGAGCACGGCCGTGACCAGCACCGCGACTCCGGCCCCAATCATCACGCCCAGCACCTGCGGGACGAAGGGCACTGGCTGCGCATCGCATACCCCGCCTGCCGAGCCCTCCCCGGAGGCCGGAGCGCCCCCGTCCCCATCCCATTCGGTCAAGTCCTCCGCCCCCGAGGAGGTCACGGTCGGCCCGTGCCTCGACGTCCCCATCTGCAGAATGGGCCGCCGCTGCTCCCTCCCCGGGGGCGCGACTCCTCCCGGCGGCTCCGCGGCCCGCGGTGCACGCCGGGAAACGTAGTTCCGTCTACACAGCTCTCGCGGGACCGCAATGATGGGCGCTAAGCATTTCGGGAGTTGTAGTCCCCGCGGCGCTACACATCCCAACCTTTACCATTCCCGTTTGCAGTGGAGCCTCCATCAGTTGCTTCCGACTGGGCGGTAGGTCCGGTGCAGCCCGGAGTCCTGGGGAATAAGCAGCAGGAGGAACCGGTGCACGTCGTCGCTCTGGGCCCGTCTCTCCCCTGCCCCGAGTCGAGGGCCTGCCCCTTACCACGAACCTTGCCCAACCCTTCGTACTCGCCGCGGGGATGGCTTCTCTGGGCCGGGGACGGCTGGTGGGGCGCTGCGGAGCAGAGGGGGTGGTGCAGGTTGACCTCGAGTCCCTTGGCTCCCGGCCTGACTCCCTTCACCCACACGCCGGGCGGACCAGACGCCCCACGGATACGGCCCCACCCTGGGGCCAAAGGGCAGCCGTCCGGACGCCCACAGTCAGCACCTTCGCACGGGTCCCCGACGCGCCCGGCTTCCTCCCGCAAGCGGCCCCCTCCTAGCCTCAGCCCTGCAGGATTGTTCAATCCTGACCCAGCAGACCCTAGGACCCCACCCCAGAGAAACTGGGGCCTTCAAGCCATGGAGGTCGCCTGGCTTCTGACCCAAACCTGCCCTTGGGGAGACCCACGGGCCGAGGCGCTCGGGAGTGCTGCTGGAAGCTCCCACACAGGGGGTCCTGGGGCGTTGCAGAGGTCTCGGAAGAATCCCGGGACGCTCGGAGTGGGGCGGCCTCGCAAGGTGTTACTGGCTGACGCTAGACTTACCGCCACGCTTCAGTAAAGTTATGGGGTCTCTGACAGTATGGAGCATCACTGGGACTCTGGGAACCAACGATGCTGGCGCCATTACTGGGGACGTAACTAGGGACGCTGGAATTACTGGGGTCTCTGTAAAGTTACTGGGAGACCTCAGGAATACAGGACTATTATTGGGAAAACTAGGAGCTGGGTGGGCACGCCCCTGGGGTCGTTTGAGCTACAGAACCGGCCTAGGGATGAATGCTGGAATATTACCGGGACTTGTTGGAAGACTGAGGATGTTTCTGGCACCGCTACTGTACTAACGGAAATTTGGGGGAGTCCCTAAGTCCTGGAGATATTACCTGGAAAACTCACCCTAGCGCGCACCTGGCTACCGGCGCGGAAACACCTGCCGGGAACTGGGGGGATGGGAGCATCAGAGTCGGGGGCTACCGGCCATCGGAGGAGGATAGATCTTGGGAGAGCCGAGGACTCGCTAACGATCCCCCGAAGGGACTCCTCCGCGAGGGAGACTAAGACCCGGACTCACCCAGGGGCCAGCAACCAGGGTCCGCTCTGCGCCAACACCGGTAGCTTTCCGCCCAGCGCCCCAGGCGCGGCCCCTTTAAATTATTCACCGCAGGGCGCGCCGCAGCCCCGCCCCCCACCATGTGTGTAAGGTCTCGCGCAGCCGCCACGCTGTTTCGCGACGCCTTAAAGGGGCCGAAACCCGCGGGGCAAGGAATGCCCCTCCCTCTAGAAATGAGAACAAGTTTATTTCCCCGTTTATTTAACGCCCACCCCACCCGCGTCCCACCCGCGTCCCACCCGCGTCCCACCCGACGGGCCCAGGTCCTCAGGGCGCGGCGGGGAACCGGTCCTTAAAAGCAAACCCTAAAAATAAATAAGCGTGAGTCTCGGCAGTCGAAGGGCTAATGTCCAGCAGCAGTGGCGGGGCCGACTCAATTCACCAGCAGCGAATGCTCCTCCGAGGCGTCCCTGCAGGAGACGCGGTGTCAGCCGGCCAGGCGGCGAGGGCAGCAGTCCCCTGGGGCGCGCGCCCTGCCCCCTGCCCCCAGCCCCCGGCTCCCCGCCCGCCCCGCCGTCCCCAGCTCGAACCTGCCGCAGCAGCAGAGGAGGCTGCAGGCCGAGCCGCTCCCGCGGCGGAACTTGCCGGAGGTGGGGCTGTCCTGGCACTGTGCGATGTAGGCCTGGAGCTCGCTCTCCTCTGCGCCAGCGCCGCCGGGGTGCTGGGGAGAAATGCAGGTTGGCCCCTTTGAGGCCGGCCCTCCCCACTGCCTCCTCTTCCTCGTCTGCCAGCCCTGGAGATCTCCCGGTGACTGGGCCACAACCAAACTCCCCAGCCCACTGAGCCTTTACACTCGAGGTCTCCTCCACCTGTCATTCCTCAGAGTTTGCTTCACCGGGAGACATCCCCTGGCCCCTGAATATGTGCACAACCCGTATCTCCGTCAGCTGGTGCCCTCTGTTGCTGCTCCAGCACCCAGAACCATACCTGACACACGCTGGGTGCCTGGATGGACACATCTACCGAGTGGTGGCACACAGTGGGAGCATGTCTGGGCTTGAATCTCCAGGGCTGATACACCATGTGTGACGTTTGCGTGCTAGAGCAAGACCCATGCAGGCTCCTTGGGCCCGAGTGACAGGAATATCTGTGGGACGACTATATCCACACTTGGGGGGGGGGCACCCATCTGCATCCCCAGCCACAGCTCCAGCTTTCAGCAGAGCCTTCACCCTCCTCCCAACCTGGTAGAGAAGCCATCATCCTGTCCCCTAGTCCTTTCGGGCTACTGGGCCTTTGTTTTGGCTGTTCCTTCACCCTGGTGCTCTCTCATCTTGTTGATCCAGAAGTTTCTGAGACGATAGAAAGGTTCGCTATCTGTGCTGTCCAATCTGGTAGCCACTAGCCATTAAGCTTTTGGGCACTTGATGGGTGAATGGTGTGAGTGAGGAACTGAATATGGAATTGTATTTCACTTCAATTAAAGTCAAAATTGAAATAATCATGTGGCTAGGACTAATATTAGCACATCGTAGAAACTTTCCTGGACTTACCCCCAATACCAGTCTAAAAAGCAGGGGATCCCTCTGTAACCTTCATCCCTCTCGCCAGCTGGTCGTCACACTTCTCTTCCTGTATCACCCACTTTGCCTAGTGGTCTGGGGATAGTCTGTATACACCACCTTTCCTAGATACCCAGCGCAGGGCTTGACTTACAGTAGGCCCTCAGACACATCTGCTAAAAGATCTACTTGCCATCCTCACATTCTACTCCAACCCCTCTCCCTCCATCCCATGCAGCCTGCAGGACCCACCACCATTTCCCGGACCCCAAGAGCTCCCACCCAGGCCACCCTCCAGGACAGAAGGGTTAGGAGCAGTGTTTCTCGAATCACACAGTCCTAGGTTGAGCCTGGCTCCACCACTTAGTAGCAGACCTCAGGCAAGTCACTAAAACTCTACAGCCTGGTTTCCTCGGTCAAAGCAGACATAGGAACCTTACCTGGCCAGAGCCCCCACCTTGATAAAACTGAGAATGTGGCAGCTGTGATCAGCACCTCCAACCCCACCCCTCTTCTGGCTTCTCAGTCTCCTACCTTTTCTCCCCGAGGCCTTCCCTCTTCACCCACCCTCACACCCCCTGAGACCCTGCTGGGGCCAACTCCAAGGGACCTGCAGCCCCAGATTCAAGGCCGTTATGTGCGTGCTGGCTCCACATGGAGACAGGCTGGGGGAGGGCAGGCAGGCTGGCGCTGACCTTGATGGTGTCATAAGCTCCAGTGATGAGCGCGATGAAGAGGCTCAGCACCATGTAGATGAAGAGGCTGATGAAGGAGTAGAGGTAGAGCTGAGAGAAGAGCCAGACGAGGCTGCTACGGCCCTGCTGTGCCTGCATTGCGGCGAACGTCACGAACATGTCGTCCCCGTTGATGAGTGAGAACAGGCATTCCGACACCATGGACAGCGAGCGAAACTGCCAGCAGGGCAGTGGGATGGTGGGGTCAGAAGGAGCCATGGGCATAACTAGGGGCTGGGGACAGGGTAGGGTCACTGGGGGGTCAGAGGGAACAATGGACAGAACTTCTGCAGACCTCCTGGTAAGGCACCAGAGGTCAAGGTGGGTCATTCAGTGTCCCCAGATCAGCAATCGATAGACCAGGGGTCAGAGTGTTTAGAAGTGGGTTTCAAGAGGGGAGACAGGAACCCCTCGACTGAGTCACAAGCACCATGCCCCGGACGGCCCCTACCTTCACATGGTATGGCCCCAATACGATCCAGCCACAGAAGCAATAGCCCAAGTAGATGACAGCCACACAGCAGCAGAAACGCATGACGCTGGGCAGTGCCACCCGCAGTGTGGCAATGAGGATCTGTGGCAGGTAGATGGGGCAGGGGGCCACAATGAGGGTGTGGCCACAACCTAGGTTGGCCTTGCAATGGGGAGACGACAGGGGGTGAAGCAGGCAAGGCCTGGCTGTAGTTACACCAGAGTGGCCACAAAAGCTGGAGATAGTTTAGAAGGGGCGGGGTGGGGCTGAGGGGGGCCTGAGGACATCGCATGGCTGGACTCAGCTGTGGGGATATGAAGGTGCAGACTCCCGTGGCTCTGGGTGGGGTGCAGTGACAGGTATGTCTGGAGTGGGCGGGTATGGGGAAGAAGACGGGAATGGCCGTCTATGGAGGCTGGTGAATGCTGGAAGTATACGAATTTATCTGGGGGAAGGAAGTGAGAATTGGGGAGCATATGGCCACCACCCAGAAGGTCCAGCCTGCACATATGAAGCTTACATTGTACTTATGGAAGAAGGTCAGATAGCGGATGACGCCGACCCAGACGAGCAACGTGGAAGTGCCCAAGAGGATGCTGCAGACGTCATAGCTTGCCAGGTTCTAAGGGGGAAGCAGTGTCAACCTCATCTGGCCTGGCTCTTCCCGGAGGCATGTGGCTCCAGGCAGGCATGGGGTGGGGGTGGGGGGCAGGCAGTATAAGGGACCAGGGCCTGGAAGGAGACATCAGGCCCGGGGCAGGCCCTACCTTGGCTTCGATACCAATCTTCATGATGGTGCCCGAGATGGTGAGCACATCGCTGGTGACCAGCAGGATGTACCAGCCGTTGACAAATTCCAGCCGCTCCCAGAGGCTGATGACCCGTCCCCGCTGCCGCCACATGAACCCAACGAACTCCTGCAGGAGGCAGGTGGGGTGAGGGCCTGCCCAGACAAGTGACCCTCTCTCCCTCAGCCCTTATGGCCCCAGAGCTGGGAGAGGCTGGCTTGCAGCTCTCACATTCTGCAGCAGAAAGCCACGGAGCAGCGAGCGGGCACACAGCAGGAAAGAGAAGGCGCAGATGAGGATCACGACCACATCAAACAGGAGCCGGAAGCTATTGTCTCCTGGGGGGGGAGAGGACCTGGGTAGGCCTGGGAGTGGCCTGGGGCCTGGGGTGATAAGGGATGGGGCTGGGCCAGGCCGCGGGGGCTGCAGACCTGGTTGTAGCTACCCACCCAGTGGGCTTTAGGGGTTACCTGGGTGAGTCATGAACTGGGTCCATGCCAGTCTGGGGCTTGGGGGATCCCTGGGCAGGTTGGGGCCCCTGCTAGCACCGGTCTGGGGGGTGGGGGCTCACCGTGCCTGAAGACACTGGGGTGCTTACACTCCTGGATGTGAGCCTGGGTCTCCAGGCTGATGGGGATACGCCCGCTGTGCGCCTTATTGTCAAAAGTGATCTGCAGGGGTATGCAGGGAAGGAGGAGCCAGATTACTCTTGGCAGATTACACCCTGGCACACCTAGGCTCCCAGACCCACATGATGGCTGGTCTGGCCCCATCTCCCCCCCTTTTTTTTTTTTAAGACTTTATTTATTTATTCACGAGAGACAGAGAGAGAGGCAGAAACATAAGCAGAGGGAGAAGCAGGCTCCATGCAGGGAGCCTGATGTGGGACTCGATCCCTGAACCCGGGATCACACCCTGAGCCAAAGGCAGATGCTCAACCGCTGAGCCACCCAGGCATCACCCCCCATCTCCCTTAATTAGCCCCAAGCTGCCCTAGGCCAAGTGTCCCCAACCCCAGCCTCAGGAGCCCTGTGGGCAACTCCTATCACTGGCAGGCCTGCCACCCTTGTCCTGGACGCTGGGCTTACCAGGACACTGAAAGTGTAGCAGTCTGGAATTTCATTGTTGATCAGGCTCTGGAGATTGATGGTCTTCAGCTGGAAGTGGATGGTGACGTTGATCAGCCTGGGAGGGAGGCTTCAGTGAGGGAGAGGGACTCCGAGGTCCCTCCTGCCGCCCCACCACCACCAGCGCTCCTGCCCCATGCGGACTCTGCAGCTTGCTGAGGAAGTGCTCACACACAGGCATCAGCACAGCCTTCCTCTCGCCTGTGGGGGGCGGCCAAGGATGCCTGGCATCCTGCCTCCCCTCCCACCCTTGGCCCAGCCCTGGAGGCCCCCTCCCTCAGGCAGTACTTGTGGAATTTGAGCGTGAGGTTCTTGTAACTGGCGCTGCCGTCCGAGAGGGAGAGATCATCACTGGGGGGCACAAGGGGTCTCTCAGGGGGGTCCACCCGGATGCAGTCTGAGGACAGGGAGTCAGGGAAGGGACACTGGGGGCGGGAGAGGCACAGGCAGGTCTCCCCAGAGGCCCCAACAGCCCCCTTCCCTCCTCCACTTCCCACTACAAACTGAACATTCGTCCTTCCCCACCGTCACCCCTACACAGGGCCCAGTTTGTCTTACTCCCTGCACAGGCCTTAGGGCCTGGCACTCAGTAGCCCCCAAATATTTGGTGAATGATACTAAAACACAACTCTTGCATTTTTCTGCAAACCAAGCCCTCTACCGAGGACCCTGCAAGCATTAAATTATTAATGAGGAAGACAACCCTATCTTCTAGATGAACGGGGAGCAGATCTGGGATTGTAACTCCAGCAGCCGGCGCTACCAACAGCTATACCCTGGCGCACCTACTCACCAGTGACAACCATGGGATCAATGTCAAAGGTGTCGTTGGCTGGGTCCACGTGGCCTCGGTGGTAGTACTGCTGGCAGAGGGCCAGGGCTGAGCCATTAGCCCAGGGGCCACCCCCACCCCGCACGTAGGCATAGCGGCCTAGTGACACATCAGGGAGCATCAGGTACTGTGGGCAGAGAGGAGGAGGTCTGTCAGCCCTGCCCACTCTCCCCAGCCTGCCTGCCTGCCCCCGCCTGCCCCCGGCTGCCCGCACCTGGTCCACAGCGTGGAAGATGGCCTGATAGAGCTGCTCCCGTGTGTAGGCCGCGAAGGTGTCATCCGCCCCATCCGAGTAGCCCAGCAGGAAGAGGTGCCGGAAGGCAATGGTGTTCTCCTCCCGGAATGTCACTGCCAGCTGGTTGCTGAGCCCGAACAGGATGAGCTGGTGGGGGGAGTGGGGATTGACAATGATGGGATGGGGCTCCCCTCAGGGCATGAGGAATGCCCACCATAAATTCCCAGTGAGCAGCACACAGCAGGCACTCGTGTATCTCATGGTGACAGAGGCCAATGTTCGTTAGATGCTTACCAGGTGTGCCAGGTTCTGTGCTAAACCCAAGCCTACAGGGCAAGCAGCACTGTTGGGCCCTTTTACCAGGAGGAAATCAGAAGTGTGGTAACAGACCCTAAATCACAGCACCAGACTAGAAGCTCCTTAGGGCAGGGGCTGGGTCAGATTCATCTCGGGGTCCACAAAGCCCACCACAGGGCAACTGTCAGCCACTGGGTCAGTTCTCTTTGAGAGTCAACATGGCATCAGCCTGTTGGGGTTGAAGTGCCAGCTCCCCAGGCTTGGTTGCTGTGTGACTTTGGACAAGACCTTTAAGTTTTCTTGAGCCTCAGCTGCCTCATCTATAAAACAGTACCAACAGCAGTTGCCAGGATCTCAAAGGGCATCTGTGAGGTTACAAGGAGCTGTTCCCACACAGATCTTAGAGGGTTTCTTGATTGATTACAGCCACTGTCACTGTCCTGATGCTGCTGTGGGTTCAGGACTGAGTTCTGACTCCAGGACTTTCTCTTTCAGGAACAGAAGCGACCACAGATGGTGCTCTGCTGGGCCCCTGTGGGACTCACCTGCACCGTGACCACCAAGATCTTCACTACTTGCAGCATCAGCTTGAAGGGCTTGCGGCCTTTGGCCCGAAATTTGTCACAGGGACTCATGAAGAAGTATTTGAGCCGGCGGCGGAGGTCTTCCTCTTCCGGGGGGGGCGGGGAAGCCCCAGCCCGGGTGCCATACCCAGGACTGGGGGTTAAGAGGCGCTCAGTCTCTGCGGGGAATGGGGAAAAATGGTTGGGACCAGACCCAGGCAAGCCCACCTGCCCACAGGGTGAAACAGTTCCCAAGCACTAGCTAAAGAACAACTCTGAGAGATCTGAGAAAACCCAGAAAATCTGCAACACTGTATGGGTAAATGCAGCAGTACTGCTCAGAGATTACAAATTCAGATTTGGCGCTCCAAAGGGCCTGAGCTGATTCCTGATCCTGCTGCTCACTGGCTTGGCCAGGGCAGTCAGCCTCGGAGCCTCGGCCTTCTCATCTGCAGAATGGGGCGACAAAGCCTCTCACCCGGAGGCCGGGGATTTGATGCCTACAAAGCATTAATCGCAGGAGCTGGTTTGTGATAGGAATGTCAGGAACATCCCATCTTTGTTCCAGATGTGGATTTGTGGGAAGAGAATGAATTCCTCCCACTGGCTTCTCACAGGGCACTCAAGGCTCCAGGGCTCATCCCAACTCACTCCAGCCTCCAGGCATGAGCATGGAGCTCAGCTACATTCCAGGTTTTTTCTGGTCAAACAGCCAAAGGACTTTTCCATTCCTCATGACCTGGCCCATCCAGTTGACGCTCACAAGCCACAGGCCCAAGGGAACAGAGATTGACAGGAACAGTAACAATGACAGAACACACTTGGTGAAGACTCACTCCATGCATGCCAATGGGTGTTATTATGGCACTGCCTGTATGTCAGTTCATAGCATCTTCATGAAAGGCATCAGCTTCTAGAACTCTCCCAGCCCTAGGACTGAATCCCAGACCTGCCACTTCCCAGTTGGGGGATCCTGGACGTCCTTCAAAGCCTCCGTCTTCTCTTTTGAAAAGTGGAAATAGGGGCACCTGGGTGGCTCATTCGGTGAAGTGTCTGCCTTTGTCTCAGATTGTGATCCCAGGGTCCCGGAATCAAGCCCCACATCCCGCTCTCTGCTCAGCGAGGAGTCTGCTTCTCCCTCTCCCTCTGCCTGCCACTCGCCCCACTTGTGTACTCTCGCTCACATAAACAAACAAATAAATAAAATCTTAGAGAAGTGGAAATTTAAAAAGTCTACACTGAGGGGAGCAACTGGCTGGCTCAGTGGGAAGAGCATGCAACTCTCAGCCTCAAGCCCTATGTTGGGTGTAGAGATTTCTTAAAAACAAAAAATAAAAATAAATAAATAAAAGGTCTACCCGGAGATAGATCGAAACTCTGAAAAGTGTTCTCTGGATGAAGTGAAACAAAACAGATAAAAGCCTCAGCTCAGCCCACAAGTCTCAGTGATTCTTCAGCAAACAGGGGCTATTCTGAGCACTGCTGTTTCTCTGCACTCCTGATCAACCTAAGAGAAAGGTCCAAGGTTTCAAACTGCTGGGGTCACAGCCGGTCACAGCAGCCCAGGACCATCCCTGACACACCCCCACCACCCCCACGGGGAGAACCCTGCTTCTTTCCAGGGCTTGGCTGGCCGCCTGCCTGACACAGCCCCCGGGATGAATGGGGAGCACCGTCAGAACCTGTCCTGCAGGGTGGCCAGCTCCTGGCGGGTCCCTGTGGAGCTTGGATGCTGCTGTGGTTGTTTACAAGATAGTTGGATGCGAAGCCAGAGGGCGGGCCCGCCTCCCTAGCTGGGGTCAGACTTATCCTACCAGCAGGGACAGCTTTCAGGGATCTCCAACTAGCTCAAGAAGGGAAGACCAACACAAAGGCTCCCCCCTGAGAAGCAGAGAGTGGAGGCTGGGCATTCACCGCCTGAGTTCAAGCAAGCTGAGCTTCCGCGGCTTTGGACTTAGGAGATCGAGTCAGGCGCCGGGTTCAAGCAGGGTCCCTCCCCCCACCCCGCCCCCCGTCTGAGTTTAGAGGAGCAGAGCGTTGCCTCCAGAATTGGGGAAGGGAATCCTGGGAGTTTCACGTGAGGGCTGGAGACGCTGGTGCCCGTTCTGGGTTCTGGCAAAGCCGAGCAATCGGAACTACGCTCCGGACGGACGCAGACCCCGGGCACCTCCGCGGGCCCCCTCCCCCCCCCTGCCTGAGCCTCGGAACTCGAGCAGAGCCTGGGTCCGGGGGGAGCACAGCAGCCCCGCACTCCAGGGCCGGAGGAGCTGGCGCCGCCCCCGCCGCGCAGGTTCCAGGAGCCACCTGTCCCGATCGCCACCACCGCGGAGCTGAGAGGCCAGCACCGGAGGGGAGGCAAGGGAGCCCGGGAGCCCCGCCGCCCGCGCTCGGGGTCCCGCGGGGCCGCGCGCGCGCCCTCACCTGAGCCGCGCCGGCCCACGGGGGCCGCCATGCCGCGGCGGGGAGCGCCGGACGCCGGCGGGCGCGGCGGGGCAGCCAGGGTCCGAGCGCCCGCCGCTGCCGCTGCTGCGGCCTCGCTCCCTCGCGGTGCCGCTTCAAACCCTGTCGCGTCAGCTGACTCGCGCCGCGGTCACGTGGCCGGAGCGGGCGCCCCCACCTCCTGGAAGCACGTGACCGGATCCCGTCCCACCCCCTGCGCCACGGCAGGCCCCCGCGGCCGCAGCACGCATGCGTGCCTCAGCTGGCTCCTGGCGGGCGGCGGGCGGCGGGCGGCGGGCGGCGGGCGGCCTTGAGGTCCTAACGCCGACCGGCCGCGGCGTGCTGGGGGATGGGCTGGCTGTGAGAGGGCCACCGTGGGTCCGGCTCGGGCCTGGCTCCCTGTCATGCCCGCGTCCCGTGCCGAGTTCCTGAGCTCCACGTTCCGTGCTTGACCCCTTTCCCTCCGCAGAGTCCGGCGATGACCGTGCGTCCCGTCTCATGGCTGCCACCCCATCCTCCCAGAAACCCCGCGGTTACTCTCAGCTCTTTGCGCTTCTGCTCCTCTCATCTGAACTGCCAGCGAATCCCACTTCCTTTCCTAAGTATGTCCCAAATAGGATCACTTATCCGCACGCACTCGTATGGCCCTCAGCCCAGAGTCCCCCCAGATTCCTGGCCTGCACCGCTGCAGCAACCTCCTCCCTGGCCTGAGGCTCCCACTCCTGACCCCCCTCCCGTTACACCCTCCAGGCAGCAGCCAGAAGCATTTTCCAAGAGTAATTCATATCAGTCCTCTGCCCCAACCTGCCGATGTCTTCCCGTTGCTCTGGGATGACAAGCAAACTCCCACCTCAGCCTAGCAGGGCCCTCTGTTCTGGCCCCCATCTGGTCTAGCTTATAGCTCAACGGCCTCAGGGCCTTTGCACTCTTGCTTTGAAGGATGCTGGGTAAGAGCCCAGGCTCTAGTGGACGCCTGGGTGGCTTAGCAGTTCAGAGTCTGCCTTTGACTCAGGGCATGATCCTGGAGTCCCGGGATTGAGTCTCGCATTGGGCTCTCTGCATGGCGCCTGCTTCTCCTCCCTCTTCCTATGTCTCTGCCTCTGTCACTCATGAATAAATAAATAAAATCTTAAAAAAAAAAGTAAAGAACCCAGGCTCTGAGGTCCAGTTTGGACTAAATCTAGGCCCTGCCAACTGCCACTTCTACATCTTCCAAAGAGTCCCTTAAACTCCATGTGCCCGTTTACTCATTTGCAAAATGGGGATACTTATAGTTACCTGCTTCACAGAGCTGTTGAATTAAATGAGAAAACACCAGAGCCTAAAGTGCAAAAGCACTGCACAAGGCTGGCAAACAGTACTGACAATTAAAGTGGTGCTGTTGGGATTATGGAATCCTTTCTCGGGAAAGCGGTCCCCTCACGTAAATCAGAAGTCTTGATCTAAAACGCCTGGGTGGCTCAGCGGTTGTTTGCCTTTGGCTCAGGGCATGATCCTGGGATCCTGGGATTGAGTCCTGCATCAGGCTCCCTCTGGGGGACCTGTGGGGAGCCTGCTTCTCCCTCTGCCTATGTCTCTGCCTCTGTGTCTCTTATGAATAAATAAATTAAATAAATAAAATCTTAAAAAGAAAAAAAAGTCTTGATCCTTTTGTGGATCATGAGCGTGATGACTGAGTATTCATGCTGTTGTGTGAGATTGTCTCTTCCAAACCTTGCTATGTCCTCAGCACATTACCTGTCTGATTGGGGGTGGGGTGGGGGGGCGGATCCAAGTCTTGTTATGCTTCTTTTATATGAACTATACCTTGTAACTGCTTCTGAAACGTTCCTGAATTTGGCATCTGTGAGTTCTGTGAAGGCCATGCTTATCTTGCTCCCGGCTGGGACCCCAGCAATCAACAGATTTTTGTTGAACACATCAATGAGCAACTTCTGTCCAGCACCGTGCCTATAACCTGGGCTGAGAGGAGCAAGGCTATGGGAGCAGATGGGGTAGGTCTGCCTGCAGGGTCTCCTATCAGCCTCCATTATCAGCCTACTAGACTGTCGACATGCCAGAAATTTCACCACTTGTTGGAAAGCCAAAGGGAAGAGATCCTGCTCAGACCACCTGCAGGGAAAGACTGTCCTAGACTAGGCTGGCCAGGCCTGGGGGAGCTGAGGGGTGACTGCTGGGAGGGATCCGTGTGAGAGCTTGTGGGGGAACTGGGAAGCCTGGAGGATTGAGGGGGGGGCCAGGAGATCGGGGTTCCAGCTATGGCAGGCACAGGCCACACCCTCCCATCTCCTGAGGAAGGGGCCATGCATCAGGGGAAAAAGAGAAACAGGCAAACCACACAACACAGAGCCAGGAGGCAGTGGGAGGATTTTACTAAACTGCATGACACACAACTTCCCCAGGCCCCCGTGAGTGTCGGCGTCCACTTCAGCCATCCGGCCCCAGCAGTGCCCCTTGCTCCTGCACCCACTCGGGACTCTCGCCAGTAGGGAGCACTGGGCTGGCAGTGTCATGGGCGGGAGAGCAGGGCTCAGGGTGAGACTCAGGGTTGGGGCTGGGGCTGGGCACTGGATCCTGGTCAGGGCCCGCCACAAGGTCAGGATTGGTGCTGTGACCAGGCTTAGGGTCAGAAGACTTAACAGACTCAGGGGTGGGGGTGGATTCAGAGCCGGAGACAGCTCTGGGGCTGGGATTAGGGAGGGAGCCCAGCACCGAGCCAGGGTCAGAGCCAAGACCAGAGCTGGGGCCAGGGCTGAGGCCCAGGCCAGAGCCGAGAACAGATACGGCCTCAGGACCCAGGAGGGAGACCTGCCCTGGCCTCAACATCGAGGCAGGGCTGAGGTCTAGGCCTGCGGCGGCGGCTGCAGCGGCAGCTGCGGCGGCGGCTGCCGCTGCGCCCTCGTGCACCCGCTTGTGCTTGGTGAGGCTGGAGGCTTGGCCAAAGGCCTTGCCGCAGAGCTGGCAGCGGTAGGGGCGCTCCCCGGAATGCACGTGCAGGTGCTGCAGCAGCGCCGAGCTCTGCCCGAAGGCCTTGGAGCAGTGGGGGCAGGCGTACGGCCGCTCGCCCGTGTGGATGCGCAGGTGGTGCTGCAAGTTGGAGCTCTGGCCGAAGGCCTTGCCGCAGTGGGGACAGCGGTACGGGCGCTCGGCCGTGTGCGTGCGCTGGTGCTGCAGCAGCGCCGAGCTCTGGCCGAAGGCCTTGCCGCACTGCGGGCACGGGTAGGGCCGCTCGCCCGTGTGCGTGCGCAGGTGCTTCAGCAGCGCCGAGCCCTGCCCGAAGCCCTTGGCGCACACGGGGCACTTGTGGGGCCGCGGGCCGCCGTGCGTGCGCAGGTGCTGCGCCAGCAGCGAGCCGTGACCGAAGGCCTTGCCGCACACCGGGCAGTGGTGCGGCTTCTCGCCGCTGTGGCTGCTGCGGTGCTTGAGCAGCGTGGAGCGCCAGCCGAACGCTTTGCCGCAGGCGGCGCACTGGTAGGGCCGCGCGCCCGTGTGGATGCCGCGGTGCTGGGCCAGCGTGGCGCCGTGGCTGAACGACTTGCCGCAGTCGGGGCAGCGGTAGGGCTTCTCGCCGCTGTGGGTGCGGCGGTGCTGGCTCAGCCCCGAGCTGCGGCGGAAGGCTCGCCCGCAGTCGGGGCAGGAGAAGGGCCGGGGAGGGCTGGCAGGGGCCGGGAGCACCGCGGGGCTGGGGGTCAGGACCTCGGGAGTGGCAGTGAGGCCGGACGAGAGGGAGTCCAGGTCTGGGGATTCGGTGGGGCTGAGGGGCTCGTTGTTAGGGTCAAGAACCAGGGGGACAGGGCCGATGACGTCTGGATCGAGGTCGAAACTTGAAGACATGGGGTCGAGATCTTGGGGATCCGAGTCTCGAGTGGCTGAGATGGAGCTCGGAGCTTCCGCGTCGGGGTCAGCGTCAGGGTCCAGATCTTCAGAGACAGGCTCCAGATCTTCATAGCTGGGGTCCACGTCTTCAGAGACAGTGTTGAGGTCTTCTGGGTCAGGCTCTGGGTCTTCACAAACTGGGCCCAGCTCTTCAGGGTTGGGGTCCAGGTCCTCTGAGTCGGAGTCGAGCTCTTCATAAGTGGGCCTCGGGCCCTTGTGGCCTGGGTTCCTGACCAGGACCGAGCGCCGCATCCCTGGTGTGGAGGTGCTGGCTGCTTCTGGGGCAGGATCTGCAGGGTGAGGACAGAGGGTGGGTGGAGGCAGGTTCTGGAAGACAGGGGGCCTCTTTCAGAGTCTGGGCAGGGAAGTGAGAGGGGGCCGTGCCATGCCCCAGAACCCACTCCAGGATCCTTCTCTTGTCTCAGATTGCAGGGAGACTTGTGGTGCACTCCAGCCAGGACAGGGAGAAGAGGGACCTGGTGGGACACGGAGAGGGGATGGGGGGAACCTTCCCTTCTCAGCACACCTGGATGGAAGTCAGGGGACCCAGCACTAGAGGTCTCCAGTACCCAGCTCCAGGGCTCTGCCCCTCTCTCCATCTTGGGCTCCTCCTCCTCTGGTGCGAAGCTTGGGTCCTGTGGAGGAGACAGAGTCCAGGGTTCCTACCCCCTTGACTGGTGATCCCTCAGGGGGAAGAGGGCGAGTGCCTCGGTCCTAAGTACATGATCTAAATTCCATTCCCATCATTGGGGGTGACATATCTGGGAGTTCCTAGTACCAAGGGCAACCTCTGGCTTGTCTTGTGGAGAGGAAGCATCCTGAGCTCTGAAGTTGGTATCTGGGGGATGAGTGGGGGGCAAACAACACCTGGTAATTCCCTTGCATCACTGGGGGAGGGCAGGTGCACCTCTAGCCTGTTTGCTGGGGAAGAGGCACGTAAATGCCAGACCTCACATTTCAGGGTTGGGAGTGACTGTCAAAACACTTGTGTATCCAAATGCCAGTTCCTAAAGCTAGAGGGATTGAGGGAATATGGTGGGACACATTGGGGCACAGGGAGGCCCATAGACCCCGTAGCCAGGGGAGTAGGGACAGGTGTTATACCTGTTTGCCCACCTGCATAGCAGATCCTGAATTCTAACTCCTGGGGGAGGGAGGGAGCAAAATAATACTTGGGGCCCCTCTTAGGTTACTGGGGGGGGGGGGTCCTGGGTCATGTCCTAGGAAAGGGAGATTCCTGATCCCAAGGCTGAGGTATGGGGATGGGTGTCAGGATCCTTTAGTTCCCTCCTAGAGAAAAGATCCAGAATTCCAGCCTCATGCCTGGATGTTGGAAGCCAGGTGGACAAACAATAGCTGGGAGCCCTTCTGGGGAGCAAAAGGAGCTCAGGATTACCTGATGGGGAGGTGATGCCTCGAGCTATCCACCCCAAGGCTGGGGGTGGGGAGCAAACAGATCTGTCCGAGGGGGGAGGGACATCTCCAACCACAATCCCACAGCTGGAAGTGGCTAAGCAAACGGAGAGGGTGGAGTTCTTAGATCACCTCCTGGACCCAGACACCACATTTGGAGGGTTTGGGGGAACAATGCCTGGGTCCCTTCCTGGGTTCCTGGGGGCCAGGGACGCCTTTAGATTGCCTTCTGAGAAGTGGCCTTGCAAATTCCCACCTCTTAGCTGAAGACGGGAGGAGGACGGAGTTCCTGGGGGTGGGGGGTACGTGGACCCCTGGATCACCTCCTGGGAAAGGGCTTCCAGAACTCTGGGCCCCAAGACTGGAGAGTGAGGGGAACAATACCTGGGCTCCAGGGGGCCAGAGGGAGCCCCTGGATCCCCCTCCTGAGGAAGGGCCTCCTGAACTCCCGACCTCAGGCTGGAGGGTGGGGACAACAATACTTCGGGGGTCTTCCAGGGTTCCTGGGATGGAGGGGGTCTGGATCGCCTCCAGGGGAGGGGGCGTCCTCAGCTCCCGCCCCCCCAGCTGAGGGGTGCCCCCCCGCCCCCCGCAACACCTCCCGATTTCAGGCGCCCAGCTCGGGCTGGGCCCTCCCCCCGGGGACGCGGCGGCGTTAAGGGCGCGCTAGGCCCGCGGGCCGCGGGGGGCCCCTCGCCCTCCCCTCCCGCCCGCGACCCCGCGCTCCCGGGCCGGGCGGGCGGCGCGCGGGCGGGGGGTGGCGTGGGGGGAGCGGCGGACAGAGGTCGCCCCGGGCCGCGCCCCGCGCCCGCCCCCGCCGCCGCCCCGGCCCCGGCCCCCGCCCGCCCGGCCCGCTCGCGGGGACACTCACCCGGCGCCCCTCGCCCCTGCCCGGCCCGCCGCGCCCCCGGGGCCCGCAGGAAGCCCCCCGCCCGCCAGCCCCGCCGGCGGCCCCCTCGGCCCAGCGGCCCCGCCAGGCGCTCCCGGGGAGCGAGAGGGGCCGGCCGAGGGCCGCAGCGGGAGCTGCTGGGACTTGTAGTTCGCCCGCGCCCGCCGCGGCCGTCGCCATCGCTGCCCCCGCCCCCCGGCCCGGCCTTTGTCCCGGCCCGGCCGCCCCGCTCGCCGCCGCGCCTTTGTCTGCGCCCGGGCGCCGGCCCGCCGCGCCTCGCCCTCCCTCTCGGCCTCTCGGCCCCTCCGCCCCTCCGCCCCGGTCCCGCTGTCCCTGCGGCCCTCCCCGCCTCGGCCTCTCGGCCTCAGTTGCTGTCACTTTTCCCGCCTCTGCCCCTGCCCCTGCGTCTCCGTCTCTGTCCCTGCCTCTGGCTCGAATCTTTGTTCGGAAAGACCAGACCTTCTGTGTCGCTGGCCGTGCTCATCAGCAAAGCCACGGCCCCGAGGAGCCCTGCAGTTCGCAAAGTTGTTAGTCTTTGCTGGCCCGGCGGCTCCCTGTAAGACGCCCCACGGAAAAGGGTTGGGAGCAGTGTCCCTGAGTGTTCTCCTCCTCCTCCTACCGGGCTGGTGGGTCACTCACTGCTGTCACTGGTGGACTGCCTGTGTCTGCTGCCCACCGGAGTGACGATCTCTGGAGAGGCCTAGGCCACACAGCCGGGCAGGACTCCGGGCAGACTTTACCTGGAGACCCAGGTCCCCGCAAAGAGGGAGCGAACACCAGCCCCGGCAGCTGGCAGCTGGGCCCTGATGTTCTTCACTGAGCATAAACACTGGTCACAGAGTATAAACAATGATCACACAAGGCCGCTCTGTGACCACGTCTGAACCAAGCGACAGACAAGGACACTCTGCAACCACAGAAACGAATACACGCCCTCGTCTCCCAGACTAACACAACCACTACTGCTTCTTACCAATGACAGCTCCGCGTCCATCCTCCCACTTCTGAGATAAAAATCATCCAAATAGGGAAGCCTGGGTGGTTCAGCAGTTGAGCGCCTGCCATCGGCTCAGGTCGTGGTCCTGAAGTCCCGGGATCAAGTCCCACATCAGGCGCCCTGCATGGAGCCTGCTTCTCCCTCTGCCTATGTCTCTGCCTCCCTCTCTGTGTCTCTGATGAATAAATAAAAATATTTTTTAAAAAAATCATCCAAATACCCAGTCACCAGTCTGCTCCCTGCTTCCCAACAGCACCAACCTAGAATTGCTTCTTCTCTTTGCAATTCTCTTTAAAACTACCCAGCGGGGATCCCTGGGTGGCGCAGCGGTTTGGTGCCTGCCTTTGGCCCAGGGCGCGATCCTGGAGACCCGGGATCGAATCCCACGTCGGGCTTCCGGTGCATGGAGCCTGCTTCTCCCTCTGCCTGTGTCTCTGCCTCTCTCTCTCTCTGTGACTATCATAAATAAATAAAAAATAAAAAAATAAAACTACCCAGCACATGCCTGAATCCTATGTGGTGCCCACCTGTTCTCCAACAGCCTCTTATGGAGGCACCCACGCTTCCTGGCCTATGATCTTCCCTGCTGGACCAAGCTAAAAAACTTTTTTTTTTTTTTTTTTTTTTTTTTTTTTTACTTACAGGTATATTTCTGATGGTCTTTGGTGAATTCTGACACCAACTACCCTTGAATACAGCCTCAAGCAAATTAGGCCTCCAGGTCTCTTCCCTTTTCTTTCCTGAACCTTCTAGATCTGTACCGAAGTCAAGGTCTGAAACTGGCTTTCCACCTTTCTGTGGAAAAGCCCACGGCAGATCTGAGAGGTCTGAAACTGAAATTGGATTATGTCACTGGTTCCTCATCTTACCACCTCCTGGAAGATTCCATAATAAATAATACTTGTAATGACAGCTGTTTTTTTCTGTCTGCTATCTTTTTTTTTTTTTTAAGATTTATTTATTATTTTAGAGGGTGGGGAGGGCAGAGACAGAGAGACTCTCAAGTGGACTCCCCACTGAGCACAGAACCCTACTCAGGGCTCAATGTGGGGTTCCATCTCATGACCCTGAGCATGACCTGGGCTGAAATAAAGGGTCAGATGCTTCATTGACTGAGCCACCCAGGCACCCCTGTCTGCTAAGTAGCTCTATCAGCACCTTGCTTATATCCCTCTGTGGATTCTTCTCCATTACTCCAATCTAACACAGCCCCACAGTATCACTCAATCACTAAATTTACCACTCAGAGAATCCCATCTCCTGGCAACAACCATTAGGTTGGAGGATATGATATTGGAGGGTCTCATTCTTCCTCCAGGATTAGAAACTGTAGATAGGACCTCATCCTACCTACAGTTCCCCCCCAACCCCAGATGTCAGGAAGAACAGTCTACAGATTGAAGCCAATCTATACCAGGATGTGCAGGTGAGAGTTGAAGAGAAAGTTCTGTCTATATTGGCTGAGCTCCTGGATATAGCCATACCTGAAGCCAGAAGCCCTCATTTTTTCCAATACCATGAGCCAACAAATTTCCTGGGCATTGAGCTGGTTTTAGTGGGTATCTGTTCCTTGAATCCATGATAGTCTTGACTAATTTAGAATTAGTACCTGGAAAGGGAAGGATATTGAGGGGACTACCTAAAATGTGGAATTGGTGGAGCAAAGGTGAGGTAGAGGGACGAGGCCACCGCAGACAAGATATTCACTATAAACTGAATGGGACTCCCTAGATTTATTGCCGTGCATACAATCTGCCCTAAGAAGAGAAACAAGAAATTCCTGTTATGTGGAAGAAAAATAAGCTGATTGAAATCTTGCCTATTTGGGAGTGCCTGGGTGGCTCGGTTGGTTAAAGTTAAGCATCCACTCTTGGTTTCAGCTCAGGTCATGATCTCAGGGTCCTGAGATTGAACCCTACTTCAGGCTCCATGCTCAGCATGGAGTCTGCTTATCTCTCTCCCTCTGCTCCTCCCCCGCTCCCTCTCTCTCTCCTCTCTCCCTAGAATAAATAAAATCCTTAAAAAAAAATCTTGCTTATTTTATTTTGGGACTCTAGTCACATGTCTCTTGAGAAAACTATTTGAGAAAAATATCAGGGTGTTGAAATATGTGGGTGCCTTCACAAAGCCTCCAGCAGGGTCTCCTTAGACGCCGCCAGCTGCCTCTATACACTTCTTGCAGCAGAGACTAGCATCCCCTTGGTTTTGTGAGACTGCCAGAGTTGAATTCTCGGCCCCAAGCCAGAGGAGGAAATTAGTAATAACGTGGAAGATAAGACTGGGATTATCGGAGAACCAGGGGCCACTCGATGCCTCAGGCTATTTTGCAACACTGAGCACTCCCTGTCTATAAACGTGCAATTACCCTCCTTTGGGAAGTGCCTATTAGCTACCTTTCCACCCTCCGCGTGGTAACCTGGGGCAATATAGATGCTAAGGGGAGAGGCAGACGCTGGTCTGTTGCTAGGAGACAGGGTCCAGCAAGGTTGGGCTCCAGGCTCAAACGTGGTGGTAGCGCTTGGGGAACCAAGTCACCCAGGGGTGGGCCTGTGAGCTGGGCCATCCAATCATAGCATTCTATCCGCCTGGGCACAGTGATTGGCTCGGGGCTGGGCATGTGACTCAAATGTCCTTTAAATTCCAACAAGAGGGGATGCCTGGGTGGCTCAGTGGTTGACCTTCTGCCTTTGGCTCAGATCATGATCCCGGGGTCCTGAGATCAAGTCCCACGCTGGGCTCCCCACAGGGAGCCTCCTTCTCCCTCTGCCTCTCTCTGTGTGTCTCTCATGAATAAATAAAATCTTTAACAACAAAAAAAAAATTCCAAAAGAGGAGTTGAGGGCAAGACCTCCCCTCTTTCTTTAAGGCTTTAATCTAGAGGGTTGCTAGCATCCTCTTTTGCCACCATTTAGAGGGATAATAGGATTGCGAGGTGACGGGGAGCTTCTGGATTTTCTTATTTCTAAATTGTAAAAAGCAAATTCATCCAAATAAATTTGAAGGTCTAATTGGCTTTATTAGATAATTCATGAGGGACGCTCAGGTGGTTCAGTTGGTTAAGCAGCTGCCTTCAGCTCAGGTCATGATCCCAGGGTCCTGGGATCAATCAAGTCCCACTTTCAGCTTCCTGCTCAGCAGGCAGCCTGCTTCTCCCCCTCTCTCTGCTCTCCCTCCACCACCACCCCTCGTTCTCTAATAAAATCTTTTTAAAAATTATTTATTTATTCATGTGAGACACAGAGAGAAGGGGGCAGAGACACAGGCAGAGGGAGAAGCAGGCTCCTTGCAGGGAGCCCGACGTGGGACTCGATCCCAGGACCCTGGGATCACGACCCAAGCCGAAGGCAGATGTTCAACCACTGAGCCACCAAGGCGTCCCTCTAATAAAATCTTAAAAAGATTCATGAATTGGGCAGCATCCCTTCTAACACATAGAGGGACACTCCAAGGAGTTGTACAATGTGGAAGGTTTTTATAGGAAGGGGGTTAGGGAAAGAAAGTTATAAGCCAAAGGATTGTTACAGTCACTTGCCCTTAGGGGAAGGCAGGGGGGATTTTATTAAATCGATTGCCTCACCTTTTGTCCCTGGTGAAGGTCCATGTTACAGATTACCTTTGTGCTTGTCAAAAAATTCCCGATTGGTAATTAAGACTTAACATTTCTGGGGCAGCCCCAGTGGCCCAGCAGCTTAGTGCCACCTTCAGCCTGGGGTGTGATCCTGGAGACCTGAGATTGAGTTCCACGACGGGCTCTTGCATGGAGCCTGCTTCTCCCTCTGCCTGTGTCTCTGCCTCTCTCTTTCTGTCTCTCATGAATAAATAAAATCTTAAAAAAAAAAAAAAGACATTTCTTGGGGCGGTTGAAACTGCGATAAGGTTAGGTATTAATCCCTGGTTTGGTGACTGAGCCTGGCCCAGGTTACACCATTTTGGGCTTGTGGTTTCCTTTCCAACAAAGTCAATAAAATTCCTTTCTACTTGAGCTAGACCAAACTGGGTTTCTGTCACTTGCAACAAAAATGACTAAGATGTTAAAAAAAAAATATGGGTACTGCAGCCGTCTTCACGCTGCAGCCAAATGCTAGGCCCTGTTCTAAGAATGGTATGTGCATATTTTATTTAAATCTTGTACCCGTTTTATGAAGAACTATGGCCAACCCACTTGACACACGAGGAAAGTGAGGGTACAACATGACATCATTGCCGAGGGACAAAAAGACAGCGAAGTGGCAGGTCTGAATTCTGCTGCTCCGTGATGCACTATTTTTCTTTTTTTAAAAATAATAATAAATTTATTTTTTATTGGTGTTCAATTTGCCAACATACAGAATAACACCCAGTGCTCATCCCATCAAGTGCCCCCCTCAGTGCTGCACTATTTTTCTTAAAAATTAATCCGTTCTCCCATGTTCAATCCTACCTACTTTATTTATCTTATTTTATAAACCTTTTGGGGTTTGTAGTTGATAAGAAATGCTTTTTTGGCATGGGGAAGGGTGAATGGAATATACAGAGGGAGAAACATAAATCCATAAAACACGTCCCAAATCATGATGAAGCATCTTTCTACACTGAAAATATTTCTAGTAAAGCTCCCGTTCTTTTCTAGCTACCCATCCCGGGGTTAGTCAGTTCCATTGTTAGAAAATGCTTCAATTTGTATGGAAATCTGTCTCCTTGTAACTCTTACCCATTATCTTTCATCTGGTGTCTGGGTTGCTTTAAACCATTCCAAGAACCAGGCAGGAGCACAAACAATCGTGCAACCAGAGCTACATGGAAATGAACACTGATGTAAGCTTTCTGAGCTTCCTGGCAGGCAAGGCATGAAGGAAAAACTCTTTAAAAAAAAATATTTTGTTTATTCATGAGAGACAGAGAGAGAGAGGCAGAGACACAGACAGGGAGAAGCAGGCTCCTTGCGGGGAGCCCAATGTAGGACTCGATCCTGGGTCCCCAGGATCACGCCCTGGACCAAAGGTGGCACTAAACCGCTGAGCCACTCGGGCTGCCCAGAAAAACCTTTTTGTTAGTACTCATCTGGTCAACAGACCAGCTTCATCAGGAGAGCCTGATTTTGTCCTGGGGATAATTGCAGGATGGGTTTATTGCCATAGTTCTCAACCAGGGCCACTGTTTTCTCTGCACCACCACCCCATCACCCCTACCCAGGGGACATTTGGCAATGCCTGGAGATATTTTTGGTTGTCATCATTGGCTGGGCTAAAAGGAGAATGCTACTGGCCTGTAGTGGGTAGAGGTCAGGGATGATGCTAAACATCCTACAACACACATAAGAGCCTCTGACAATAAAGATGGATCCCATCGAAAATGTCAATAGTACGGGGTTGAGAAATCCTGGTTTATCAGGAGGCAATTCAGAAGTGTGTCATGTACATCTTTAGCGGAAGCAAACACGAGGGGTCCTCTGCGGCTAGAAGATACTTGCATAGATACTATGAGTGCACCCAAAGGGCCATCTTACTGTGGGACCCAAAGCTGGACTCCTGTTCTGTGGAGATGACAACCGGGCTCTACAGAATTGCTGCCCATGGGGAAAGTACTCCTGGCCAGGCTTGAGCTTGGCTCTTAGTGGCTCATTGGATTGGAGGTCTTGGTCTTTGAAGGTCTGACTACAGGGTCAGGGAGCCATGTTCATTCCCCGAAACCAGATTCTCTACAGCCTTCAGAAGCGGACCCTGGGCATGGCCACCAAGGCTCATTTTATCCCAGACAGGCCCAATCTCACCACACCCCAGACCTTCAAGGGGCGGGGGCGGGGGGGGGGGGGGCGCTGTCCAAGGTACCGTGGTAGGATTGTCAAACCTTGTCCCTGATGGGCTTCAGGGCTCCACCCCCTCTTCCTCCTTTCCAACCTTCCTTTCCTTTCCTTTCCTTTCTTTCCTTTCCTTTTTCCTTCCTTCCTTCCTTCCTTCCTTCCTTCCTTCCTTCCTTCCTTCCTTCCTTCCTTCCTTCTTTCAGATTTATTTATTCATGAGAGAGAGGGGGTGGGTGGGTAGAGACAAGCAGAGGGGGAAGCAGGCCCCATGCAAGGAGCCCAAGGTGGGACTCGATCCCGGGACCTCAGGACCACGCCCTGGACCAAAGGTAGGCACTAAACCGCTGAGCCACCCAGGGATTCCCCCCCCCCCTCTTTTTAAGATTCTATTTACCCACTCATGAAAGACAGAGAGAGAGAAAAAAAAAGAGAGAGAGAGGCAGAGACACAGGCAGGGAGAGAAGCAGGCTCCATGAAGGGAGCCCAATGTGGGACTCGATCCGGGAACCCTGGGACCACGCGCTGGGTGGAAGGCAGACGCCCAACCGCTGAGCCACCCAGGCAGGCGTCCCTTTTCCAACCTTTTCATTTCATCCCTGGCTGGACATCTACTCCCTTGAACTTGATCATATCTGATGGCTTTTATTGATTCGTCCCTGGACCCAGCTCTGACCTGGAGACCGGTTACCCACCCAGCAAGTAAACCACTGACCTTCCAATCTTCACCCACAATGGTGGAGAGATTTCTGGGTCACTCTCAGCTTCTCCACCCCTTCAGTCTCCCTCCTCTGAGCCCTCCCCCGACTCTCTCAACGATAGAAAGCTCCTTCCCATACCCTCATCTTCCTCTTTTCCTCCGTACCTTCATGTTCAGAAGGGAAGTGCTCTTCCTCCTTGACCCCAGCCACACACACCAAGTGTGTACATTTCTCATTTATAACATTCATTTCCACCTTATAGATGAGGCTCAGGGGGGTTAAGTGACTTGCCCGAGACTACTGTCCAGGACAGAGGAGTTAAGATTTGGACTCTGTCCATTCAGCCTGTGTTCTCAGCCCTTCACCACATTGCCCTGTTCAACATTCTACTCCCTCCACATCATTCATACTTGTTGGTGCACCTGAACACCTTACATTGAGTCCAATCACCAGGCCTTTGCACAAGCTGGGATGGCCTCCTCGCCCAGAGTGGGGCGATCTTCTGGGTCCACAGAAGTGTCCGTTCAGGGTGGTTTGATGGAATCACTCTCTCCTGCACAGCTCCCATCCCACCAAGCATCCTCTTTCATGGCTGACTGATGGGGAGGGGTGGGATATTGTCAAAGCAGTGTTTATTGCTGACTAGGGCATGGGTAGGTAGGGGTCTTGGGGGCCCGAGGGTCTATGTTCCCAGCCCCACAGCCCCAGGGGCGAGGGGAGCCCAGAGGCACATGGCTGTCCTGAAGATTGACCAATCTCAACACTGCTGGGCCCTGGAACTTGGAGACAAACTCATCCTCGTATTGGGTTGAGAAGAAGCGCTGTCCACCCAGCGGGGGCTCAATGTGGCCATACTTGCACTGTGAAGTCAGAGTGGGCAGCCTGGCAAGACAGCTTGGAGCTTGGCTGGCCTACCTGGGCCCACCCCATATGACCCATACATCGTCCCCCCCATAGGATCCTGGGAGCACAAAGGCTGATGATTGGGTTCTGAGGAGGTGGGCTGTTTGGAGCCTAGTTTTGGCTGACCCAGGAGCTGGATGAGAAGCTGGAGAGAAACCCGGGACACCCGGCAGGACCTCAGGACCCCGGTGACCCTAGGCAACGGGGAGCTAACCCTCAGCTGGGGGTATAATAACTGTGGCTGGTGATACGAAGATGTCCTTGAGCTGACCCTGACCCTGACATTAAGATGACCCTGTGCCCGGGGTCACCCTAGAGAGACCCTGAGCGGACTTGACACTAATTCTGGGCCTGAGGAGATGGTATTATCATCCTGAGATAAAGCTGCACTGATGTGGGGGGGGGTCACCGGGTCAGGGAGATACCCCTCCCCCGCCCTCACCCGCTGTAGCATGTCCTCAGTCACGGAGGCCGGAGCTGTTCTGTGAGGCTTCAGCATCTTCTGGTTCGTGGTTAAAAAATCTGTTTCTGGAGATTTGGGTGGGAGTAGTCGAGCTGAGGGGCGGAGGGAGGAGAGGCTTGGCCCCTGGGCGGGAACGCGCGAGATTAGGGATGGGGTAGGACTTGGCGAAGCCAGAGCCCGCGCTGAAGTTGGCGGGGAGGATGGAGAAGGAGGCGGGGAGGAGGGGGGCCGGGGGCGTGGCAAGCACTGGCTGGAGGGCGGGGCCAGGGCCAGGGGGCGGGGCCAGAGTCTGATGGAAAAGCGGGGCTTAGAGTCGGGAGAGGGCCGGGGGTGATGCCTCGGTGGAGGTGGGGGGATAAGGGGGAGTCAAGTCCTCGAAGGGGCGGATCGTCCAGGGGCAGAGTTGCGATCGCGACCCACCCACCAAGCGGAGCCAGGGTCGGGCACTTCAGGAGGCGGAGCCAGGGTCGGGCAGTGGGCGGGGCGAAGCCGGCCGGGGCGGGGCTAGAGCTGCGCCGGGAAGGGAGCCCCCCCCTCCCGCCCCCCGCAACCCGCGCACCGTAGGTGCCCTGGGGCAGGCTGCTCTGCAGCAAGTGGAGACTGGGCGCCTTCTGCGACTTCTGTGCCTTCTCGGGGGGGCAATAGTCCGAGCCCATGGAGGTCTGGAGGAACTGCCCGAGCAGCGAGGAGTCCCCGAGGCACACGTGGCTCTTCAGTTTATCGTGAGGCACGTGGCGGCTGGGTGGCTTGGTCACCGGCAGCTGTAGGACCACGTGGCATGTGGGGAGCTCCCGGGGTCTCCCAAAACCCCCGGGGAGAGAAGAGGCCAGCGCCCTGCGGCCTTGGATAGCTCACACCCTCTCTGGGGCCCACATCGCTGGCGCTGGGAGCAGGCTATGTATCTCATTTTGCAGACAGAGCCACTGAGGCTCCGAGTGGTTGAGTGCCTTAACCCTAGACCGGCAGATAGATCCAGGAGATCCCCCCCCCCACACACACACGTCAAGCTCAGTCTCACCTCAAGGCCTTTGCACTTGCTATTGGTACTGCCGGGGAAACCCTTTTACCTGGTGAGCCTGAGCCTGGGCCTGGGGGGTGGGGGGTGTCTCCCTCCCCCTTCCTGCTGACCTGGCCATGGAAAGAGTGCATGGAGGTGGTGAGGCTGCCCGGACCAGGGCACCAGTTTCCTTCCAGGATGTGCGATGCTGGAGTCTGGTCATGGTGAAGAACAAAACGCTCTGCCAGTGGCAGAGCGGGTGCTGAGCAGACCTGGGAGGCCACTGTGGGGAAGGGGGCAAGGGGAGGGTGGTGGGACGGACAGTAGGCTCACCTGGCTCTCGGGCATAGAAGTGTTCAGCCTTGGTGGTCCTGTCACGGAACAGGCCATCTCCAGGACAAATATTCACATGGTGGATGTGGGCTATGGCCTGAGCCTTGTCATACCTGCAGATAAGAGGGGATGGGATTCATCTGATCTGGGCCCTTGCAACTCGGAGGAAATGGGAGAGGGGCAGACTTCCCAAAGGCCAAGCCGTGGGGTGCTAATGGTGGGTGACCTGACACAGTAGAGAGCCTTGCTGGTAGGGGATGGAGGTCTCAGAGGTAGAGTACTGGCCCTAGAGCCTTGGGCGGCACACTCCACATGTCACTGAGAGCCCTTTGCCCTGTCCTGGTAGAAGGCCACCATCCCTTTTTACCTGTCTGGGGGCAGACCCTGAGGTCTGTAGGCTTGTTTCTGCTCTGAACACATGGGCCCATAGCCAATCTTGAAGTCTCCCAATTCCACACTGGAAGAGGCCTGGGGGCAGACAGAGGTGGAAAGGGCAACACCAGCCAGCCCCTCCTGCTGCCCTCCCCAGCAGCACCAGCCCCACCTCGATTTACCCTCTTACACATCAAGGCAGGTGGGCTCGGCAGAGCCTGGAAGTGTCTCTGGTAGGAGGTCCCATTGTCCTGTCTCCTGTGGTCCCACCTGAGGGGGTTCAGGCCCCCTGAGAAGGAACAAGAATGAGCAGAAAAGGACACTGAGCCCCTGCAGCTCCAGGCCCACTAGGATGCAACTCCCTGCCTGGAAAGGGGAGCTGGGCCGCCCTGACTAGCCTCGCCTGAGGGCTGTGTGGAAAACACCAAAAATAGGGGCTCCTGGGTGGCTCAATGGGTTAAGCATCTGCCTTTGGCTCAGATCATGATCCCAGGGATCTGGGATCAAGCCCCACATGAGGCTCCCTGCTCCTCGGGGTGTTGGCTTCTCCCTCTCCCTTGGCCCTCCACCCCACTCATGTGTATGCATCTTCTTTCAAATAAATAAAGAAAATCTTTAAAAACATTAAAAAAAAGAAAACACCAAAAATAATACAAAGGATGATACAAGAATAGCTACCAAGTATTGGACTAGGAATCTAGGGTAAGCGCTTCAAGCCTCATCTGCAGGGTTCATCTTATTCTCCCCACTTTACAGCCTCAGAGAAGCCAAATGACTTGCCAGAAGTCACGAAAATTCAAAACCAGAACCGAGTCAAACCCAGATCTGACTATCCCTGAGTCCAGCTTGGAGGGACTTTGGACTAGTGACGTCCACCAGCAGTCCCTTAGAGTGATAGAATTGGAAAATCCAACAAGTGGCAGTTACTCTTTTTTTTTTTTTTTTTTTTTGAGTGCTCACTCTATGCCAGGTGCATCATGCACTCTGGGTTCTTTTGGCTTCCCCAGCTCCTATGAAGTGGGGTGCTATTGTTGCACCCATTTTGCAGATGAGGAAAATCCAGGCTTGGAGAGGTCGACTTGCTCAGAGTCACGTATCTACTAGGGTGGCAGGGCTGGGGTGGGGGTGACTTAGATTTGTCTGATTCCAAACCACCATTCATGGCTTCTGCTCATGGCACAGGCCCTTGAGAAAAATCCAGGAGCTTATGCCATTCGATGGATATAGAAACCGAGGCTCAGGGAGGTTCCAGGTTTTCTTGGGCTGGGTACTATTGACCTTTGGGGCTGGATAATCCTGGCCTAGGGGGAGCTGTCCTGTGCACGGTAGGACGTTTTCCAGCATCCTCGGCCTCCATTCACTCCTTGCTAGTGGCACCCCTTGACAACCAAAGCGATCTCCAGGGGCACCTGGGTGGCTCAGCGGTTGAGCATCTGCCTTTGACTCAGGCTGTGATTCCGGGGTCCCGGGTTAGTGTCCGGGCATACGGCTCCCCACAGGGAGCCCGCTTCTCCCTCTGCCTGTGTCTCTGCCTCTCTCATGAATAAATACATAAAATCTTAAGAGAAAAACAAACAATCTCCAGATCTAGCCACGCGTCCCCTGGGGGAGGGCGCGGAATCCCCCCCACCACCACCACTGGGCTGCCACATCGCGCCGGCGCCCGGGGCGCGCTCACCGAGGTGGCAGCAGGGCGCGCGGGGCTGCGGGCACGGGGCGCGGAGCGCGTAGAAGTCCTGGTAGGTGGTGGGCGGGATGCGCAGCTTGGCCGGGTCGCCGGGCGCCACCGAGTCGCGGTCGAAGATGAGACGCGCGCCGTGGATCTGCTCGCGGGCGCGCGCCGGCGCCTCGGGCCAGCCGAAGTCGGCGCGCACGGTGGAGGCGCCGGTGCGGACGCGCGCGGACGGGTGCACGCGCAGGCCGCTGCCCTGCAGGGCGGGGGTGCGCTCCCGCGTCTCGGGGCGCGTGCACGGCGGCGGGGGCGCGAACGCGCAGTGCGTCTCGGACCGGAGCTCGGCGCCCCGCGAGCGCGCGTCCTGGGGCAAGAGGGACCCTCGCGGCGGCTGCTGGCACCGCGGCGCGCCGGTGACGCCCGGGTGGGCCGGGAAGTCCCGATGCGACGTGGATTGCATGGCGCCCGCGTGCAGCCGCGGGTCGGGCCCCAGTGCAAAGTGCGAGGCCTTGAGGAAGGCCCGCCGGGACAGCGGGCAGGGCAGCGGGGCGACCGCGGCCATCGCGGGACAGGGCGCCACCTGCGAGGGGCGGAGGTCCGGGAGTGAGCCAGGGCCCGGCCGCCCGAGGACAATGCTGCCTTTGACTCCTCGCAGTGTGCCAGGCGCGGGGCACTCGGCGGAGCGCCGGGGACGCCGTACAAAGCAGGCGCAGCCCCGGTGCCTGCCCCCCGCCCGGGGAAAAGCAGGCGTATCATCATTCATTGACGCTTACTGTGTGCCCCCTGGAAGGGGGGACCGTCAGATAACAAAACGGACCGAGATCCGTGCCCTTGGGGGTTCATAATGGGGCGTGGAGGTAACAGACAACACTGAATAAGTGCACACCCATAAATTGCAGAGTTAGGAGAAGGGGCTAAGTGCTGCGGGTAAAAGCATGACACAGGGTAGGAGGATGGGGGGTGAGGGTGGGAGGGTTGCCGGTTTAAATGGGATAGTGTCACTGAAATGAGGAGCAAAGAGCTGTGAAAGGGGGGAGAGGAGCTTCTGGGTGCCTGAGGGAACAGCATTCCAGGCAGAAGGAACAGCAGGTGCAAAGGCCCCTCTCGAGGCCACTACAAAATGAGCATCAGGAAGGGCTGAGACACGGGACACCCGGGTGGCTCAGTGGTTGAGCGTCTGCCTTTGGCACAGGGCATGATCCCGGGGTCCTGAGGTTGAGACCCCCACCGGGCTCCCTGCAGGGAGCCTGCTTCTCCCTCTGCCTGTGTCTCTGCCCCTCTCTGTGTGTCTCTCATGAACAAATAAAATCTTAAGAAAAAAAAAAAAAGGGCCCGAGAGAATTAACCATTGTTTTTTTAGTTTGTCTGCTACAGGAGCCCCCTCTCCTCACCCTCACTTAGGGGTCAAGGCCATGGCTCTCCCCTCTATGTCTGCTCAGTCCTGGCCACTGTCCCATCTCTGCCACACACTTCCTCATGGGCCCTCCTGCCCTCTGCAGTTGTTCTCCTGGATCTCTTCCAGTCCTCAAACTCTCTGAGGCTGAGACACCTCTCGCTGCACTTCGCTCATCTCCAGCTCCCGGCTGCCAGGAGCCCGCTTAGCTGACTGGGCCTTTCTTGCCTTTGGTCAGAGCAGAGGAGTCTCTCCTCCCAGTGCCTCAGAGACCAGCCCCTAGGGTGCCACCAGCATCCCGGGAGCCGGCCCAGCCCTGCCCGGATCCCATCAGCTCACAACTAGCTCATGTTGACCTCTTTAGAAAACAGGCATCAAGCATTTTAACAACACCACAGTTTTTCAGCACCTGTGTTTGCTTTTCTGATCATTTTGGCACCTAAAATAGTTGAGCAGGGGCAGCCCGGGTGGCTCAGCGGTTTAGCGCCGCCTTCAGCCCAGGGCCTCACCCTGGAGACCCGGGATCAAGTCCCACATCAGGCTCACATCAGGCTCCCTGCATGGAGCCTGCTTCTCCCTCTGCCTGTGTCTCTGCCTCTCTCTCTCTCTCTGTGTCTCTCATAAATAAAATCTTAAAAAAAAAAATAAAATAGTTGAGCATTGAGAAGTCCTCAAATAGTTTATGGGGAATCTGACAACTGAAGTTACTAGCTAGGTCACCTTGGAATAAGTGATTGGGCTCCTGTGAACTTCAGCTTCCATAGCAGGGATGAGCACATGCTACTTACCTCAAGGGGTGGCATGGGGACTTATGAGTCCTAGAAAATGCGCTTGGCCTCCGGCCTGACCCTGAGACTCCTTCTGTCTCCAGTCTCCCAGAGGATGCTCACATGTTCCTTCCAAGGCTGCGTCCCGCTGTGGTCCAGAACTGCCCATTGTGACCAAAGAGCTGTCCTCAGATGGTGCTGTCACAATGGTCCCCCAGCAATCCTGAGGGCAGCTGGGAGGAAGATCTGGAGGGAGGCCAGGGGATCCTGCGTCCTGAGAGCTCAGGAGAGCTTGGCAAGCGACTAGACTTCCCCGAGCCTCAGTTTTGTCATCTAGAAAACGGGGCTGAGAATGGCAACCACTTCAGAAAGCAGCATTGAAAAAAAAAAAAAGAAAAGAAAAAGAAAAAAGAAAAAGAAAAAGAAAGCAGCATTGAGGGGCAGCCTGGTGGCTCAGGGGTTTAGCGCCACCTTCAGTCCGGGGCCTGATCCCCGAGTCTTGGGATCAAGTCCCGGGATCGAGTCCCACATCGGGTCCCTGCATGGAGCCTGCTTCTCCCTCTGCCTGTGTCTCTCTCTCTGTGTCTCTCATGAATAAATAAATAGAATTAAAAAAAAAGCAGCAGTGAAGATTTGAAGCCGCAGGCTGCTGGTATTCACTATTATCATTTTCCAAAGTTTTCCTGCTTGTCTGCTCCCTCACATTTCCCACACAGGACTAGCCAGTGTCTTTGGTCTTTGGGTCACTACAATGATTAATGTCATTCTAAGGCTCACAGATCTCCAAGGTACCTTTTTTTTTTTTTTTAGAGTTTATTTATTTATTAATGAGAGACACAGAGAGAGACAGAGACATTGGCAGAGGGAGAAGCAGGCTCCCTGCAGGGGGCCTGATGTGGAACTTGATCCCAGGACCCGGGATCACGACCTGAGCTGAAGGCAGTTGCTCAACCACTGAGCCACCCAGGTGCCACGAAGATCTTCATTTTTATCAGAAAGTCTCAGGAATGAAGTAAGAATAAAGCTGCCATTGGTAAAAAGAACAACAGTCAGACTATCCAGGAAAACTGAATGTCCAGTTGCTGCTGTGGTTTGGACAGTGCTCATGTTTTGCCCGCATTCAGACGTGATTACGGGGCGAGCTTGTTTTGTCTTGTTCCACCGCGGTCACGGAGCGGCCTTGACCACCGCTGGCATTCTGCAAAATTATTTATGTCCAACAGGAGAACACCAGGGCTTAGCTGGGACTGCCAGGCCAGCTCCTAGCAACAACAGGGCCAGCTGGGAACGCCAGGCTAGCTCCTGTCTCTCTCTCAAAGGTCAAGTTCAACCCTAACCAGATGGCGGAGGACACTGTGAGGGCTGGGCAGGGCTTGCAAGACTCACTGCTGCATGCTCGGTGCCTGGCACAGGACCTGGCCCTCAGTGGTCACGCAGAAAGGCGCTGTGCTGTTAACCAAGCTGTCAGGGGCAGCGTGGGCTCAAAAGAAGGGATCTAGCCACTCCTGCGGCAGCAGCAGGCTCTTCAGCCCAAGACCCCCATTCCCTTTGCAGGCCTTGGGCTCGGCTTGGACTTTTTTCTGCTGCAGGAACAGTGTCCCTAGTTAGGGGGTGGGGGCACACAGACAACTGTGCCCAAGTCTTAAGCAAGGAGGGCTGTGGTCAGATGTGGGGGTTAAAGAGTCTCTTGAGATGTTGTCAGGAAGGCAGACCCGGGGGAGGCAGAGTTTGGGGTCCTGGACTTGGAGAGAGGAAGCGGGCTGCCTATGGAAGGGGCTGTGGGCCAGGAGGTAGTGGATAGATTCGACATTTTGGTGCACGGTGAGACAAAGAGGTGAGCACCATGCCCAGATCTGTGACTGGGTGGCTCAGTGACTGACAGGGCTGCCCTGAGATGGGAACACGGGAGAGAAAGATGTTTGAGGATGATGCTTAAGTCCACTGGGACATGCTGAGGGTGGGGATGGGGTTGGTGGGATTTGCAGGGAAAGTGTCCAGGGGGCAGGTAGGTTAGGAGTCAGGTCACGATTTAAAGAGGCATGAGGGAGAGGCCAGTGGCGAGGGGCCCAGGGAAGTCGGAGGAGTGGATGGTTTCTCAGGATAGTGCGGATGGAGTGTGAGCACAGAGCTTTCGGTGAGGAGCTGAGCTCTGCCGGCTACGGCACTGATTGAGAACTTGAGAACTTGTCTTGTGCCAGGCTGTGGGAACATAGCTGTGACCAAGACATATCAAAGTCCTCACATTCTGATGAGAGACAACTAGGCAAGTAGATAAAGAAGCAATATAGTTAATGTTAGATAATATTCCAAGCTAAGGAGAAAAATAAGGCAGCAGGAAATGTGGGAAGTGCCCAGGAGGGTGTGATGGGGCGGTCCCATGAGAAGATGATGTTCCAGTAAACAGGAGGAAGAGGTGAGGGAGGGAGCCATGTGGCAATCTGGAGGGAGAGATTCTAGGCAGAGGGTACAGCCAATGCAAAGGCCCTGGGGGCAGGAGTGTACTATAACTTTAAGGACCAGGAGGAAGGCAGTGTGGTTGGAAAGAAGGGAGTGAGACACTAAGAGTCATATAAGTTGAAATAAAGGGGAAATATTTTCCAAAAGGCAAGCAGTCAACATCATTAGTCATGAGGGAAATAAAAAGCAAGGCAATAGGAGATATCCACCCAGCAGGATGGCCATAATAATAGTAACGAAGCAAAATAAAAGTGTTGGCAAGAGGGGCACCTGGGTGGCTCGGTCGGTTGAACATCTGCCTTCAGTTCAGGTCATGATTCTGGGGTCCTGGGATCAAGCCCTGTGTCAGATTCTCTGCTCAGCAGGGGGAGCCTGCTGCTCCCTCTCCACCTGCTGCTCCCCCTTGCTCCCTCTCTCTCTCTCAAATAAATAAATAAATGAAAAACTTAAAAAAAAGTGTCAAGAATGTGGAGAATGTTGAGCATTGCTGGTGGGAATGTAAAGTGGTGCAGCCAATGTGGAAAACAGTCTGGTAGTTCCTCAAAAAATCAAACACAGAGCCACTGTATGACTCAGTCATTCCACTCCTGGGTGTTTACCCAAAGGAACTGAAGTTGAAGGAAGATACACACAGACCCATGTTCATAGCAGCATCATTCAGTCTCCAAAATGTGGAAACGGCCCAAGGATCCATCAATGGCTGAATGGATAAACGAGATGCGGTAGGTCCATACAAGGGAATATTATCCAGCTGCAAAAAAAATGAAGTATTGATATAAGCTGCAATGTGGATGAACGTCAGAAACATGATGCTAGGGGCACCCAGGTGGCTCAGTGGTTGAGCATCTGCCTTTGACTCAGGTCGTGATCCTGGGGTCCTGGGATCAAGACCTGCATCAGCTCCCCACAGGGAGCCTGGTTCTCCTTCTGCCTGTGTCTCTGCCAGTCTCTCTGTGTATCTCTCATGAATAAATAAATAAAATCTTAAAAAAAAAAAAAGAAAAAAGAAAAAGAAACGATGCTAAGCGAAAGAAGCCAGACACAAATGGTCACATATTGCAGTATCCCCGTTATATGAAATATCCAGAATAGGTAAACCCACAGAGACAAAGCAGATGGGGGTCGGGTAGGAAGGACTAGATTTACTGCTTGCCAGAGTTACAGGGTCTTCTCCGAGGATGATGAAAATGTTTTGAAGCTAGCAAGGGGTGATGTTCTTACCTGCAGGTGTCCTAAATGTCATTGCACCGTACATCTTAGAAAGGTGCCTCATATGTGAATTTTACGATTTGGAAGGAAAAAAAAAAAAGGGAACGGGTCATGTTAACTTCTTGAAAAATCTCACTTGACTTTTTAAACATTTTATTTATCTATTTGACAGAGAGGGCACCACTCACGGGCAGGGCGAGCAGGAGTGGGAGAAGCAGACTTCCCGCTGAGCTGGGAGCAGGATGCCAGGCTCCATCCCAGGACCCTGGGATCATGACCTGAGCTGCAGGCAGGCGCTTAAAACCCACTGAGCCACCAGGCACCCCGCATCTGACTTTCGGATGAGATCATACATGCCCGTTGCACAAAGTTATACGAGATGCTGGTTGTTAACTACACTTACTGTAATCGTTTCATGGTATCTGTGAGTCAGACTTTTGTGCTATGCACCTGAAATTCATACAGGACGTACACATCAATTATCTCGCAATAAATCGGGGGCGGGGGAGCTACAAACTGGTACAAAGGGGCGCCTGCCTTCCGCTTGGGTCGTGGTCCCGGGGTCCTGGGATCGAGTCCTGCTCCTCCCTCTGCCTCGGTGTCTCATGAATGCATTAAAAAAAAAAAACAAACAAACCCAAAACCTGGTACAAAGGTGAACAACTTAATATCCCTCTTCCCAGCCGCGCGGTTAGCTACCCTCTCCGGCGCAGCTCGTTACCGGGCTCTCGCCTATTCTAGAACGAGTCTAGGAGTTGCCTTAACTTTCCAAAAAGGCCTTGTACATGCTCACTAGAGCCGAGCAGACAGGTTGGTTGGTGCTTCCGCCCGGCCATTACTTTTGTGGGTGGACGGTTAACGCCGAAAAGACGACCGGTGGCGGGGCCGAGGGCCGTCCGGGTGCCCAGGCCCGGGGAGCGCACACGCCGCGGCCAGCCCGCTGCGAACCGCCGCTGCGGGGACAAAGGGTCGCGACCGCGCCTGCGCACAGCTTTCCCGCGGGGCGTGGCCTCGCCCCTCGCCCCGCCCCCCGGCGCTCCGCGCTGACGTCACGGCGGAGTTGCCATGGCGGCGCTGAGCGGCCTGGCGTCGGCGCTGGAGTCGTACAGGGGCCGGGACCGCCTGGTGAGGCTGGGGCGGAGCGCGGCCGGAGGTCGCCGCGCGGGGCCTGAGCTCGGAGACGGGACGCGGCGGCCAGAGAGGCCGGGGTCGCCCAGGATCACCCCGCGCAGAGGCGCGCTCCCGGCTGGGCTCCGACCCTGTCCCCGAGCGGTGGACATAGGCTGTTTCTGGTCACCCTCCGGGGCTGGGTGTTGTCGATACCAACCGGATCCGCACGTTTGGACATTCGGGATCCGACCAGCCCACTGAAGACCGGCACGGGGCTGTCCCAGTCAGTGTGGCAGGGCTCCCCCATGGCCGCACATTGAGGTGGCGACCGGATCCCCCGTGACTGGGCACTTAGGTTGTTACAGTGCACCCTGGCTGGACATTTACAGGCCGCCCGGATCGTGTCTGAACATTTAGGATCTGACCAGGCCGCTGGAGTTGGTCCCCGGGTGTCCTTAGGGATCTTATACGGGGGTCTGGGATTTTGTAGGCCCTTCCCGTTATGGCTGGAAGCCCTTGAAGGCGGACTCTCAGCTTGTTCCTACATAAGCTGCTGTTTTCTAGGTTGGCATTTAGGTCGTGCCAGGAAATGTACCAGTGGTGGGCACTTAGGTTCGAGTCACCTCCCTTATGATTGGGCATTCAGGTGGGGTTTTTTTTTTTTTAATCAATTTTTTTTTAAGATTTTATTTATTTACTTATTTATTCATGAAAGACACAGAGAGAGAGAGGCAGAGACACAGGTAGAGGGGGAAGCAGGCTCCATGCAGGGAGCCTGATGTGGAACTTGATCCCGGGACTCCAGGATCACGCCCTAGGCCAAAGGCAGGCACTAAACCGCTGAGCCACCCAGGGATTCCCCTTTTTTTTTTTTTTTTTTAAGATTTTATTTATTTATTCATGAGAGACACACACAGAGAGAGGCAGAGACACAGGCAGAGGGAGAAGCAGGCTTCCTGTAGGAGCCCAATGCAAGACTCAATCCCAGGACCCTGGGATTGAGACTTAAGCCAAAGGCAGACAGTCAACCCCTGAGCCACCAGGGCATCCCTGGGCATTCAGGTTTTAATAAATTCCCAAGCTGTACATTTAAATTGCAGAGTTTCACTATTACAGAGGGACCGAAAATAAATTATAAGTGAAAATCATATGTAAAACAACAGGAAGAAGCGATTTCTGGAAAGCAGATGAACTAAGGATGTGAGGGCGGTGAAGGTGACCCAGTTCCCAATGCCCCAAATCACCCGCTGGGTGGGTTCCTTCTCACTGAAGTAATTCAAGCAGGTTACCTTTTTTGCCCACTGGGCTGAGGCCTCATCACTTCTCCATTCCCCAGCCCAGCGGCTTTGGTCCAGCCGCATAGGTGCAAATATACACGTCCACCTCGTCCTCCTGCCTGCTGGGAAAAGGAGGACCCAGGAGGTGGGGCATGGTTTCATTTTCTTGCCTCCAGCACATCTGTCTCCAAAGGCTGTGCCCCTCAGGGACAAAGGCCAGCACTCCTTTGGAGTCCCCACAGGGACTTTTGGACAATGAGGTCACATTTCTCCATGTGTCCCACCTGCAAGTATCTCTTTAAACTTTCAGCTTTTGCCTTTTAAATTTATATATGTTTTAAGATTTTATTTATTTATTCATGAGAGACACACAGAGGCAGAGACACAGGCAGAGGGAGAAGCAGGCTCCCTGCAGGGAACCCGATGTGGGACTCGATCCCGGGACCCTGGGATCATGACCTGAGCCAAAGGCAGATGGTCAACTGCCGAGCCACCCAGGCACCACTAAGCTTTCAGCGTTTATTGGAAGTTTGTTGATCTAGCCTGCACACCCCGTACCCCACATGACCCCCAGGGGACCCACGGCCACATGGGGGCCGACCCGGCTCAGCCCAGGAGCCGGGCCCTGCTGACTGCCTCTGGTCTCCCGCAGATCCGAACGCTGGGCTACTGCTGCCAGCTGGTTGGCGGGGTCCTGGTGGAACAGTGTCCAGCCCGGTCAGAAGTGGGGACGCGCCTGCTCACACTGTCCTCCCAGCTCAGCCACTGCAGGACTGTCCTGCGACTCTTTGACGACGTGGCCATGTTTATCTACACGAAGCAGTATGGCCTGGGGCCAGAGGTAACGGGGTGCAGGGGGCCGTAGAGAGGGTGGTGCAGGCTTGGGGCCTCCAGCCTTTAACGGAGATGTCTAAAGGCAACTGTGTGGACAGATTTATTATTATTATTATTCTTTTTAAAGATTGATTATTTATTTATTTATGAATGATAGAGAGGCAGAGACACAGGCAGGGGGAGAAGCAGGCTCCATGCAGGGAGCCCGATGCGGGACTCGATCCAGGAACTCCAGGATCGTACCCTGGGCCAAAGGCAGGCGCTAAATTGCTGAGCCACCCAGGGATCCCCCAGATTTATTATTTTTAAGAATTTTGCTTGCTTTTTGTGAGATGATCCTATGTGCTCCTTTGAATTTAAATGAACAATTAGCTGATGCGTTCACACCTTCCAAGGGCTGTATAATTAAAAAGTCTCCCTCCTTTCTGATCCCCTCACCCCGTTGTCCTCTCCAGAGGCAGCTACTCTTGTCAGCTTTCTGGGATCCCTTCACGCGCTCTACACGCACAGACAATCCCACGGTTCACATAAGTAGCTTTGTGCCACGGTCACTGTCCGGCCACTTGCTTTTTTCCTCCTAACCAAGCCCCGCTTGGAGGTCGCTCCATGTTAGTGCAAACCGAGCTCCTTCCTTCTTTGCGGCCACACGGTATAGATACTCTGCTCCATAGCTGGATGCTGCTTTATTTAGCTGATATCCGCTGGCGGACGTGTAGATGCTGCTGTTCCGGCAGCGCTGCAGCATTTCACAGGAATGCCAGTGGGTCTAGGGCCGTGCTCCTCCCCAGGGGCAGTCCTCCTCCCCGCCAGGGACATTTCCCCAGGGGCTGGGCTCACAAGCTGCCCTGGGCCAGCCTGGCCAAGTGATGCCCCTCCCTGGGCTGCACTGCGTGTCTCCTGATCCCTTCTATGAGCCACTCAGGTTCAAATGCACCCACCTCTCTTCCACTCTGGAGCCCATGGCCCAGTCACCTCAGTCTCAAGTGCTTTCTGGACCTTCCTCCTGTTTTGTGTGTGTGTGTGTGTGTGTTTAAGATTTTACTTATTCATGAGAGACACAGAAAGAGGCAGAGACACAGGCAGAGGAAGAAGCAGGCTCCTCTCAGGGAACCTGACTCGGGACTCGATCCCAGGACCCCGGGATCACGACCTGAGCCAAAGGCAGACAGATGCTCAACCAGTGAGCCAGCCAGGTGTCCCCTTCCTCCTGTTTTGACGCCCATCTCCCACCCTCTTTGTTTAGGGCACTCTTCCTGTGTGTCCCCCAGAGGACCCCTCCCCGAACCAACATCTCTGGGTCCCTAGACAAGAGGCAGGGATCCTCTGCACTTTGTCTATCCCTTGGCCAGAACAAGAACTCCTTTTGTTGGGTCCAGTGTTTATGAGTCTGTGAGCATCTCCTCCTCCCCAGCAGGGCCTCGACCTTGCTGCTTGTCTGGAGACACGGGTGGAATGAGGAAATGTGGGGGTGAGGGGGGGTGCTGCTGCGGGGAGGGCCCTGTTTTCATGGACAGTGAAATACGCCACCGCACCAGAAGGTCCCAGGCAGGATGGGGGAGCTGGCATGGGGCTCAGAGCCTAGAGGGAGGCAGGATCACAGCTGGCTCGTAGGAGGGAAGGGGCCTCAGGAAGGGGTTCCTGGGAAGATGAAGAGGAGGGGGAGGGGAATGGCAGGCATCCAGGATGAGGAGGCTGAAGGCAGGGAAGTGAAGGGGGACACCCCAGCTTGGAGGCCTCGAGGGAGTGGGGTCCTGAGGGCAGGGCCCAGGAATGCAGCCTGGGCACCAGGCTCCTGCAGTCTCACCTGGCCCTGTCCCGCTGGATCTGCCCTGTGGGGTCAGGGTGCTCTGCACGAGTCCTGAGGCAGGGAGCCTGGCCTGGAGACCCGAGCGCAGGACATGGAAGGCCCTGATGCCGGGCCACCCAAGGGGTCCTACCTGGGAATCAGCTGGGGCCAGGGCGGACTCGGGACCTAGTGAGCCAGAGCCCCTTGGGGGGGCGGGGGGGCCTGCTGGGCAGGACCTTGCCCCGTGATGGCCGTCTGGCTTGGTCCGGGTCCTGCAGGAGGAGGACAGCTTTGTCCGCTGCGTCTCCGTCCTGGGCAACGTGGCCGACCAGCTCTACTACCCCTGTGAGCACATCGCCTGGGCTGCTGATGCCAACATCCTCTGCGTGGACTCCGCCCGGTGGTGGACGCTGAGCACAGCCTTCTGGTGCCTGTCCCTGCTGCTGGGCATTGCCAGGTAAGTGGCCTGAATGCCCGCCAGGCCCAGGGGTCACCAAGACCTGGGCAGAGGGGCCGACAGGCTGGAGGCAGGTGGGTCTTTTCTTCTTCCCTTAGCCTCCTCTTGGGGCCACCCCCCGCCCCCACGCGGCTGCTGTGACAGGTTCCCACACCCCCGGTGGCTTTAAACAGCTCCCACCGACTGGCTCACAGTTCCAGGGGTTGAAGTCCAGTGTGGAGTCAAAATCCAGGGGAGGGCAGGGCTGTGCTGCTTTGGGAGCTCAAGGGGGAACCTATTCCTGCCCTTTACTGCCTCTAGGCTTCTATTTTTTTTTTTTAAGATTTTTATTTATTCATGAGACATGGAGAGAGACAGACAGAGAGAGAGAGAGAGAGAGAGAGAGAGAGAGAGAGAGAAGGGCAGAGACACAGGCAGAGGGAGAAGCAGGCTCCATGCAGGGAGCTCAATGTGGGACTTGATCCTGGAACTCCAGGATCACGCCCTGGGCTGAAAGCGGCGCTAAACGGCTGAGCCACCCTGGGTTCCCCGCTTCTAGGCCTCTAGAGACCACTGCATTCCTCGGCTCGTGGTCCCTCCCCCTCCATCTTCAGAGCACACCCCACAGCCCGTTTCCCTGGGCACGCCTCTGACTCCCACCCTGCTGCCTCCCATGGAGGGCCGCCCGAGCCCCCCCATCTCAAGACCCTTAACTCAGTCCCATCTGCGGAGTCCTTTTTGCCACGTGAGGGAACAGGCTCACAGGTCGGGGGGATTAGGACGTGGCCCCCAGGACCCAGGAAGCAGAAGGAACTCCAGGCCCCAACAAAAGCAGCTGGTGGGGTGCCTTTCCTGGGTCACCCATGATGAGCATGCGTGCTCATCGGCAGACATCCCCAGAGAGAACAGCCAGGGGTTTCCTGACAGGCTGTGTGCCTCTGAAACCCATACTGTTTCTAGAACTTTCTTTTAATTATTTTTAAAGATTTTATTTATTTACTCATGAGAGAGAGAGACAGAGAGAGAGAGAGAGAGAGAGAGAGAGAGAGAGAGAGAGGGAGAGAGGGAGACAGGCAGAGGGAGAAGCAGGCTCCATGCAGGAAGCCCAACATGGGACTCAACACTGGGTCTCCAGGATCATGCTCTGAGCCCAAGGCAGACGCTCAACTGCTGAGCCACCCAGGGGCCAGTTTCTAGAACTTTCAAGTAATGGTTTCTTCCTGAACGTTTTCCTCTCTGTAAAATTTGCTGAGTGGGTGTGCTCGGAGTTCCCTGCCCAGAAAGCACAGGCCTCTCAGATCCCTGGAGGGAGGGAGCGGTGCCCAAGTCCACCGCCACTTGTCCCCAGGCCAGACACTGGTGTTTGGCCGTCCTGGTTTTCCCCAGTTACACTTGCCCCCAATCACATTCTTATGGTTGATAGTCTGGGAGATGAACACACCCCAGAGTGGAAGATACAGACCACCTACAGTCCATCCCAGAGAACCCCGCTCTCCATACTCTGGTGATTGTTTCCAGCCTTCGAGGCTTCTTGGTCTATGCGCCCCTCCTGGCCTCAGCCTTCCCCATGAGCTCGCGGACACCGGGCTGGCTCACGGCCTCTCCTCAGAGGGCTGGGGACCTCTGGCCCCATGGCACATCCCGTTCTATTTTAGAACAGCCTTGGTTTCATTTCTTTTTCTTTTTTCTTTTAAGATTTTATTTATTTATTCATGAGAGATGCACAGAGAGAGGCAGAGACACAGGAGGAGGGAGAAGCAGGCTCCATGTAGGGAGCTGGACGCGGGACTTGATCCCGGGACTCCAGGATCACACCCTGGGCTGAAGGCGGCGCTAAACCACTGAGCCACCAGGGCTGCCCTCATTTCTTTTTTTAAAGATTTTTTATTTTTAAGTAATCTTTACACCCAACGTGAGGCTCAAACTACAACCGCGAGATCGAGAGTTGCACACTCTACCGACTGAGCCGGCCAGGCGCCATGGTTCCATTAATTTTTAAAAATAAACTATTTTTAGAGTTTTCGGTTCACAGCACAACTGAACTGGAAGTAGAGTCTCTATAGCTTCCCACCCAACCCACGGCCCCTCCACTACCAGAATCCCCAGCAGTTGATGAACCTGCATCGATAAGTCAAGCACCCCAAGTCTGTGGATTGCTTTAGGATTCGTCTCCGTGTTGCGCATCCTGTGGGCTTGGACAGATGTCTAATGAGACAGATCCTCTGTCATGGTCTCACGGGGTAGTGGCAGTGCCACCAAACCGTCTGTGCTCTGCCTATTGCATTCATTTTTTAGAGCATGTGCTTTTCCCTCATTTCTTTTTGGTGTGAGCAACTGTGGGGGTCCCAACCAGGTGTGTGTAAGACCCCAAGGCGCCTGAGAATCACCAGGGAGGTTGCCGAGATGCAGATGCCCAGGAGCCTAGAGGTGTGGATCCTGCTAGTCTGGGGACCCGGGGCCCAGGAATTGGCGTTTTGCCCCCGCGTGCCAGGAGGCTCTGAAGCAGACCTGCTTACTCACTGCAGGTGCTGACTTGTGGCCCAGACTCTGGGGACAGGTCACCTGGGCAGGTACACATGCCTGGCTCTGATATCAGGAGCACTGGATGCTCGGGGTACTGGGGGCTCAGTCGGTTAAGCATCTGCCTTCAGCTCAGGTCACGATCCCGGGGTCCTGGGATGGAGCCTGGCTCTTGTCTGGCCCCTGATTAGCGGGGAGCCTGCTTCTCCCTCTTCTTCTGCCGCCCCCCCCCCCACCATGTGGATGTGCACGCCTGCGCAGGCTCTTTCAAATAAGTAAAATCTTCAAAAAAGCAGCACTGGATGCTTCCAGATATCGTGTGGACAGTCCAGGCAGGTCAGGGTACAAAGTAGGAGTCCCCAGGAGCTTCTGAGGCACAGCCAGGGCTGGAGCTCTGGGAGGCGCGGGACGGTTGGAGCCACCCAGTGAGCTCAGCAAACTTTACAGGGAACCTGTGGCCCTGGTGGCGGGCGCCAGTGTCCCCTCAGGCTGGCCATGGGGCCCTCACCCCCGCGCCCCCCTCCCTGCTTTTCTTGCCTGTTGCAGGTCCCTGTGGCTGGTCCTGACGCTGAGACGGAGGCTGAGGAGCCCTGTGGTGGCCTTCACCAGGTAGGACCTCGGGGTAGCGCCCGGCAGAAAGGCCGGCTTCCTCGGACATGCTGGGGACCGTGTGGGTGTCCCTAGCCGGGGAGGGGCTTTGAGGCCTCACTAGTTATCAGCCTCGCCCCCTGGGGGCCACCAATGCTAGGTCACAGGGCCTTACCGCAGCTCCAGGGGCTGGCACAGATGGGGAAACTGAGGCCCTGTTGGCAGGAAGTGGCTGAGCCCACATGGCTGGGTCCCCAGCAAGGAGGACGATCAGGGTGGTTTCTGGAGGACTATGGTCACTGTCACTGTTTCATCCTGGGAGGGGATGTGGGACAAAGCCGTGCCCACCGGCCAGCCACCCCCCTCAGCTCCCTGCCTGTTTCCAGGGGCTGGGGTGTGGGTTCGAGACTTCCCATGCCAGTCTGCACCCTGCTCATGCCCTGGGTTCCCTTTGGGGGGTGTGACAGGGACTCTGTCCCCGTGGCAGGGTCGGGGACGGTGGCCTCAGCCTCACCATTTCTCATTCATTGTGCTGTCGCCTCTTCCTGCCCGTTTGGGTGGCTGCCGTGTCCCCAGCCGTCTTCTCTTTGCTTCCACAGCCGGCTGCCCCGAAGCAAGCGGAGGGCCATGGAGGCCCAGGTCCGGTCAGAGGTGCTGGCTGTCCTGAGCAACCTGGCCGATCTGGCCAACGCCGTGCACTGGCTGCCTCGGGGCATCCTGTGGGCCGGCCGCTTCCCCCCGTGGCTCGTGGGCCTCCTGGGCACCGTGTCCTCCCTCCTCAGCGTGTACCAGGCGGTCCAGGCCCGCGGCAGGGAGGCCGCCACCACCCCCTGATGCGGCCCGGGCGGGGTGTGGGTGCGGCCGGAGCCCCGCCAGAGGGCCCCTTCCCACCAAGCAGCAGCCACTCGGGTGGGGGGCAGGGTCTGGAGCGGAGGGAAATCTGCCGGGTGTGGGGATGCGTAACCCAGAGAACGCTCGGGGCAGCCCTGGGCGCAGGCCCGGGGTGGGTCCCCTGGGTGCTGAGGGCCAGGCCTTCCCAACTCGGTTGGGGCTCGGAGGGGGGCTTCTCTCAGGGCCAGAGTAGGGGTCCCCAGGCCTCAGGTGCGGAGAAGGTGCTGCGGGCCTCAGCAGCTCCCTGCCTGCCCGCGTCTGCCTCAGGCGAGCCCGAGCCAGGACGGCGTGCGCCAAGCGGGCCTTAGGAAAGTTGACTTGGTGACCGATTAAACAGGGTGCTGGTGCCGGACCAGGCTTGAGAGCGTATTTCTAAACTCACCGGCCCCCACCCCCTCTCCCCCTCGGCCGCGCCCCTGTGCCCTTCGTTGGGGGTGCAGGTGGGGCCTGGGGGTGTGGTGGGCTGCCTGGAGACCGCACCTCCCCAGCCCACCTTCTGGAACGTGCTGGGCCCAGTGGGTCCTCTGAGTCCAAGCACAGGCCGCTGGCCCGGGCAGGCTTCGGCCCGTCCCCCTGGGGCACACGGGGCCACGGGTGTACCTCCCACCGGGCTGCGCTGGTCTCTGGTCCTCCCGGGCGGCTGAAGCAGCTCCCGCTGGGCCACAGCGTGGAGCCAGGGCCGGCCTGAGGGTTCAAGGGTTCCAAGGTGGGGCCTGGCCACGAGGGCTCCCACCTCACGGGGATCACGGCGGGAGGGGGTGGGTTGGTTTTCCAGGCTGACACGTGTGTGGCCTCTGGTGGGTGCCGGCCGATGGTTGCCAGCCCACGCCTGCCCCTCTTGACGTGCCCTTGGACCCTCCAACTGAGTCCCAGCCAGAAAGCGGAGGGATCCCTTCCGTCCCGCAAGCACCAAGAGAGCCAACAAAAAACGGCAGTTTGCAGCGCCCAAGGCTCACACGACACCCACTAGGTCTTGTTTTACGAGGAAGGGATGCGGTGGGAAGAGCTGGGATGGGGGGCCACTCAGAGTTAGCACGGGACGTGTTAGACCCCTCACTTGCCCTGGCTGGGTCAGTCTCCCCGCTGCCCTCTTAAAAGGGGGAGATGTGCTTGCCCTGACCCTTCGCAGAAGCCCCCTTCCCAGCACTTGGGACACCAGGGAGATCAGGGTGGGGGTCGCAGCAGCACCTGCTTACCTGCTTGGAGACTCAGTGAGTTAATGCTTTTGAGGAGTGTGTTTGGTGGGGGAAGCCACTTGAACACCTGCATAGGTAACAGGTCAGGTCACAGGCCCCCGTCCCTGTGGCCTGGGGCAGAGCCAGATGCCAGGGCTCAGCTTGTGTGGGGACACACCACTGGGCAGTGGAGAAGCCCCAGCCATGGTGTGGCCACACCCCTGCCCTGTGCCCTTCCCTGGGAGCTGGGCCTGAAAGGGCTCCCCCAGGCCCCAGGGAGCACAGGCTGCAGCATACTCGGCTCTTTGGGGGGCAGGGAGAGCCTCCAGGGTGGGGAGAACTTAGCAGCACGCCCACACCTCCGCCTCATGTGGAGGGCTGCTGCTTCTGGGGTCCACGGCCACCCTGGCGTCACCACTGCCTCCGACTTCGAGTGTCTGGATGCAGTCACCGTCTGGAGCTTCCTGAGGGAACCACAGCAGGCTCATGGGCCGGGCTCCTGGCAGATCCGCTCACTCACGACAGGCCTGGGGTGCTTGTCTTGGCTGGCGCCCAGCAGGAACAGGGGCACCATGCGGCTTGCCCAGGTGCCCCAGAGTCCCCACCCCAGCTGTGGGGCCGGGACAGCTGATGGGCTCCCTGCCTGGCTATGATGAGGGGAGTGTGTGGGGCCCCGGGCAGAGGGTCCAGGCCTCCCCAAGGTCCTCCTGCAGCAGAGGCTGAGGGGTGCCTCGCCCCGTGAGCCGAGCCACGGGGAGTCTCCACCGTATCCCACCCTTACAGCACTGAGGTTTGGGTAGATGATCCTAAAACAAAACCCCGGACCCCTAAGGGAACACTCCCATCGGCTCATCTTCGACATTTTTATTGCTGGAATCCGATCTTAAGTTCTAAGGCGGTTCTGAAAGACCCCGCGGCAAGGAAATGCTGCAATCATCGTAAAAATAATTGTCGGGTGGACTAAGATTATGGTCACAATTAAAGACGTGCACAGGTTCCACAGAAGTAGGATTATCTGCTCAACCACCAACCAGACAAATAAAATTGGGCTCTACTCAGGAGTGACCTCGCACGGGCGAGAGATGGGTCGACACGGCCGCGCTGCGGGGCCCCGAGTGGGACGCCCCCATTCCTGCCACATGGCCGAGCAGAAATTCCTCGGACTCGCAATCGTCTGGGGAATCGTGGCGTCTCGGAGGGTCAGACTGGAGCCCGCAGACAGGGGCGCGTGGCGGTGAAATCACCCGGCACGAGGGCCCAGGAATGTTCTCTTCACAATAGGACAGGAACTTAATGTCCACTTTGCTAAAGTGCTCGGATACGTGCTGGTACAAAAACACAAACACTGATTCTAGACATGGCACAGATGAGCTCTGACGCATCACAGGACCGAGGGGGGGACACCTCTCCTGGCTCCCCGAGGATGCGTGGATGCCGCAGCCCCCCAGGACAGAGCAGAGGGCAGGGGAGGGGAGGGGCCGGGCTTGGGAAGCTTCTGAACTGCTTTCAGTTCCTTGTGGCCGATGCCCCCGGCCCTGGTCAGCGAGGGCCCCCAGTCCTCCCACGGACGCTTTGGGATGGACTGGGCTCTGGGCTCAGCGGGGGAGCCTGGGGTGCAAAGGCTGGAGTATCCCCACTCCTCCGCCCCGCCCCAAGCTGCAGTGCCTCCAGAGCTGAGGCGTGGATCTGACCCATCGGCCGGCTCTAGACACCCGACACAGTCCCCAACACCCAGAGCTGTACAGCTGCACCGGTGGCCCCTGGCCCTCCAGGGGACGCTGACAGTAAGCTAGTGTCGCTCACTGGACACGAGGCACCCACAGCCATCTGTCCATCGGAGGTCTCCAGGCCATCTGTGACCCCTCGGGCATCTCCCTCTTATCAGCCACAACGTGGTGGCTCCACTGCTCTGCTCCTCGTCCCAGCACCAGACCATCCATGAGGGACACCTGCCCTGGGGACCTCCTTCCTGCAGCCCCAGGAAAACCAGCCATCTCATGGGGGCTGAGGACCCTCTGCCTCAGGGTGGGACCTTCAGGTGCGTGCTGGCCCTGGCTAACGCTCTCGAACCCCACAGAATCATGCCAACGTGGTGAGGTGCCTTTGGAAAGCACCAAGTTTGGCAACAGCAGGTTTTACAAACCTGTCACAATAAAATGGGTTAAGGTCCGTCCCTTCCAGAACCCACAGAACCTGTCTACTGTGCCACTGGCCGTCCTCTTCATACGCCCCGCCCCATGGCCTCGTGTTCCCAGGTGGGTCGTGTGCCACCGCTTCTCTGAGCTCATGCCCTGGCCGTGAGGTTCAGGCGGACACAGGTGAGTCTGCTTTGGAAGCGGATTCTGCTGACACCACCCAGCCCCTTCTGGGGCCCTAATGACATGCTCCAGCGGCCCCGGGTGGCTCTGGAGCCTGGCCCAGGGCCAGGACCTCCTCCTCAGACTGGGGTCTGGCTGGTCATCAGGCCACTTGCGGAGACACCACTGTCTGTCACTACCTTGGAAAACGGATGGAGTCCAACTCTCCCTACCCACACGAGTGCTACGACCAGACACAGCTCCTGGGGTTAGCTCTGGTTCAACCTTCCATTAAAAACTTTCGTTTTTGTGTTAAAAAAAAAAGAGGCTTAGAAAGTTACCCAGGCACCACTGCTAATCCTACAGAAAGAGCCTCGAGACGACGGGCCAGCCCTGGCCCTGGCCCTGGCCTTGGCCCCAGCCAGGCGGTCGGTGGTGGCGGTTTGCTTGGGAAGAGAGGGACGACTGGGCTGTGCCCAGAGAGCAGGACAGGGAGGGGTCTGTCCTTTGAGCCACACCCCTCTAGAAGAAGATGACGTCTTCCTTGCTGCCTTCTTCCTTGCTGAGTGGGGTGGTGGGCAGTGGCAAGGGGGAGGGGGGCACAGGGCCCCCCCCAGGCTTGAGGGAGCAGCCCTCGGCGGGGACGTCAGGCGGGGCTGGGCAGCAGGGGTCTGGAAGAGAGAGTTGTGGTTGTCAGCAGCCACCGGGCACCACGGGGCCCTGCTGCCCGGGGGGCTGCGCTCACCTGGGGGGGCCACGCTGCTGTGGCTGCTGAGCAGGACGGGGCTCAGTGAGCGGCGGTTCCGAGACGCGTTCTCGTCCTTGCCCATGAGCTTGCTGAGAAGCAGCTGCTGCTTCAGGTCAAACGAGGCTGAGGGAGGGAGGGCCCGGCCTGGGGTGGCTGCTCTTGTTCGGGGTGCATGAGCAGCTCCCACTTTGGCCAGGGGCCTCCCCCCGCCACCCCTTGACACTTCCCATAAGCACCCACTCAGACGTGATGCCCCAGAGACGATGACACCAGACCAGAGCCTCCCCGCCTCCCGCCCCCCGGCCCCCAATCCTCAAGTCCTGGCGGTCCTGGGACACAAGCCCAGCTCCTCAGGGAACATTCCAAGGCTGGCTCCCCTCACCCAGAGCCCGCATCCTGGCAGCATGTGAGGAAGCCCTCTCACCGCAGGGTGCTCTACACAAGGGCCTCAGTGTCCCCTCTGTGGACCGAGGACATGGTAGAGACCTGGGTGCTAGAATCGGCACGGGGGGCGAGGTCAATGGGGAGCATTACTGGTTGCCTCGGCTGTCCCTAAGGGATCCAGGCTGTTCTTTCTGAACTGCCAAGATGTTCCCTCGCCCCCAATCCCCGTTTGGGAGCCAAGGAAGGAACAAGACCTGGAATCTGACTTTTTAATTTTTCTTCTTGGATGAGAGCCGTCCACATGGGGAGAGGCCTGGCCTCTGCCACGGAGCCCAGCGTTCCCAGCCGTGCCTCCCAGTTTCCTCCTGTCGCCCCCTCCAGAGGGTGGCCCTGCGGTCCCATTTTGGTTTCCTCACAGAAAGCCGCTTTGGTTTCACAAACTGCCCATGAGGCCCAGTGAGTCCAGGGCCGTAGGGACTGGCTGGCGGACACCTGAGGCTCCCCACCTCGGGCAGGGTGCTCACCTGAGCTGTCTGAGCGCTGGGAGCCCCTGCTCTTGCCGCCCTTGTCCTTGCCGCCCTTGGTGGACGCCGCCAGCTTGGTGGGGATCTGCTGCTGCACGGCCGCCTGCCTCTGGATCTGGTTGGTGGTGCTGAGCAGCTGGATGGGCACGTCGCTCTTGGCTGGCCGGCTCTCTGTCGGGGCGCTGTCCCGGCGGGCCACCTCGGGGCGCTCCGTGAACTCGGGGCCTGAGCCGGACAGCAGCACGCTCACCCGGGGTCCTGGCGCCTTGGCGAGGGTGGTGGGCCCTTCCAGCCCTTCCCCATTGAAGCTGGGAGTGTGGCTTGGGGGTTGGGCCTGGAAGAGCAACAGGTGACACATCCCTTGAAGTCACTGTCCTCCGATCTGCAGGGTGCCCAGCACCCCCCCCACTGCCTCACCCCCCCCTCCTCTCTCTGGGGACTCGTGCGACCTTTGGGAGGTTCTGTTTGGGGGTAGAGCAGAGCTGGCCCCACGCAGTTGCCACTGACCGCGGACATGCACACCACAGTCACACTTGGGCATGTGCACGTCACGTACACCAGCACGGGCCCAGCCCACGCACCACGCAGCCACACGTGCGTACTCGCCCCCATGGTGGGCGTCGGGTCCAGGCCTCACCTCTGCCAGTGAGTCGGGTGGCAGGGCCCCGGGCACCGTGTTCTGCTTCTTGAGGCGCCGCTGCTGCTCCAGCTGCTCCCGCTCGCGCTCCACGGCGCGCTGGGCCTCCCGCAGCCGCTCCAGGTCGTGCTGGTAGGCCTGGCGCTGCTGCTCCAGCTTTTCGCGCTCCTGGCTCAGCTGCTCCTGCAGCTGCAGTGACTCATTCTCGCGCTGCTGCAGCCGGGCCGCGGCCAGGTCCAGCTCCTGCTGCTGGCGCTCCCGCTCCCGCTCCCAGCGCTGCTGCTCCAGCCGCAGGCGGCCCTGCTGCTTCTGCACGCCGGCCAGCTCCTCCCGCTGCTTCTCGAAGTTGCGCTGACGCTCCTGCTCCAGCAGCATGTTCCCACGCGTGGACTGCAGCCGAAGCTGCTTCTCACGCTCCTGGATGGAGGCCCTCTGCATCTCCACATAGCTGTCCTGCTGGGCAATGACTGCCTGCAAGTGGAGAGGGTGGGGCAGGGGCCTATTTTAGGACGAGGCTTGCCCTTCCCCAGATCTCAACCTCAAGCGAGAAAAGAAGGGTATGGTCGCAGGCTCCCGTACCTGGAGGCTGAGGAGCAGCTGGGACAGGGTCTGGATCCGCTGGACGAGCTGTGGAGAGGGATAGAGATGCTGGCTCCTGGGGCACAACAGTGTGGGGTGTGCATACCGGCCCCTGGGGAGATGCACGAGCCCCGAGCCTACCTCCAACTCCAGGACAGCAGGCAGATGGGGGCCGCACTCCGCACCCGGCACCGGGCCCTGTATAGAAAACAGCGTCAAACACAAAGAGCTAAGGACCTACTTATTATCAACAAGACACCCCCTCTGGCCACCGAGTCCTGCCTGGTCGTTTGACTTGGATGACTCTTGCTATAAGGAAAACAAGGGTACCGGAAAGCCTTCCAGGAGGTGGGAAGGCAGTTGTTCTGGGCTCACCGTGGGGAGGCTGGGAGGTCAGACCACAGCTCTCAGGGGGTGAAGCTTGTGCGCAGGCTCAGGGGAGACAATGGGCAGCAGGAGTGGGCCTCACACTCACAGCCCCTAGCCCGACCTCTGCTCTGGCCCTAGCGCCTAGTAAGGGTGGGCCCCCAGAGTGGAACTGGAGGGAGCCACCAGGCGCTTCAGCATCGTAGGCATGAGGACACACGTGCAGGCTCTGTGCTCACGGTCCCCAAAGCGCCCCTTGACTGCTGATGCAGCCACAGCTACTGCCCAGGTCTGGCCCCTGCCTCACCTCCCTCCTGGGCACCACGTACCATTCCCAGGGACCGTGGGAGGGAACGTGGAGGTTCACCCGCCCACATGTGCATCTGGGCTGAAATGCTTTCATGGCACAGTGGAACGGCACTTGTCGCTATGCGTCTGGAGACAGCAAAACTAGACAGCCCCCCCCCCCAAAAAATAGACAGCCCCAAACCAAGGCTGTTTACATTTGCTAATGCTTTTATAAAAGGGGCCGGGCTGACTCTGTGCTTGGCTAAGGAATATCCCAAGGAAGCAACGTACTGCAGGTGGAGCCTCCTCAGAGGCCCCCAAGGTGTTGCTGGGCTTCAAGTCTGGGTTGCTCACTGGGCCTTGCCAGTCTCGGGGGCCGTGGTCGCTGCTGCAGGTCTTCTTCAAACTGCCATCTGAAAAGCCCAATCAGGCATGTGAGGATGCTGCACATCCCACCGGGGTCCGGACCAGGCCCCCCAAACCCGGCAGCTCCCCTGGGACCTGCGCCACAACGGTGGCATCTGAGACACAGAGACCAGCAGGAGACAGAGGGGCTGGTCTGTGTGATGCCGTCAGAGCACGACTGACAGTACCCTGAAGGTTCCAGAACCTGACTAGAGAGTTAATACTTGTTGAGGGGAAGCAGTAGTAGAGATGCCCAGCAGCAAAGCCTTGGCTCTGCAAAGGGAGTGTTCCAAGAAACTGCACAACCTCTTGCTGCTATTCATCTTCTGGAGGTGCCCCGAGAAGCCCCAGGTAGATTATGGCACCACTCACTCTTGCTGGGGCTGCTCACTGTGTCATAGCCCCCAAAGGTCTCTGCCCTGCGGGGCAGGCCTGAGGAACCTCCGGTGTCTTCCGCCTGGCCATTGGCGCTGCCCAGCTGCCTGCAGATCAGGGTCTGGATGTCCTCAACTGTGGAAGGAGATGGGAGGAACTGAGTTACCCCATGGAGCCAGGGCATGGGTGTCAGGTGTGGGAGGTATGAAGCCCTAGGCCTGAGAAGCCTAGAGGGCGCTGGTCACGGTCTTCTAATTACCTGACATGACAGCCCCCTGACCTGTGCATTCCCTTATTTCAGGTCCTGCAACCAGGACATGCCAACTGTGTCTGCAGGAGAGGCTGGCCGGTGGGGCAGCAGGAGGGAGGGGCTAGGGATGCGTGGGGCCTAGTGAAGAACTCAGGTGTGTGCTTGTGTGTCAACAGTCATGCAGACAGACGGTCGGAGGCTACGGGAGAGTGGCCTTTGAGGGCAGGACAGGTCACACAAAGTGTGTTTGGAGGTGGGGAGAATATTTCAAGCCAAGGCGCAGGATACGAGAGGGCCCTGGGGGGGGGGGGCTGAGAACAAAAGCCACTTAAGAAATGTGAGGAAGAAGGTCAGTGTGGCTGGAGGAAAGGAGACAGCAGGAGCAGAGTCCATAAGGAGCCCCTCTGATCTGTGTTCCCTGATGCTGAAAGAAAGGTCTGGAGGGCAGCAGCTGTCTCTCTTGTTTGCCACTGAGAGTGGTGCCAACTGTCCTGCTGGACCCAATGAGTACCGGCTGCCTGGCCGCCTGGTCTGACACCCACTGGGCCTCATGTGGGGCTGGCTCAGCAGCTGTGTGGGGGCCACTAGGGGCTCCCAGGGGCTCCATGAAGCAGGCAGGCAGGCCGTGGACTCATCGGTGCCCTCCTGTGGCTGCTGTGCTCAGGAGGCTCTGTGCTCAGGAGCCTCAGCTGGGTATGGGCAGCCCTCTGAAATGACCCCCAAATGTGGATGTGTGCTTATTTCTGGGGATGTCACCAGGGAACCACTTCTCAGAAAGGAGACCTCCTGAGTGTGGGGAACCTGTCTTGGTTGACTTCAGATCCCAGGGGCCTAGCACAGTGCTGCCTCACATGTAGGGAACTCCCTGGAGAAGGTGCTGTAAGTCAGTGGCGGGGGCTGGTGGTGTCTAAAGACCTTCTGGCAATAGCTGATGCCAGGGGGTGGGTTGTCAGTGCTGCTCCTGGAAGCACGCCTGGCCAATCAGCCAGGAGCGCGTCCCAGACAAGGTGGCAAGTTGGCCACACCAGGTCTTATATTGTCCAGGAACAGCCCCCCACCTACCAGGACCCCCGTGGCCAGCGCCCAGTGAGGGCCCCCAGGTGTGGCTCCTTACTCTCACTCATGGCTGATTTGAGGATCTGTTCTCCTTGCATGGTCTCGGAGGGATCTCCTCCTCGGAAGAGGAGTCGTGACTGTGCAACGTCTTCTAGCCCACTCATCTCCGCCATCTCCAGGTAGATCTGCTGCTTCTCGCCAAGGCTCTGTGCAATCTGCTGGTCTTTCACATTCAATCGCTCTGCAAAGTGATGGGAGGCAAGGGTTGGCTCCCACCCGCAGCCCACCCTTAGTCCGACATCCTGTAGGGCAGGTGAGGGCATGGCCCTGTCTTCTTATGGTTCGCCCCGATTATAAAAACCAAACACCACGGGGTATGTGCCAAGGATCAGAACAGGCCAATTTATTAGTTTGGGCCAAAGTGAGAATCTTTTAAGACTTCATCATCTTATCCTTCACGCATTTGGGCCAAACCTCTACAAATCTCTGGTTTTATGCTTTTTTGTCATTACTGCTGCTGCAACAGCAACTTTCTCACTGTTGGATGCCCATGTATACACATCACATTCGGCTGGATTACTGGGCGCCCTCACAGGTTCCAATAGTTTTCTAGTTGATTCTATCAGATTTTCTAGGCAAATAATCATGTCACATGCAAAACACAATTCAGTCCCTTCCCTTCCAGTCATGACCTTACTTCTGTTTCTCTCCTCATCACCCTGGAGGAACGCATGGGGTGCAGGTGATCATTGTGGGAGGGGGTGGCCCGGCTCGGCTCCTGATTTTAGTGAGCATCCCTAATGGTCCGGTGTGAAGGGTGAGATCAGCTTTTGATCCAAGATGGGAAAGGCTATCTCCATAAAGAAAGATTCTATTTCTAATGCAGTAAGGATCTTGTCAGGAATGAGCGAGGGATAGATACTGCGGGGGACTGTGGCATCCAAGGAGACGTGTCTACACAGGGCATGTGTTTTAGTACCACCCGGCAGAAAAAGAGTCTGAATGAACATTGCTTTGGCACTGTGCTTCCAGGGTCAGTGGGATGTCAATCCTCCTCGCCTTTCTTTTGGATGTTTCTATTACTGAATGAATAACTTCAAACATACACCTCTCCCCACAAAGAGAAATAAAACTTATACTACCTAGTTTCATGTAACTTACTGCCTAAATGTTACTTAATTTAAAAATAAATGACTGAGGTATAGTGAAGGGGATGAGGGAGGCTGACTGAGACCAGAGTACCAGGGATTGTTCTTGGCAATGACCTCACTGAAATCTCACAGGAATCTGTTAGAACCGAGGAGGAGAGTGGATAAACACATGTGGTGCATCTTACAATGGAACCGTTTCCAGCCTTAAAAAGGAAGGAAACTGACACACACTGCAACGTGGCTGAACCCTGAAACCTTGAAACATCATGCACAGCGAAGTCAGACACAAAAGGATAAATATCGCAAGACTCCCATTTATACAAGATCCCTAGAACAGGCAAATTCATAGGAACAGTAGAACAGAGGTTACCAGGGGCTGAGGGAGGAAGGACCAGGCAGGGACAGCTAATGAGGGTGCAGATGCATTTTGGAGGGATGAAAATGGTCTAAAATTGTGGTGATGGTTGCCCCAATCTCATGACAGATACTAAAAGCTACCGCATGGTACTCTTAATGGATGAACTGCAGAGTGTCTGAATTCTATCTCAATAAGGTAGTTAATAAAAAAAAAATATTAAAACAGGGAGGAGGAAGCTGAGGTGCCCAGCCACAAAGCTAGGGCTGGTCTGGGTCTGCCAGGCTCTAGAAGGAGGCTGTGGGGTCCTGTGCTATTCTGCGTCCCCTTGGGGTTTTTACGTATGTGACCTGGGACGCCCACAGTGAGCTCTTTCTTGAACAGGGACCCAGGGAGGGGCAGGGTGTGGGGCAAAGCCAGAGTGTCTGGAGATGGCTCAGGGGCCCTGAGGGCCAACCCCTCCAGAAGATCACTAGCTCATGACAAAGCCTCACTGCCAGGGCCCCCAGCAAAACACCTGGTGGCTTGGGTGGGGATCTGCTCTGTGGTCAATCCCAATGGGGCAGGACAGAGATGCTGCTGGTGGTCCCAGGACCTGTTGCACAAGGAGGGTGCCATGCACTCTTCTCACCATATGCAGGACATGTGGTGGGCATGGAGGTCCAGGCGGACTCCCCTTACCTTGGAAGTCCCTCAGTCTCAGGGCGCGAGCCTCCAGACCCTTCTTCTCCTCTTCGGCCTCGCTGAAGGGCCCCTCCTCCTCGTCCGGACAACTGTGGGGAGAGGAGGCAGATGGGCAATAATGCTTCTCAGGCAGGCCGGCCTCTGTGACGGGCGCTGACAGCTCTGTCTGCAGAACCGGCTGCTCAGAGCATCTCGTCCTGGGGGTGACAGCTTGTTAATGATGCAGGAGAAAAGAGGGAGAAGAGGAAGGCAGCCATCGGCATCTATCCTGTCTCCAAGCATCCACAGGCTTACATGCCTGGCCACGATGTAGGGGAGGAGACTGAGGACGGCTCATTTCCTAGGGCACCTGCAGCTTCAGGAACCCAGCAGGCATAAAGAGAGGGAGCAGCAGGCTGGCTGGGCATGAAGCCTGGACGACTTTCCCCCGTCAGGTGGACCAGATGCCAGGCATCATGCAGAACCAGAGGTTGGGGCCCGTAGAGGGTGCCCTGGCCTGAGGAGGAAAGACAGGATGCCAAAACCTGCTTCAACTGGGGCATCGGGCCCCTGTGTCAGGTGTCACTTTCTGTACCCCCCCACCTGAGACCTCCAGCACTTTCTCAGGTACTTCAAGGTCACAGCTGATTCTGCCAACTGTCAAAGCTAAGGGCACGATGGCTGGCAGGGAAGGGAGTGCACATACGGGCTCTTCTCACCTCTCAACGGCCCTTCTGATGTGGGCCATCCAAGTGTTCCTCTCCTCTTTGGAGCTGGTGTAGATCTCATACATCTCCGGGCCTTGCAGGGAGGCGCTGATCAGAAACATGGCTTTCTCCTCGTTGGCCACTTCCCTCACGATGAGCTTTTGTAACGAGATGACCGGGCGCTTCGAGTCCTGTGTGGTGGGGAGGACACCTTTCACCCCGCTGCTTCTGAGCAGCTGGGGAACTGAGAACTTGAGGGGAAGGAGGTGGGGGGTGGGGGCACGTCTGTGTCCTACTGGTTTTCAAATAATTCAGAGCAGAGATATTTGCCACCTGGCGGGGGAAAAGACACTTTTGTGGTGATATCCTCATATACTTTTAACAGGATTGCTTACCATGATTAAAAACTAGTTTTATAATCAGTAACGCGTGCCACTGTACTAAACTCGGAAGATCAAGGGTAGGTAGTATATAATCACAGATAAACCTTCCTCCTGACTCTGTGCCCCAAACAGCCAGAGCCAAGCAGTATTCCCACTCTGCTGTGATCCTACGAGAGATGATGCTCCGACAGCCCAGTAACACGGACGCTAAGTGCCTGTGATGGGCTGTGTCCTTATGTTAAAGCCCTAACCCTCCTGGCACCTCAAAATGTGATTACTTAAAGATGGGGCCTTTACAGAGGTGATTAAGGTAAAAATGAAGTCATTAGGGCGTAAGGGCGATCCAGGATGACTGATATCCGACTCTGGAGGGGAGACAGGACATAGAATCAGCTGGAGTCCCTGAGAGAGGAAGAGCCGCAGAAACATGAAGGCAAAGACAGGACAGGATGTTTGCACGAGCCCCTGAAGCCAGCCTCCCCAGGCATCCAGACAGGAAAATTCTATTCCTGCCTTGTCTGGAACCTTCTGGCCCCTGGGAGGACCTGGGATGGTGGGTTAAGACACAGATGTGCTTTTCCAGCCACTTTGGTCTCTAACGCCTTGCCCATCTTGCTGTGGAGGTGCCCCCCACCCCCAGTCGCCCCTCCACTTGGCCGCCTTCTGTGAGGGTAGCTTTACAATCAGCCCCTAAGGTCTCTACGGTGGGCGGGACCCTTCGTCTGCAGAGACAGGATACATACCACAGAGGCAAAGACATATTTCTGATCCTTTTCTTGTAGCAGCAAAAGCACATCGGTCAACAGGACAGCAAGAACATCTAATGAGAAAGCACAGAAGGAAACGTCTCATGGGGTGGCGGGGCCACACGGGACCTGCCAGGCGGACATGGATGTGTCCCGGAAAGGCTTCAGCCCTGGGGGGTGCAGTCCTGGTCACTCAGCCCACCCCCTCGATGCTCCTGCGGGCGCCTGAGGGTTTCTGTCTACCTCACTACTTTCTATCACTGCCTGCGTTTCAACATTTAGCACAAATCAAAGGCTGGAGTCTCGTCTTGCAGGTTCCTGTGCTGCTGCCGGGCCATGGTACCTGCAGGTTTGGTCTTTGAGATTCTGTTGCTGATTTTTCAAACGACAATTGCCCCCCTGTTCTTCTGGTTCTCAGGTCAGCTGGGGCCTGAGCCACCAGCTGCGAGCCTCATCCCTGCAGGAGCTCTCACAGCAAAGCTTTGGCACACAAGTGCAAATCCTAAACTGAACGTCCTACCGGAGCACCTGCATCTGGGGAAGCGTAAGCCTCGCCCCTCTCTCCAGATTGGCCTCTGCCACCAGCACGCAGAACAGATAGCCTCTCCCTACATAGTTCCCTCGACTGTGGCCTGCTGGCTCCCTCTGAAGCATCCTGCACCTTTCCCTAATTGTTATTTGTTTCCTTATTTTCTCCCTTTCTGCCCACTGACTGGAACCCCTCTGAGGGGAGGGGTCTCCCACCACCCACCTCGGTGTCTAGCACACAGGAGGCGCTAAATCGTCTGCTGGGATGCTTGCCTGTGCAAAGTATGGACCAACTCACTGGCCATCTCAAGCGCTCCCCTAAAGATCTTTATTTATTTATTTATTTTAAAGATTTTATTTATTTATTCATGAGAGACACACAGAGAGAGGCAGAGAGACACAGGCAGAGAAGCAGGCTCCTCACAGGGATCCTGATGTGGGACTTGATCCCTAAACTGGGATCATAACCCGAGCCAAAGGCAGATGCTCAACCACTGAGCCACCCAGGCGTCCCTCCCTTAAAGATCTTTAAAGATGCTGACGTCAATGGCCAGGTCAGGATGTTTCTAGAAGTTCATGAAATGAGCCAGGAAGCTCAGGGTTGAGTCCCGAGTGCTCTCTGGTCTGGAAGTAGACCGTGGATTTTGGAGGTGGGCCTCAAAGGGCCCCCTGAGCAGTGAGTGGGACGCTTGGGGACACAGAGGCCAGCAGTCTGAGTGGTGTGTCGACCACACTGGGGCCCTTCAGTGGCTGCTTGTTTAGAATTCTGGGGGCTCTGACAAACGTGGGATGTCCTGATGCCTCAGGTTTCTTCAAGGGCTCAGGGTGCTCTCTGGATCTAGCGGCCCTCCTGGTGGGTACCTCAAAGCCCTGAGGACAGGGGTGCTGGTACGACTATCTCAATCTCATCCTTACCACACCCCTGGCTGCCCGTCTCGTTCTGACTCGGTGCACAACCCCCTTGGGCCCCGGAGCAGCCAGGTTGCTGTGGCTGTGTCAGCTGGTGCCACCCCCCCCGCCCCAGTCCAGAATGGTGCCACTAATCCGAGAGGGCTTACATGCCTGGCCACGATGTAGGGGAGGAGTCTGAGGACCCCCCCTGCAGAGGTTAGGGACAGGGCTTTACCTTTCAAGCGTCCCGACGTGGTCTTCCAGCACAGCGTGCCCTCCAGGTGAAGCTGCCGCTGCAGCATGTCCTCCTTACGGAAGGTCAGTCCGTTCTTGAGCTTGCTGGAGGACTTCAAGTCCATCTTCCCCGCGATCTCCCGGAGGCGCTGGCCTTTCTCACACTCGCTGACCTTGGCATCCACCCGGGAGATGATGTCCTTGATGAGGTTCAGGGCCTGGGTGAGGTCTCTGTAGTCCTCTGTGCCAGCTGTCACACACAGCAGAGTTAGTGCCTTTGCCCCCTTTCACAGACACAGCAGACGTGGACACACGCTCTGGGGGTCTATGAGGTCTGTGCCCTGAAGCCACTGCTCAGAGGACCCTTCAAGAATCACCTTCCACCTTGGATCTCCTGAGATGTAAATGCTTCTCCAAACTAAAGGCAGCAGCTGGGCCTTTGGTTTTTGCCAAGATGGAGCTTCCACTGGATGCAGAAGCTAAGGTGCAATTGAAGTGACACACATGGCCCTGCACAGCCCTGGGGCCATTCCTTGGTAAACAGACTAGGCCTGCCAGCTCTCCATAAAAGACTCCCTCCTCCTCCTGCCATTACCAAGAGCTGGCTCCTCTCAACTCAAGAGTGTGGCTTCCATACAGGAGAATTTGCTCATTTTCCCAGGGCCCAAATCTCCTGGAGCTGGGGGAGGGGTGGGCAGGTGTGGTCAGACCCTGGCCTCTGAGAACTCTAGGCTGGGCTGGGCTGGGCTGCCCTCTTTCCTCTGCCCCCAATCCCCCAGGTTCCAGACATGAAGGCCATCAATGTACTTGTCTGGATCAACATTCATTTACTCTCTAGATAATGACCCAGGGCCTGTTTCGGCTCAGCCTGGGCCAGGGGCTGCAGGGTAAAGTGGGCAAATAAGACCTGGCACCCCATCTTTCTTGGTCAGAAACCCCAGCACTCAGCACAGTGGATTCAGCATGAGGGGAGCTCAGTTAATGACTGCTGAGCTGCGATGGATCCAGACAAGCAGGGATGGAGCATAGAGGGGTGCTTATCCAATCCACTGCTAAAATGGGGCAGAAACACAGAGATCACCCCTCAAAGCAGCAATGGGCAAAGGCAGGGAGGAGAGCTACTTTACCTTCTGTGTTCTGAATGATGCGCTCCACCAGCACGGGGTATTTGGTTATGCGCTGAGTGACCAGAAGGATACACTCCTGCACGCCAAGCCGCCTCACGATGGAAAAGTTGCCAATTTTCTATGAAATGGGAAACAAAATGCCTTGTTGGCATTCCCATCTTGTGCCAAATTGGCTGGGGCTTCTTCCTTTTTCAGCTCACCAGGACCTCTTCTCTTTGCTATTTCACTGAACACTTGAAAGTAGGCTCGCCTGCTGTATACAGAAAGGCCACAGAAACAAAGGCAGCCTCCCCTCTTGTAAAGAAGGGCCCCCCATAAAACCTGTTAAGAAGAAACCAGAACTGGGACACCTGGGTGGCTCAGTGGTTGAGCACCTCCCTTCAGCCCAGGGCATGATCCTGGAGTCCCAGGATCGGGTCCCGCATTGGACTCCCTGCAGGGAGCCTGCTTCTCCCTCTGCCTGTGTCTCTGCCTCTCTCTGTGTGTGTCTCATGAATACATAAATAAAATCTTAAAAAAAAAAAAAAAGAGGAAACCAGAACCAGCCAGGGGGCGGTAGGGAATCACCCGGCAAGCTGTATGCAGTGGGCTCATGCACACACCCATGCGCGCCCCCATATCCGCACATGAAGGCCCTCACTGATGGCTGTCAGAACCCTCTGGAACTACAGCAGGCCTGTGCCTCTGGGTCAGCCCCCTGCTGGCCCCTGCTGCACACCTCTGGCTGAGAACCCAAGAAGCAGTCATCCGAAGCCGTTTCCCGCCAGGGTGGAGAACGGTTTCTGGTGCCTCCAGAACATTCCACACAGTCTGCTTCTCTGCCCCCTCTGTACTCATGCACTCCAGGAATGCCAGCAATTGTGAGAGCCACTTCTGAGAAGGACCAGAAGGTGCTGTGGGGTTTGTGAGCTTCCAGGGCCCACCCCCCAAACTGACCCTTTCTCTTTTATGCCTGTCCACTCCAACTGTAATGGAGCAGAATTTAAAAACCTGTCATTCTTAACTCCAGACCATTAGCTATCGGCTATCACTTCAAAATAAAGTCCCCAGGGACCAGGACGCCTGGATGGCTCAGTGGTGGACCATCTGCCTTTAGCTCAGGGCGTGATCCCGGGGTCCTGGGATTGAGTCCCACATCAGGGCTCCCCACAGGGAGCCTGCTTCTCCCTCTGCCTTTGTCTCTGCCTCTGTGTGTCTTTCATGGATAAATAAAATCTTACCAAAAAAAAAAAAATAAAATAAAGTCCTTGGGGACCAAGCGAGCAGCAGGTGACAGAGCTGCTGCAGGATGTGCACTGACAGCTAAGTGGCCTTCACCTTGGTGCGTTTTCAAGGATGCAGGAGGTGAGGCCTTGCCCACCTTGGCAGACTCAGGCCGAATGCTGCGTTGTTAGTTCTGGGCTTGGAGCACCTGCACACCCTTAGGCAGGCGTGGGTCATTTCACAGGCCTCCCAGGACAAGTGGAGACCAGAGAGGAAAGGAGGCAAGGGAGGGACAGAGGTCTGGAGTAAGTTATGCCTGCATCAGCTGGAACATCTGAAGGCAGAGGGGTGGCTCTGGAGGGGCAGATCCTAGGGCAGGGTGGCCCCTTGAAATGACATCTGTGTTCCTTTGGTAGTCTCAGGAATGATGGTCAGCAGGTTCTGCACTAGGGCCTGCTGGTATGGCCGAGGACAAAGCCCTAGGTGTGCTTTGCTTTATTTGACATCTGGACTTCACTGACGGGTTCTGAACCAGTTTGTAGGTAGTAAGGTAATAAAAACTTGAAACTCATTGACTTCTAACAGGTACCTTAGCATCTTAAGCTCTCCCAGAGTCTATAGTCCTGCAGGAAACAATCTATAGCAAAGAAAATCTATTTTTTAATTAAGAAAAAAAAAATCCCCTCCTCTCTTTTTTTACCTTGATCAAGCTTTGAAATTTCTTGTTTTGCTGCAGCAGCAACTTGTAATGATTGACCGCCTCATTGTGGCCACTACAAAAGACACCATATTTTTCTTTCATTCTGTCCCCATTTTCGCCAGAGAACTGCAGAAAGACAACGGAGACATTACCAGAAGGGAGCAGGAAAACCTCCTGGGAGCACTCTTGTCTGGCTCAGTGGACTCTACTAAATTACGTCTTGAATTCACTTGTACCCCACTTTCTTGTCTAACACGTACTCAAGCAGGGGAATGCTTCAGTATGGGAGTGAGAAGGGGTGTCTCATCACAAGGTACCATAAGGCAATAACGGGCTTTACAATGTCACAGTGCCGTAAAACCTCTGAAATCCAAGAAGGAGAAATACATTTATGCCAGAGAATGTGAGAAACATTTTAAAAGCAAAAGGGGTCTTCTTCTAATGAACTCTAGTTAGAGGACTCAGGATTCCTAGAGTACTCCGCGGCCAGACAAGGAGGTATGCGTCCCCTCTGTCCACCTTGGCCTGGGCTCAGACAGAGGTCAACTCAGAACTCAATTTGGGGTTGGCACCCTTTACCACAAAACTGCCTCTAACAGCCCAAAACATGGAGGTCAAAACCAGAAAAACACAAAACAAAAAAAACCCAGCCGAGTGACCAAAGAAAAGCCCAGAATGCATCAGTGGACAGACGCTGTCTACACAAGTGCGTTTGGCACTTAGGCCTCTCTGTCTCCAGCAGCCATGTGCACACCTGTAAAGGCCCAGGACCACTGTCTTCTGCAGGCTCTCAATAAACAGAGGCCGCGTTCTTTGGACTGCTGGCTGGAACAGAGATGAGGCAGGGGCTCATCCAGGCCCTGTGCCTGTCCTGGTGTGCCCACCTGCTGCACCAGGAGGTCCCCGATTTTCTGGATGACGTAGTTGCGGTCGCTGCCCTCCTCCAGGGACTCCTGGCGTCGCTCCTTCAGCCGAGAGAGGAAGTGGCTGTGTATGTCGAGCAGCTCGTCCACACATGGGAAGAGGCGGCTGATGGCCTTGCTGCTGAACTGCAACTCCTCCTGCAGGGCCCTGGAGTAGACCTTCAGCATGATCTTGAGTGTCCGTACATGGTGCGCCTCTGTCTGCACCAGCTCTGCAGGGACATGGACAAAAGGACTTAACCACTCTAGGCTGGGCACCCTGGCTTTGCTCCTCCCACATCCCACAATGGCACTCGTGTGAACCACCTGCCTCCAGGTGCTTGGCTGCCTTCTCCCAAGTCTCCACTGAGGCCCTTCCCCCGGAGGTCTCACTGCCCAGCAGGGTGTGTGTGTGTGTGGGTGGGGGCTAGTGTGGGGGACTCCCATCCCGCCCCCCACCCAGTGCTGCAGTGTAAGGAAGCAGCCCTTGGTGGAGTGACATCAAGAAAGAGAGGACTCAGGCTGTGTGCTGGGGCCTCCGATTCACAGGAGGATTTCAGGACCGAAGACGTTTCAAGGCTGCGTTAAGCAGGAAGACTGTTCTGATGTCAGTTAAGTGCTGATTTTGGCTCAGATTGTGATCATGGGGTCCTGGGATCGAGCCTCATGTCGGGCTCCCTGCTCAACGAGGAGTCTGCTTCTCCCTCTCCCCACTCGTGTTCTGTCTCTCTCAAATAAATAAATAAAATCTAAAAAAAATAAAATAAATAAATAAAGAAGAATGTTCTGGTGAACGCCATTCCTTGGGATGTGAAACTCACACACCTGGATATGCCAGTGACCAGACCTATACCATAACCCAAGAAAAAGCAGAGTTTAAGTGAAGAATTTAATTCTCTGGTAAAAGGCAGAGAAATACCAGGTTTCGTGTTGGGAGTTTATCTGTTGTTCGAATCAAGGCCTGGAAGTTGTTAGAGACCAAACAAAGGTCAACAGAGCCGGCCCAGGACTGCCAGCCATGGGGGCTGGATGCAGTCTGTGTTTACCTAGAGGGTGAGACAATGTGGCAAAGGGCTTCCTGGATGGAAACATCCAGACCAGTCTTCTCTGTCCCTCCCTACAGGATCTCTGCCTGTGGTCTGGAGCCCTGAGGTGAAGCATTTACAGGACTCTCCTCCTGCCCACACCCCAAGCTACATTGGCCTGGGCAGAAAGGTGAGGGTGTGGAGTGTGGAGGGACATGGGGGTCAGTGGACACCACTGTCACCAACCAACTGCACATGGCGGAAAGTGAAGACACACCTATGCCAGAACCTCCTCATGGAACACCAGTAAGGGACAGAGAATACCTCCTTGGGCGACACAACACTGTGAGTCTTGGGGATGATTCCCATGGAGGGAGAATCATGAGAACAAGTCAGGCTTTTGGGAGAGAAAGGCCTCAGATTCTAGTGTGGGTGTCTGGGGCCTTCATCATCCTCCTTATAGGGGGGTCCAGAGGCCTAGGGGGGACCTACATGGGGCGTCCAACATGACACCTGGCCTTGGGATGGGGTTCTGTTCCAAAAGCAATGGCCACAGCCAGGTTCCCCAACAACCAGCAGGAAGGGGTGTCCACCCTGGAGCCAGTGCAATGTCACATACCTCCCAAACCCCCAGTCACAGCCACCCCAGCCTGTCTGTGGTCACCAGGGATGGTGGGGATGGGCCTGGGTAGGTCTTGTCTCTCCAGAGTCACCAGCAGGGTCAGGATGAGTCAGGACTGGGCATTTGGCCACTTTTATCCTCAGGGATGGTTCTCACAAAGCCCTCCCGGGTCACCTTTTCCCTGACTAGGAAGGCAGGGCTGCCCTGGGAGAGCAGGTGGTGTGGGCCACAGTGTCCCAGAGGGGAGGACTCCTAGGTGTCAACCATCAAAACAAAGGAGGAAAAGAAGTTAAGTGGAAGGTCAGTGTGACAGCGCAGAACTTGTTACCATAGAGCACATCCTGCCTCTTGACCACCTCTCTCTTTTGTTTCTTTGCGTATGCTGCATCCACGGAAAGGCTCCAGGACTCGGCCTCAAACTCACGGGCGTCTGACTCGATCTCACTCCTTAGCGAGGCTGTGCAGGGGTCTGAGGGAAGAGTAAGAGGCTGCTGCTTGGGGGCCGGGGCCTTGTTGGCTCTGGGCTGCCCCCCAGCCTGCGTCCCATGGACACACTGATATGGATCCCAGCCCTTCCCAATGTGGGTGGACATGGCATGACATCCGTGAAAGAATCGAGATTGTACCTTCTACAAAAATGGGCTCGGCATTCGAAGATGTAAGTGAGAGAGAGTCATCGGCTGCCTGCTTAAATTTTAAAAACACAGAGTCGGCTTCATCCATTTCTCCTGTGACTGGTCTAAACAAAGATCATAAAAACAATTATTCTAAAAAATGGAGTTAAACACACACGCGCGCGGGTGCACACATGAAGGCAAATCTATCTGAGAACTTTCTGGATTTCAATATAAACTCTGTCACAGATCATCTATAAAAATTAGGAGATGAGGGCAGCCCGGGTGGCTCAATGGTTTAGTGCTGCCTTCAGCCCAGGGTGATCCTGGAGACCCAGGATCGAGTCCCATGTCAGGCTCCCTGCATGGAACCTGCTTCTCCCTCTCTCTGCCTGTGTCTCTGCCTCTCTCTCTCCCTCTGTGTCTCTCATGAATGAATGAATGAATGAATGAATGAATAAATAAATAAATAAAACCTTTAAAAAAATTTAGGAGATGATCTGTTCATATCACATCAAGACTTCCTGCAGCATAATGAACTTCAGTCCAATGACCAGGTGCATTCTAAGGGGGGTGTTAAATGCTTTTCTTCCTTTAATGGCCACCAAAGCCCCCAGGGCCCCTGGAATTCTTTCTAGCAAGAGTTAGGTGGACATAGCCACACTCCGTCGAGGGTGGAAGGGGCACCCCTTCTTAGCGGACAAAGTTAATCAGCTCCGTTCCCCACCAACCCATAGGAGTATCACCACAATGACATTTGTTAGCATTGGGTTTTCTACCTGAATCCTGCTGTGCAAAGGATTAAGGGAACAACCTCTGAGTCCTCGGAGGACAGAGGTTAAGCCATAAATAACGGATGCTACCTCCATGGCCACCTCAGCGGGACTTCTAGCATCATCTTGAGCACGCACAGGAACCCTGTCCGAGGGCCCTTCGAGAACACGAAACAAACTGGCTCCGAATGGCCATGTACACTCAGAGCACATGGGGTTTCCATCAAGAAGAGGACTGAATCTCCAAAGCAAGTGTTAATAGGAATTTCACCGCGTGGCTGGGGGGGCCAACATGCAGATCCACACGGACCCGAGGGTCTCCTTTCGGGGAGCGCGTCCACGGGGGTCACTCCCAGTGGAACGCCACATCCTGGTGCCCTGCCTCCCTCCCTCCCTTCACTGGCACCTGGCACAGGGATGGGACCCCCACTTACCCAAGCTGTGTTCCCGTTCCTGCCGGGCTGGGTGCTGGCTGTGGCCCCCCCTTCTGTGAGACCGTCATGCCGACATTCCTGGACAGGGCGGAGCTGCCATCGGACACGAGGGTGGCCCTCGGGTGCTCCTTCAGGGACGCTGCGACAGAGGCAAACACAGAGTTGGTGCTGAGAAAGTGGGCAGGGTAGCGGAGGTGGCCCGGCCGGAAGCCCCGTTCCGACTGCGGCCGCAGCACGGAGAGAATCTTGGAGGTCAGCAGCTCGTTATCTAGAAAGACATTCTCGCTCCATTTCCGAGGAAAAGAGCTGTAGAAAGACAGCTCGGGGCGGCCGTGGAGCGCGCTGTCTCTGTCACTGCTTTTGGAATGCGTGTTCCCCATGTTCACGGTCGGGGCTCCGAGACCCAGCGCCGTGCGAGGCCGGGCTGTGCCGTTTTTATACCTCCATGTGATCCTTCTAGAAATGTAAAGCTGCGTCTTCTCCTACTGTATTGGCTGAGACAGCGGGTCTAGAGGGCAGGAAATTGGTCCCCACTGTGACCATTTAGTTGGAAATCGCACAGTATCTTCTCCTTTGGTAAAATAACAGCAAAAAAATCCCGACACCCCTCCCACCTTGGCAGGGGGTAAAAAAGCAGAGAGTAGTTTAGATTCACTGTAAATAATCTAAGATCACTAAATAGGGAGCTCTGCGCTTGGTGCGGCTCGTGCCGACATCACACACATGCATGACTTTTTTTTTAATATATAGATTTTTTTTTTATTAGGGAGAGAAGGAGAGAGAGCAAGAGAGGCGCAGAGGGGCAGAGGGAGAGGGAGAAGCAGACTCCCCACTGAGCACGGAGCCTGATGTGGGGCTGGATCCCAGGACCCCAAGACCACGACCTGCGCTGAAGGCAGATGTCTAACCAACTGAGCCACTGAGGCGGCCCCACGTGGCTATAATGAACCTGAGGTCAGATATCAGGATGACTCTGAGACCTAGAGACCCCAGGGCATGGTGTGAAGCCATGCAAGCCCCTGATCATAAGTACCCTAACAAAATTTGAGCCGCACAGTAAACAAGAGGTGCTGATCCTTTCTTTCTTTCTTTCTTTCTTTCTTTCTTTCTTTCTTTCTTTCTTTCTTTCTTTCTTTCTTTCTTTCTCTTTCTCTTTCTCTTCTTTTCTTTCTTTCTTCTCTTTCTTTCCTTCCTTCCTTCCTTCTTTCTTTTCTTTTCTTTAAGATTTTATTTATTTATTTACGAGACAGACACACACACACACAGAGGTAGAGACACAGACAGAGGGAGAAGCAGGCTCCATGCAGGGAGCCAGATGTGGGACTTGATCCTGGGACTCCAGGATCACGTCCCGGGCCGAAGGCAGGCACCCAACCGCTGAGCCACCCAGGTGTCCCCCGATCCTTTCTTATACAAGGATTGTAAACCAGCCTAGCACACAACGGGGGCTCCAAAGGGTTCTTGACACTCCTCTGCTCATTAAGGTAGGAACCGGGATAGCGTGTACTATCTGATCACCTTTCCCACTGACAGGAAAGATGGAACTCAGAAGAGTCAAACTATCACCCTCTCCAATTTGACAAATCGAGTCTGGCTGAGATGGGCTCCTGGGTCCCCAATGCACCCACCCATGGGTTTCTATCACACAGGTAAAGTAGTGGCATGCAGACCATGACGCCTGGGGTGAGTTAGTGACCAGCAGTAGAGGAAAATGTACTTATTTCAAGGGCTTTTCTGAGGAGTGGGATTCAATATTCTGAGAGTTTGAATTTAGGTGGAAATTCAGGCAGTGCCTGGGTGGCTCAGTAGGTTAAGTATCTGCCTTCAGCTCTGGTCTTGATCCCAGGGTCCTGGTAACAAGCCCTGAATTGGGCTCCCTGCTCAGTGGGGAGTCTGCTTCTCCCTCTCTCTGTTTGCTCTCTCAAATAAATAAATAAAATCTTAAAAAAATTTTTTTGAAGATTTTATTTATCTGTTCATGAGAGAGAGAGAGAGAGAGAGAGAGAGAGAGAGAGGGAGGGAGGGAGGGAGGGAGGTAAAGACGACACAAGCAGAGTTTGGAAAAGCAGGCTCCATGCAGGGAGCCTTACGTGGGTCCCAGGACTCCAGGACCACGCCCTGGGCTGAAGGCAGGTGCTAAACCGCTAAGCCACCCAGGGATTCCCTAAAAAAATTTAAGTGGGAAATTCAGGATGATCGCAAATGTGCAGGTGGGTATGTGTCAGAAAGGAAATTTCTGGTCAAGGAGTAATGAACAAAGCTTATCAACTGAGACTTAACCACTAAGCAGTGTGACACCATATGCCACACAGAGCACATATCCACAGCCATTCATTAGCATGGCTCCATGTGATGTGGCGATGGTGATACCTGGTCAGTGACTTCAAAGGTCCTGGCATCAGTAAGTGGCTAACAATTACTATGATCACAGAGACAAAGGTGATGAGGGTATCATTCATAGATGAATACCCATTCATAAAGGTGAAAGTCATAAGTTGAGGCTTCCATGGTCCAGGGTAGGCATTTCCTGCCATTTCTACACCACTTTAAACCCCACCTAGGCAATTATGACCTGAATGTACAAATATGAAACAACCTCTAAAATGAATCCTTTACCTGGCTGACAGACTGTTTCCTATGACCCAAGATCTTGCCTGAAGTCCAACGGGTTCTGCTTTAATCACATAGTCCACAGGAGAAAATGCCACCATCAACATCCCTTGGGAATCACCATTCCCAAAGAATTTTAATAAATGATAGGGCACACTAAATCTATGGTGTCTTAAATCTTCCCTTGATCCTTGAGAAGATACTTTGAGGTACTCATGTCTAAGGGTCATGATTAAGGGACACCAGGTGCCACTGCACTCAAAGGGGGGCACAAGGGACAGAATTTCAGCAGAAAGAATGAATGATAGCAGCAGTTTAGCGCCGCCTTCAGCCCAGGGAGTGATCCTAGAGACCAGGGATCGAGTCCCACGTTGGGCTCCCTGCATGGAGCCCACCTCTCCCTCTGCCTGTGTCTCTGCCTCTCTCTCTGTGTCTTTCATGAATAAATAAATAAAATCTTAAAAAAAAAAAAGAAAGAATGAATGAATGATAAGCTGGCTCCCCTCTAATATATGCCGTAATTTACTTATTCTGATCATTGTGTGTTCCCCCAGTAGAATGGAGGACAGTGCCTGCCATGAAACAGGGCAAGAAATCATTGTTTTATGGCATCTTATTCAGCTATACAAAAGAAGGAAATCCTGACGCCTGCTACCACGTGGACAAACCTTGAGGATATTGTGCTAAGCAAAATAACCCAGACACAAAAGGACAAATACTGTACATATCCACTTAGATGAGGTCCCTCCCATCCACAGGGACAGAGAGTAGATGGTGGAAACCAAGGACCAGGGAGCAGGTGGGGAGTGTCAAGAGTTTTCTGGGACAGTCTCCATCTGGGGAGACGGAAAGTTCTAGAGACAGATGGTGGGGATGGTGGTACACCGATGCGAATACACCTAATGCCACTGGACTGTACTCTGAAAAAAAGAAAACATTGTTTCTTTGGGAACAGTTCTGCATCTTGACTCTGGTGTTGGCTACTCAGATTTATGTATACTGAGGGTAGTATTTCATAGAACCAGGGGCACCGGGGTGGCTTAGTCGGTTAAGCATCTGACCTCAGCTCAGGTCATGGTTTCAGGGTCCTGGGATCGAGCTCCGCCTTGGGCTCACTGCTCTTCAGAGAGTCTGCTTGTCCCTCTGCCCCTCCCCCAGCTCGTGTGCTTCCTCTCTCAAATAAATAAAAATCTTAAGAAAAAATTAATTAATTAATTAATTAATTAATTAATTATTCATGAGAGACAGAGAGAGAGAGAGAGAGAGAGGCAGAGAGACAGAGAAGCAGGCTCCATGTAGGAAGCCCGATGTGGGACTCCATCCTGGGACTCTAGGATTATACCCTGGGCCGGAGGCAGGTGCCAAACCGCTGAGCCACCCAGGCATCCCCAGAAAATTTTTTTAATATAACTATATACTCCCTTCCCCCCACTAGAGAATGCAATGTAACAACTGGCAAAACCCAAACAGGGTCTGTCCCTGAGTTAACAATATTCTACCAATGTGAGTGTCCTAGCTTTGACCAGGGATTACCATTGGTTATTGGTTAGTTTATCATCACTGAGGGATGCTCCACCAAGGCTATCTGGGACTCTCTGTGCTATTTTTGCAACTTCTTGCGAATCTTAAATGATGTCAAAACAAAATGTTGCAACTGATTCTCATTATTCACTGTACCAATGGTTTTTTTTTTTAATTTTAAATATTTTATTTATTCATTCATGAGAGACACAGGCAGAGGGAGAAGCAGGCTCCCTCTGGGGAGCCCAATGCAGAACTCGATCCCAGGACCCCGGGGTTCACGACCTGAGCCAAAGGCAGATGCTCAACCATTGAGCCACTCAATGTCACTGTACCGATGTTCTATAAAGTTGCAGTGGGCACTGAAGAAGTGGTACTGAATCACTGCTCACAGGGGAGATGGAAAGTTGGGCTCCTGGGAGTGTCTGCCTACACTTCCATCAACCCATCAATACGTAACCATGTTTTATGCGTGTTTCTCTTGAAAGACACCTTATTTAATATATACTATTGATTTATTCCACTAAGCTCACGGTCACTAGGACTACAATTCATGCCTGAATGGAGCCTATCTAACACATGGATTTTCTCCATCTGAGGCATCACAGCCTTCTTGCACTTAGTAAAGTCAGACAGTACTTCAGCACAATGCTTGGGGGCCATGGGAAGCAGCCAGATCATCAACAGAGAGCATAAAAATGAAAGAGCATGGCATTAACCACACTGCAAAAAGGACACTTGTTTACAGTACAAGTTGGAAGGCAGGGGGTCACCTTGTTCTGTCTCAGCCTGCAACATGCATGTTAGGTGACTCATATTTTTCACTGTACATGCCTGCACACAACTGTGAAGGCCCTACAGGCATGGCTTTGGGGGTTACAAATAAATTTTAGTGAGTAGGTAAGCCTGCAAATACGGAATCTGTGAATAAGGGAAAACTGCCAGCATACAAGAAAGTTGTTGGATGAGAAATTATTGTGATGTTTTAGAACACCCTTGTTTGCTCAGATGCATATGGTATTTCTTTGGAACACTGATACTCTTTGTATTTCTTTATGACTTATATTACACACCTATGCCTAAAAAGTATCCGAGTTGGGGGGGCTTATTACAGGAAAACATAATGCTGTACATTGGCAGCAATATGGCCCAACTGGGATAACTCACTTTTCCCCTGGAGGGTCTAACTACCACTGCCCCTCTCAAACTATTTGAGACTTTTATTTTTAAAGATTTAATTTATTTATTCATGAGAGACAAAGAG